GTATGGGAAATAACTCAGCCAGTAAAGAACTTGTTGAACAATCATGAAGTCCTGAGTTCATTCCTAAGAGCCCACATAAAAACCAGAATCAGAAGGGTTGAAGGGAAGGGGAGACAGGGAGAGGAGCAGAGAAAAATGTAGAGCTCAATAAAAATCAATAAAAAAAACAACCAGAATCAGATGTATGGATTTATAACCCCAGGGATAGAGTGGCAGAGACAGAGGGATTCCTGGGACTTCCTGATCAGCCAATCTAGCCTATTTAGCAATCCCAGACAGGTGAGAAACCTTGTCTTAAAAATAAGGTGGAGAGTGATTGAGGAGAATCTCTCTTTCCTCTCTCTCTCTCTCTCTCTCTCTCTCTCTCTCTCTCTCACACACACACACACACACACACACTCACACTATACCCATCACTTCAATAATCTCCCTGAAGTCAGCTTTCAAGACTAACTCCTACCTCTAGGCTACTGTGGCATCCAAAAATCCCTCCTTCCAGCCTTTGCTTCCTCTAAGCTTCAGGAGGATGGAAAGTTGTGTTAATGAGCGAAGAAAGATAATGGAGTCTTACAGGAACTCTGGAAAGTTGGCTTGCATAGCCTCATCCTAAAGAGGATTCCAATCAACAGTTTTGTTGTTGTTGCTCAGAATGAACGTGTAGGCTGGAGAACGTTCTCAGGCTCTAAGTCAGCTTTTGTTTTTTCCTAACTGGGTGTGCTAAAGTGAAGCTAACCTTAAATGGTAGCCACCCGTTTTTATTTGCTGTTTTATGCAAGCCTTTGCTGAGCCTTTCTTACTAAATTCTTAGACGTTTATTCAAGATTGACATCTCCACCACTCTACCATCCAGCAACTCTGCTGGCACCGCACATTCCTGGCAGCTGGCCACGGCAGCAACGTTAAGATTACCTCCTCCCAGGAACTCATTAAAGCTGTGTTTGCTGGCGTCAGCGGGAGTCATTCCATGTTCATTTAACAGGTATTTATAGAGCGGGCACCTACTCTGAGCACAGTGAAGAATCACAAAGACCCAAGGCATGGTTTCCCATTTCTCATCTATTCAAAATCTTTTGAATTATTTATTTTATACGAACGAGTGTTTGCCTGCAGGTACGTTAGGGCACTCCCTGTATGCTTGGTGTTTTCAGGGTAAGAAGAGGGCGTCTGGCAACCTGAAACTGGAGTTACGGATGGTTGTGAGCTGGCCATGTGGGTACTGGGAACCAAACGCCAGTGTTATGCAGGTGCAGCGAGAACACTTAATTGCCGAGCCATCTCTCCAGCCCTTCATCCGCTATTCTACCAGACGGATTTACATGTAGCAAGCCTGGGCATCAGTTTCCTTTCTGGTTGTGATGTTAAGGATTGGATCCAGGTTCTTGCGCATGCTAGGCAAATGTTCTACCACGGAGTCCAATCTCCATCTCTTCAGTTTTCTCTCCTGATCCTCTGGATAGACTAGTCCTAACATTTGCCAGAAATAAAACATTTTTCCTTGTTACTTCTAACTAGAATCACAGCTTGTCTTCTTTTAATATTCTTGCTCTTGCCCATGGGCTTTGTTTAGTCTTATTTTGGTGGTAGTGGTTGTATGAAAAGAATCCAGGACTAAGGAAACCTTCTGCCACTGAAGTGTGTCTGTGGGACCTGCTCAGTGACAGAGCTCTTGCAAAGGGCTTTGGATTTGCTCACCAGTTGAAAACAAAACAAAACCTCATGGTAAACATTAGCTAACGATGTACAATTAAATAAAATTGAATGAAAAAATGTATTCTAGGTGCTTAATCTAAGTACATAGGAATTAAAATAATAAGATTGCACTTTATTCCCTCCTTGGGCTCAAAGTCTCCCAGGAAGGCAGACGTGGGCAAAGCAGTTGTCTCTGTTGGACAGTATGAGGGAAGACTTGAATGATCACCAGACAGACAGAGCAGAGAAGGGTTCCGCACATGGAGAACATCAGATATAAAGCCTACAGAATGAAGAAGTGTATTAACGGTGCACGAAGCGTTAATACCAAGGTCCTGGACAACCTGGGCTGAGAAGTTTACCTGAGCTCTGCCATTGGGAGTCCAAGAAAGGGAACTCCTTAGGGTGAGTGAAGTGATCAGATTTGCATTTTACAAAGAATATTCGGACTGCCATGAATGGTATGAATTAGATGAGAGAGGTGGAACAAGGACATTTTAGAAATGTATTAAAAAGGATCATACTTGGTAAAAAAAAAAAACTATGTAGGCAGGCCCTAGGCACTAGAGAATAACCTACTACCATTAATCTGCTAAGTGGACACAGTATTAGGCCAATTCCTGATGCCCGTTATTGGACCCACAGATTGGACCCTCTCGACTCTCATCAGAGAAGCTTTTGTTTGCAGTAAACAGGGATCAGCACAGAGACCCGCAACTTACCACCATGCAGAGAAGAGGCTGCAGGATGGTCAGCACTAAAGTGAGTAAATTACCTCACAGCCCTCCTTCCAAGTCTCAGGGATCTTCGAAGAGAAGGGTGAAAGACCTGTAAGACTCAGGTAGTGGATAGCTATGAGGAAGCAGTGTCTTCCGGACACAGCACGGTAGCTATACATATGACCTCAAAGTAGTTGTGACTGCATGCACAAAACCTTGCCAGCCCAAGTCAGCCCAAATTCCGGCATGGAGAAGAGATTTGCGCGTGAAGTTCCACCCCTGGCTGAAGGGCTATGATTAGCGATCGCTTGCTTCCCAGAAAGGAACGGTCAGTTTTCTCTAAATGTGTAACTATGATAAGTCCATCATACTCCAGTTGATTGCCCACACATGAAAGAATATTTGGGCAATTGCTTTTGGTGTGGGGGGGGGGGAAGACACAATATCGGGTGGGAAGGGAAGGAGGATGGATCTGGGAAGAGCTGGAATCAGGAGGATGACTAGGATCAAAACACATTGTACGAAATGCTCAAATAACATTTAATAAAGAAAAAAGGAATGATACATCGTGCAACAGGAACCGAGAACACAGGGATGATGCCAGCGAGTCTGGGAATACGAGCTGCAGAGATACGGTGAAACCAAGTTCAAAGTGACCCTTAAACTTCTAACTACGGTGCCAGCTGTGTGTTGGTGTTTTGCCCGGATACTGAACTGTTGAGGGAGGACAAAAAGATAGCTGGGAACCACAATTGGATGAGCACTTCAAAGATCTCCAGAAGCATAACTGTCAACGAGTTGGAAATCATGTGTTTGAAAACCATCCGTCTTGCGGATGATAGTTGAAGCTTGCCTGGAAGTGTCCTGAGATAAGAGACAAAAACTATAACAATATGGGTGGCTAACAAGACCTGTGCCATGGCAACGCTAGCCGACATGCCAACACGATGGGGGAAATGCCACAAGGCCCTGACCTAGCTGAAGAGTCGAGGACAATCAATGGCTTCTGAGAGAGAGAGAATTTTTCTCCAGGGACAAGGCCCCTGACAGGGCTCAGTTCAAGCCCACGTGACTAATCTCTCTCTCTCTCTCTCTCTCTCTCTCTCTTTCTCACACACACAGAGTTATGACTTTGAAAGGGAGTAGTTAGAGAGGGGAGAAGGGGGTGGAAATAATATAAATATAATATTTGTGTAAAATTCTAAAATAAATTAAAAATTTTAGATTTTAGAATAAAAAAACTATATTTAAAAAGAACATTTATTCTCAGGTAAGTGAGCAGACACATCACAGACAGTATGACTGCTTGGGACAGAGACAATATTATAGAAATGTGGAATGCTTATCAAGATTGCTGGGGTCACATATAATGAGATAATCTGAGACACAGAACTAGCAAAATGTTGTCTAAGCCTCACTAAGAGTTCAGAGGATGGTTGGAAACACACAAGTCAATAACACCAAAAAAAAAAAAAAAACCCTTCCATTTGTGGAGACCCCTATAAATGGAAATCTCATAATCTCTCCCGAACATATTTCCTTTCTATGATTTACAGCGTGACGTATTACAAAGAATCATTCTAATTCAACTACAAATGATTTTTAAGGCATTTCCCTAGCTGGCCATTTACCTTTCTCGAGCCCCTACTCTACAGCAGCCACGGGGGCTAGTAGAAGGAGACACTGTGGTTAGAGACAGAAAACCATTCTACCGAAATCTATAACTACGCGCTGAAGACTGCATGAAACATCTTTTCTCTCGGAGGCCAGGGCTCACCGCTGGGGAGAGCCCCAGAAAACTAGGCCGACAGTGAACATCGTTGAACAGAAACCCTTTCAGCCCAAGTGCTCCTCCTGAATCTCCATCTCTCCAAAGTCTCGGTCTGATACCACTGGACAGTCCCCTGGGAGCTCTGGGACAAGTGAGTGAGCATGTGCCCTGTGTGTCAAAGGTTGGCACACAGACCTGCGAGCTTGGATCAAGAACAAAGCTCTGGTACGATAAATAAAGGCACCGGAGAGTACCCGGCCTGCCTCTTCTTTCATCCGTGCACAGCAGTTGTCAGACAGCCTGGACAGTCTACCCCTCCTGCTCCTGCAGAGCAGATAGTCATCACTAAAGCCGCCCCAAAGGAAGCACATTTTAATGTTCAATAAAAATGGCACAAGCGGCAGCTCAACAAATATGAACGTTTGAAACTACCGTGTTTACATCTGCCACTTTCCCGTCTGAACCCTCACCAGCAGGCCGACATCCTGATACACTGAAAGAAGGAAAACAATCTAAAGGCAGGATGGGTGTGGCCGTACGGAGGTCACTATGAAAAAGAAGAAAAGGTAGCTGTTTGAGCAGATCCTGAATAGTCATTAGGCCACTGGGCTGCAAGGATTTATGCCACTGGGTACCTTGGTGACAGCCTTCAAAAGAAGTAGCCCCATTTTTAGGCTCTTTGTTTAGTCCTTACCGCACAACAAAGCAAGATACAAGGTCGAGCCTATAATAGCTCTGCACACAGAGGCAAGCAGCCGATGGCTCCTCCCCTTTGGGAAAAGCTTCCAGATTCCAAAGTTGGAAACATCCAGTGTAGTGTTCAAAATCATCATAACATTTGCCTCACTTAAATTTTATTAGTAGAAAGAAGCCGACAGAAAAGGGATAACAACAACAACAACAACAACAAAACCGCCCAGGATAAACATTCAGGATAAATAACTTCTTCTCGGTGAACACACACACACACACACACACGCCCACGCCCACGCGCGCGCATGCACACACCCCTCTGGGTTTTGAGCCAATCCCCACAGTTATACAAAATAGTTAACAGAAGGTATGTGAGCAGTGCATACTGCCAGCTGGGTAAAGGGCCCTGGGTGGGTCCTGCAGCTTCTCAGCCTAGATGACCAACTTCTCCACGCTAAGCGTGGTTTCATCCTCTTCGTTGGAGCCGAAGTATCCCGGGAGGTCCAGCATTCTCTGCTCAGCCTCAGTGAGGCGGAAAGAGGTGTTGTCGTAGAAGGCGAACTCTGGGTGGATGGGAAAGCTCTGACATTTATCTTTTCGGCAGTGAGAAGGGCTGAGCTGGCTGACTTTCTGGTAGCTATCTTTGGGGAAAATGGGTGAAGGCTGCTTCCGCGAAACACTCCTGTGACTGGGGGACGGTCCCCTGTGAGCTCGGTGAGGCTCCATTTTCTCAGTTCCTGCCACCAACCCTGCCTGGCGATCCCCCGAGTCCGGTTTCCTCCTGGGATGCCCCACAGTGTAGGATTTGGAGAGAGGGCCCAAGGGACTGCTGGCCCGACCTGCCCCTTGGAAGTGCTCTGATCTCTCTGGAAGCAGGTGGGCACTTCGACTAGGAGGCCTGGACCTATCCTCTATCTGGTCCCAGGTCCGCATCCTGGAACTGTAGGCAGGGACCTGGCGGGGAGTCAGTGCAGACAAGCTTCTCTCCCGGAACGGGCGGGACTGCTTGGTTTCATGAAAACTAGCGGTCCTCCTGAAGAGGGAACTTCTGGAGTGGCACCTCTCAGATGAGCCCTCTCTCCCCACAGATGACCTCGTCTGCGACTTGCGGATCAGGGTCTGGCTGGGACTGACCGCACAGCTGGGCGGAGGCACGATACCATCCAACCTGGAGGGGGGCCTGTCCCCGGCGCCTGCCACAGGCTGGTCCAGAAATGGAGTCTTGATTCGGAACTTGCTCGCTGCTGCTGCTTCTTCGGGGCATTCCAGGTCTAAGGGAGGACTGGCAGTGGCATCCACGACGGTGTCTGTCAGGGGACTCTGAGACACGTGGTACACTTTGGTGGTCTCGGTCAGCCCTTTCTTCTTCATCTCCTTCAACTGCTGCTGGGCCAGGCGGTAGCTGAACAGGGGCGGGATGATCTTCTGGGCGTTGGACTGGAAGCTCTCACTGCCGGAGGCCTCGTCGTCAGGAGCCGCTGGTGCGCTGCACCTGTAAGTCAAAGGGATGCCTGTGTCCCCCGGGCTTCCCCTGGGTCCATCACCCGCATCTGAGAAGCTTCCCCGAGGCTCGCTCAGCTCGCAGATGTTCTCCTCATCCGAGTTCTTCCGGAAGCCAGGGGTATGAATGGAGTTGTGTCGGGCAGGGGTGCTGCATTTGGGGGCTCTGCCGAACCTCCTCCAGAGAGTGATAAGCACGGTGGCAATAATGATGAACAAGCACAGGGATATCCCTGTGACCGTCACGACGTTGTTGGACTTCACTGGACCCTGAGGTGGAACAGACGATGGGCCGGGCGGCCGGAATACTTGAAAAAGAAAAAGATAAGTACAAAGTTAAAACAAATGTATTGTCTTATGTTGATTTCTCTGCGTGATTTGGGGGCCACAGTGGTTGCCCCAGTTATCAGAGCAATTAAAGAGGAAAGGAAAGAACCAAAGATTTGGGTTTCTGATGAGAGCTGAAGGTGGCCAGTAAAGAGAGAACCCTGCAAAAACGGGGAACCACAGAAGGGGTCCAGCAAGCCACAACCAGGAGACTTCTGTGCTCAGCATCTCCTGCCAAGACTCTCTCAACACACTTATGAAGATGGGACCACGGGCACCTATAGTTAGTTAAACGTACCCGATAAAGTCTACGTATAAAACTCGAAACCAAATATAAATAATTTAGATAACTGTACATAAACGTTTACAATTAGCAAAACTCACTGAGGAAAGTCCGACTAGGAGCCATGTAGTTAATCCAGACCCCACCCCCTGTGCGGGAAGAAGCTGCCCACAATCCTGCTCTCAGCCGTCACTGCCCTTCCCTGACTTGTCTTCATACCCGAACCCTCGCCAATGTGTGTCCCACAGTCGAGAGGTCTTGTGAAGATGCAGAACCCCCTAGAGTCTCCGACTGTACTGCAGTCGGACGTCTGGAGACCAGATGCCCACCATTGCCACCTGAGCTCACTGCGCCCCACTCCCACCCCTGCCTCAGTCACCGCCCACTGTCTAAGTGCTTCCGGGCACCTGCCCCCTTTTCCCTGTGGTATCACTGGGCCTCACCACCTCCACTTGCTCCCGGTGTTTCCCTGTGCTTTCCTACTGTTCTCTAAGCACACCTGATTACAAACCCCTCATACTCCTCCGTCTCCCTTCAGAGGGAGCCCACTTGGCCTCCTCATCTCACCTGAAGCCTGTCCCTCCCACAGAGCAATTTACCTCAACCCTCTCAGCTGGAAGCTGTCACAATGCCTTGGTATTGTTTTTTAAATATTTGAGTGTGTGAATGCACGAGAGAGAGAGAGAGAGAGAGAGAGAGAGAGAGAGACCCCTCATAGGCAAGAAGAGAGTTCAGATGCCCTGGAGTTGGAGTTAGAGGAAACTGAACTTTAGACCTCTGCAAGATCTGACTTTGAAAAATTCTTAACAGGTACTCGTTAGTACACCTTCCCTTTCCAGCTGTATCCACGTTGCAGCTGTGTGTTGCAACAGCACAGGTTCACACCTTTGAAGCCCATCGGGGCGCTCTGTCTGCCCCCTCTCCTCCTAGCACACCAGTCTCTAGCCCCTTGAACGCCTCACGGGTCTCAGGTCTCTGAGCTGTTCACAGCTACGCCTTCAGTCATCGCTCCTTCAATCAAGCCCCCTGCCCCCAAGCTCCTCTGGGTGGTGCGTTCTCCATTCTCAAGGTCCAGGTCCAGCATCACCTGCTTCAAGAACTGAGCTGTCCCCAGCGTGGATTTTCACCCCACATGCTTCCAGAGAAATCCGTGGGCACTTCTACCATTTCAGGCTTTGTATTATATTCTATTTCTCTCTGAACCTTCCAGGCTGCTATATCATATTTCAAGACAAGGATGTACCTTGTAAGTAAATTCAGTATAGTCCCAATCCCAGCCCCAGTTCACTGTAACCTGCACACAGTTGGTATCCAGTGAACATTAGTTTAATCAACCAATTCAGTCCTTACTAAGAAGAATAATAGCAAAACAATCACTATCACACCAGACGGGAAGAACCTACCACAACGATGGCCTCTGCCTGCTCTTTCGTTGACGTGTTACATGGCTGCACTCAGGGGCACAGTTAGCCAGACAGAACCCTAGATCCCTGACTCAGTGAAAGCAGAGACTCATTCCCTGGTGTGTCCCCTCTGTCACTGGCCATGACAGCCGATGAAGGTGTGTGGCAGAATTCCTATCACCAGTCACAAAGTGCTCTCTTCACTACACTACTCTCTGACTTTGGCTGACAGCTTCAAAAACAAACAAACAAAAACCACACAGCTGGAAAAGAGTTTCTCTCAGCTGCTGTTCTGGCCCATCCTGCCTCATCCTACGCTTCCCAGATCTCCTGAAGTGAAGCAGATGCCCTGACGTTAAAGTGGATCTTCGCATCTCCAAGGAGTGACAACGTACAAAATAGGAGGAAGCGAATACGTGGAGAGATCGTTTTATCCCAGGCGTCAGTGTACAGGAAGGGGTAACTTCATCACTTAGCTGTCTGGTTAAGAATGTGTGCTTTTCCAGACCCCACCCAATATCACAGAAGTTCGGTGCCAGAACGTAAAATACAACCATGTTTCCTCAGAAAACAATGGCCAATTTCTCTTGCTGATGTCTCTTCCAGAAAGCTACATTGGCCTGAATATAAATGCAAAGTATTTAAGATACGCAGCTTACTATGATTCCTATTCTCCTCAATCCCTCACTGTGTGACCCTGGGCAGGGCACCTCCGTGTGCCCAGAGCCTTCCTCCAGACTGTGCAGGAGAGAGTATATAGTCATCACTTAGGATCTTAGGATTGTCTCCTGGATGTTTGGGGATATCAGCCTCTGCAGGTGTCTATAAAATGGTGTCAGAGTTGCATAGAATTCATATACAGCCTCCTGCTTTTGAATACATTTTTAGGTCACCTATATTGTCCAGGATTGGACAACAGTTGTATAACTAGTTGTCACACTATAAACATACAGAATGATGACAAGAAAAATGGTTGGGCCTGGCAGGATGGCTCAGCAGGTAAGGGCACTGGCTGCAGACCCCGACAGTCGAGTCTGACTCCCAGAACGCACGGGATAGAAAAAGTAAATGCTGGCCAGGCGGTGGTGGTGCACGCCTTTAATCCCAGCACTCGGGAGGCAGAGGCAGGGGGATCTCTGTGAGTTTGAGGCCAGCCTGGTCTACAAGAGCTAGTTCCAGGACAGGAACCAAAAGCTACGGAGAAACCCTGTCTCAAAAATCAAAAAAAAAAAAAAAAAGAAAAAGCAAATGCTGCAAATTATCTTATGACTTCTACACTAGCACTGTGGCACATGCATGCACTCAAAGGTTTATGTGTATATGCACATGCAAAATTTGCAATGCTAAAAAAGAAAAAATGTTTTCACATGTTTAGAACAGATGCAATGTCTTTTATAGCATTCAGGACCTATTAAAGAAGAAGAGGTAACTGAGGGCAGAAAGAAAGGCCTAGGCTACAGTTGCAGTAAGAAGACAAAATGGAGAAAAACATTCTTTAGATGCTAAAATGAAGGCCACAAGACCTATGGTACTGGCTGAAAAGACAAAGGAGCAAAAGGACCTTTTAAGGCTACAGACACTGGGAGATGCTGCTGGGTGCCTATAGTCTTGGCTAAAATGTTCTCTAAGGTCCAAATAAAGGGAAGCATCTAACGCATCTCAATCCCATAAGGCAGAGCTAAGGATGCCTTTGAATCTGGAAACGGAGAGTATAAGTAGGTGGGCCTTGACAGAGGAACTTTATCTAAAAGTCAGGACCTCAGCAAAAGCTGGCCGGCTGACCAAGCTGCTTCTCAGGGGGTGACTGAAGTAAGAAGAACATGACCCCTCCATTGCCATAACTGTAAGTGCTATTCCACTCCACAGAGGAAGCAAACCTGGCTCAGGCAAGCGACCATCTCCATGAACCACTCACAACAAATACCCTGGAGTAGCTATCAGGGTGGACCTCCATGATGCTCATAAAACGCAGACAAGTCCTGTAACTGGGGATGGCGAGAAGAAATATCCCTGCCGCCTCCTCCCAGACAGAACCAGTAACAGATAAACTTAGACCACTGAGAAGGAAAGAAACAGGGCGCCCTGCTTCATTTTGACAACTGAGGGTCTACACACCCCGTTTGGACAACCTCTGAGATGACAGGCGGAAAATTAAGAAAAGATGTTTTTCTATAGGACTTTTTGTTATGTTTCGTTTTTAGGAAGGCGAAAAGGTAGGGGGATAACAACTGGTTGGGCACATTGTTATGCCTCTATCCTAGCACTCCAGCTGCTGAGATGGGATAAAAATTCAAAATCTTTCTGAGCTACAGAGTGAGATCCTACCAAAAAAATCTGGTGCCGGCAAGATGGCTCAGTTAGTGAAGCGCCCCTGCCAAGCTTGAGAGCCTGAGCTTCATCCTTGGCATCCACACAGGCAGGAAAGACCAGATTCCCACATCATTTTCCAACTATTTCTGTATTGTTTAATAAAACCCCTTAACACAGCTGAATTTTTAGACATACTCCCATGTCACTTCCCTCACTCCCAATAGTAAATCCTATCATCTCACTGGCAAGTTACCATGGCAACTACTCCAAGTCTTAGACACCGATAAGCGCAAAGCAAGAACAGTGGCAATCAGAGAAGTAAGCGTCCACTGAGCACAGACTGGTAGTTCCCAGACAGGCCTAACTGGCAGGGGCTCTGAGCAGTGACCCGAAAGGAAGCAGGAACACGTACCAGCACACTCCTCCAGGGAGCATGAAGAGGTCTCTGAGGATACTCCCGAGCAGCTGGGTCTGGAGGGGAAAGAAGCGAGACACGCGCGGCGCCGTTCTCGGACAGCCTCCCCGCACGTGCTGCTACACCGGCTCCACGGCTGCCAGGGTCCCCAAGACTCTGCAAGGATATAAGTCATGCTTTTAGTGCCAAGCATTTAAGAATCAGTGTTTAACTGCACCCGACTGAAGCGGCAAAACTCAAAGCTCTGGTCTTAAAAGGCTAGAAGTAAAAACATTCTCGATGTAAAAAATCTGGAGGGTCAGTCTTCGTCTCAAAACAAAGAAGAGCTGTATCATGTATACAGCCTTCTCTGGTCTTAGCATTCCTACACCCCACCAGAGGGCTGAGGTCACAGGGCAACAGACCAGCCCGCAGTGAGAGGAGAGTCAGGCCCCTCCGAGGAAAGAGGGGCTGCAATACTTGTTTGCCTGGGACAGAGTCCAGGACCCACCCACACCAGCTCATCAGACAAACACATCTAAGACGTAGGAACCGCTGAGGGGTAGGATGAGAACAGAGAGCCCCTGGGGACAAGATAAGAAGGGGAACTTGTGCCCACTTGCACCTCTTCCCACTAGCAGGACTGAGGCCAGTGCAGGACTAGACACAGTGTGTGTCTGGAGGGACAAGGTCACAGTAAGAAAGCCATCAAACCGTATGGATCTTTCCTTCCATCTCCTCTATGGAACAGCCTCCACCGCTGTGCATAGCAAACCAGTCATTCCGAGAGGATCCACTGACTGTTGTGACAGACTTGCAGAAGAGCTGAAAATGTCTTGGGCCCCCACTATTCGAAGGTCTTCCACGACTACATGAGATCATAGAGCCTTCCTCATTCCTGAGATTCAGACACATAGCACTTGCTTCAGATGAAACGGAACCACCACAAGACAGTTAGTAAATTAAGTACCAAGTAGTTTAATATTAGCAATGAGTCATACCTCCAGGCTAGAAAATCGCATACCAAGTCCCAAATATCAACAGTTTGGTGCCCATGGAAGGCAAGAGCTAGAGGTGAAAGCCAAGGTGAAGGCTGGGAAGATGGTTCATAAGAACGGTGCTTGCTACCAAGCCTGAAGATCTGAGTTCAATCCCTAGAATCTACATACAAATCCTGCAGGATGATGGAAAGTGAGGGACGTATAGAAACATGAAGACAATCCCTTTCGCAGCACAATGTTTCCCCTAAACAGAGAGTAGCACTGACACATATTGAAATCTTAGATACAGTAAGGGTTGCCAGAGCAACAGGAACAACCCAAACACGGCCCAGTTTTTTACCACATTAACCCAAAACCCACAAAAATAGCCTATTGAAAGCAGAAGTATACCTATTTCTGGAAATAAATTACATTTGCCTCAGCGTCTATAATTTCAAGCAATTCTGAGATGCATAAAAAAAGCAAGAAATAATAGTAATCAATAAAATCAGACTCCGAAATGACTTAGATGGTAGGTATATTGGAAATAAAATTCAAAATGCCCGTGAGTAGTGTGTTAAATTAGAAATTAATGGAAAAGTCAAACAAGATATACACACATATGAAAAGATACACCACTGCTGTAAGCTAAGGAGAATAACTAAAATGCAAGAACCACAAAATTACAGGAGCGAAGATAACAAAAGCCTTCGTCCAACTCCCAGCATATTCCACACACTTTAAGAAAATAATATGAATATGGGTAACTAGAAAGAACTCAAATGGAAAGGAAACATAAATACATCTCTGAGTAGAATGTGTACCCCAAAAAGCACGTGGTAGGAGTCTGACACACCCCAACCCAACCCGGTGCAGCAGTGTTGGGAGGTTCGACCTAATGGAAAATATTTAGGTCCTAAGGGCTCTGACATCATAAATGCCAATGCTCCCCACAAAAGCCATAAACCATCTCACAAAAACCCAGCACTAAGGATAAGAATTGATCATCAGGGAAGTCCAAGAGACTCCCAAAACAATATAGGCTGTGGCTGTTGCCCTTGACTGTCTCCTAGAGGTTGAAGGCAGGTCCCTATTGCTGAAGACACCATGAACTTCAGGCACAGAACCCGGAAAATTCGACCTGTATCTGAGTTTCTGCCTGCCTGAGGACTTGGTTGCAGAATATCAAAAAGTGCTATGGCAGCTTGTGAAGAGGGAGGTAATCAGTCCTGCCCAGCTGTGACACCCATGAGCTACAACAATGGCCAGCATGTCAAGGTCTTCCTAAGAGTGCAATGATGGCTTTCTAGCTTGGCAGCTGTCTACTTAGACCTAAGGCCTGCTCATCAGAATGGAAATCAGACCTGGTACTTGGAGACCTATCCGACTAACCTGGGCTACATGGATCTTCGAGGAAACCTACTGCTGCCTCTTTGCTAGACCAGAATAACTCCCAACTGCATTCTAGACACTCGTCTTTATAGCCACAGAGAAGTGTAGATCTCAACCCTCATCAAAAAGCTTGTTTTGTAGCAGTTATGAGACCATCATAGAAAATCACAACTGGTCACAGTGCAGAGAACACCTGACCATGGGGGGCCCAGCCCCAGTAGATATGTCTACAACACAACTCCTGCAAATATAGTTCGGGAACACATGGAAGACGGGCAGAGAGATTTTAAAAGTCAGAGGACCAGGAGATCTGTGAGACTGTATCTCCTAGAAAAGACAGGGAAGCCGCAACCATGATATCACAGCAGCATGGCTCCCTAAACAAGACCTGAGCAATGAAAATGCTAACAGACATGCTAATAGGATAAAGGGAAATCTTCAGGGCTCCAGCCCTAGAAAAAGAACTACAGGCAACTAACACCTGCAGAGAGAAGAACTAGTCTTCCCCAGAGATAAGCCCCTAAGGTTATGCAACACCAACTGGCCAGCCCTGACATCATATACATATAAGCAATACTAAACAGACTCAACAGGTTGTATTTATATATTTATGTGTATATATGCAGGTATGTATGCATATTTAACAATAATAATCAAAGGAAAAGAGGCCGTGAGTTTGAGATGGAGTAAAGGGGAATGGAAAGGGTTGCAGGGAGAAAAGGTAGGAGAGGAAATGATGCAATTATACTTTAATTAAAATAACATTATTAAGAAAAAAACTGTTTCTCAAAGTAGACTAGAGGTAAAGATATATTTACATATCTTTATATATATTATATAACATGTCTGTTATATTTTATATGAGAGAAAATATAAAATACAGAGATATATTTTTAAAAAAATAAAACATAGAGAAAAATTTCTAGAACAATCACTAAAATATTTTAAGGTATAAATCATAGACTCATAGGATTGTTAAAGTAAATCATAAAAATCTTCAATTAATCTGCAAAAAAGGAGAAAAACAAAACAAAGATCTAATGGAAGATTTATAGCCCCAGAAAAACAGACTTTAATCCAAATGTGTAATAACAAAACTAAACATAAATTGTATAAACATACCAATTAAAAAACAAAGATTGTTAGATTGGATTAAAAATCTGACATGACCCAAGTGTGTATGTATGTATGTATGTATATAAATATGTGCGCATATGTGTGTGTGTGCTGTTTGAAATCAAGAACTTTACATATATATAAATATAAACACATATAGATATGTATAATATACACGCAAAACATGTATGGGTCAAAAGTAAAAGGACAGAAGAAAATATAATTTGTGAATATTGAAAGGACATGGAATGCCTATATTAACAAAAGGCAAAACTAGCTGCAATCAGAACTGGGACGTTACCTGGCTACAGAGGAACAACGTGGGACAAATGAGTCAGTTGCTCTTAACAGTCCTAGGGGCAATCCACCTATGCATGGAACCTCACAATACACACAAAACTGCCCCTAAACAGCTTTCTTCCACTCTTCCAGTACTGGGCTAGAACCCAGAGACTCTGGCACACTAGACAACTGCTCTACCACTGAGCCGCACCCTCCAGATAAAAATGCTGTTGACAAATTCAAACTTCCTCTTTGAAGCAGATATGAAATCACTGCAACTCACAATAACTTGTTTCTTAGTGACAATCAATCCAAAACCCCTTCTCTGTTTATAGGTATCCATCCAACACTCGTATCTATCAGAACAGGCAGCACATGTCACCCTCTGTATAATAATGTCTCTTCATCCCTAATGGGCAAAAACTCCTAACACAGCTACAGGTACACGGAGCACTACAAAAACACAAGGAAAACCGTAGGGCAGAGGTGTTCTCAGGGGAGCCAAGTGCTGCAATCTCTGGAGTGAGTCATGGAAGAAGAGTTTGTTAAGGTAATTAAGCCTCTGCGGGTTTTCACAAGCGTATGAGCATTTTAAATGAGCATCATGGACCAACATCAACCGAGATGTGGTAATGATATTCCATGCAGAGGTCCAACTGAACACAATATTGGTTCTGTGCCTCCTGGATCACACTGTAGTGCGTCCTGGAGAAGAACAATGAGCCAGCTTTGTCTGCAAGGCTCCAGAGCAGCTCAGTCCCTGAGTCCCCCTGCGCCTGTGAAGCTCTGGGAATCTCCTATGAAAGTCCCTCTGTGTTCACCTAATGCGGTTCATTTTCTCAAATTCTACTGGAAATTCTATTACTACAAGCTCTCAATAGAAAGTTAAATCAAAATACAATTGATTTATCCTTTTCTTGTGTTTGTGTTTCATACCATGAAATGGAGAATTACAAAAAAAAAAATCAATAATCCTCTTGTTTCTCTAAGCATACCAATTAAAAGCCCGAGATAGTTAAAAAGCACGACCCATTTATATTCTCTTTAAAAATGGTTTTGACTTTCTGTAATACAAGTATAATTTCTTTAAATACATAAAACCATTTGTGAAATAAAACCAACTCCCTTAGTGAACCAGAAAAAGAAAATCAGTTTTGATTCAAAACAAAACAGAAAAACATGAATCTTAATGTAAAAACAAAACAAAAAAAATCATTTAAAAATGTGTTTGGGTCTTAGGAGAAGGCTCACGGGGTAAGAACATTTGCTATGAAAGCAAGTGGACCTGAATCCAAACCCCAGGACCCTTGCAAACACCAGGCAAGACTATCTGTGCCTGTAGTTCTAACACAGGCATTGGTGGAAGCAGAAAAATCCCAGGAGCTCACTGCTCAGCCAGTCTACCTGAAACTGAGCTTCAGGGTCACTAAAAGACCCTGGTTCAAAACGGTCAGAAGAAGATGGAGCACAGTAGAGAAGATGTCTGGAGGAGGCAGGACCACTACTGCCCAGCTCCAAGCTGAAAGTTTGTTATTCCTTAGACTGGAATTGATAAAATGACCCGCCAGGCTAGTCGGCTTAACCTTTGGTTTCATTTGTTTTGGGGTCCTGGGACCAAGCACTACCTACCACCGAGCGATAGCCCCAGTTCATAACCCACTCCGCTTGGCGCTCTGACTCTTCACTCAAACATCCTGGGCAAATTACTTCGCTTTTCTGCGCCTTCACTTCCTCACCTATAAAACTACAATACAATGAGCCTAATTTATGGGGTTATAAGGCCTAAAACGGTGAAGAGCCACGAAAAGCACTTAGAACAGTACCAGGGGCACAGTAACCACACAAAGACCATAAGGAGTCCCTTTTCGCAACATGCAGAATGTACTGGATCCTTGGGTCCTAAGTCATATTTAGAAGAGGAGAGAGCCATAAACACATTATTCCATTTTTTAGGAAAAGGATTAATAAGATTCATTGAGTCAGTGACTCAGAAGAGTGGCAGTGAAGAGGTTGGGGAGGGATAAAGGTAAGGGCTGCTATAGTTGTAATGCTCTATCCCTTTAAGAGACAAGCCACGCCCACTCCCTCCCTGTCCACCGAGGCAAGCTGATCTTCAGTTTCCATCCTGAGTTCCTTCTCTCCCTCCCCCCCAACAAGTCTGCCTCGCTCCATTCTCCCCAGTTCTCCCCTTCCTCTCCTCTGTCTCTGTCTCTTACCTTCTGCTCTTCTCCCCCTCTCCCTTTCCCTTCCATAACCCACTAAATAAATCTCCAACCTCACTCAGCAGGGTGTGCCTATCCAGTCTCTCGCCCACAGTGCGGCTCTCTGCCTGGGACCAAGCTACCTTCGGAGACCTGCGGTGTGGTCTCCTAGTGTGCCCATCTGTCTGTCTCACCCATCTGTCTGTCTCTCCTCGTAGGACTGGCTGCCCCATTGAGTCTCTGACCCACCACATGGCTCGTGGCCCCCTGCAGCCACTTGGGGAACTGCGCCATCCCTGCCTGGGAGTAGCTGCTCTCAGACCTGGCCTGCAGCCTGCACTTCGGGAGATGCAGCGTGGTCTCAAGGCCTGCTGCCTGCTGCGCTCCTCGGGAATCTGCAGCATTTTACTTAATCCATTACAATAGTAACATGAGGACCTCTCCCCAGCATCCATGTGAGGACCTAGAGGTCATTTCTCAGGAGCCGCAAACATTGTCTTTAGTCTGAGACAGGATTTCTCACCAGGTCCTATGGCCTCTCGGTTAGGCTAGCCTGACTGGTCAGAAAGCCCCAGGGGTCCCTGTGTTCACCAGGCTGGAAGGTACTCTGCAGGGATACCAAAGGAGAAAGGTAAACAGGAAACAGCTACAAACTCTTTGATGACCCGCCTGCAGGGTATGGCGGTGCAATAGTGGCACAAAGCTTATGGGGGTAACCAATCAAAATCTTATTGATTTAAGGCTCACTCCACAAGATAAACCCATACCCTGTGTGGGTAACCAAGAACCTGAGACTAGACAGGCCAGGGACCTAGGGGAAGCCAAACACTACTGCTCTGCTAAAGGGTTATCATAATAAAACGACTCCTAATGACATTCTGCCACATTCATAGATTGGTGCCTTGCTCAGCCATCATCAGAGAAGCTTCCTCTTGCAGTGGACGGGAACAAACACAGAGACCCACAGCCAGACAATATGCAGAGAACATACTGGAACACTTAGTGCTAACTTGGATGTCTCCATCACATTCCTCCCCTCAGGGCTCAGGGAACCATGCAGAACAGGAGGTGGAAAAATTGTTAAGGGCCAGAGGGGATGGAGGACACCAGGGAAACAAGGCCTTCTAAACACAGCGGGACTGATCACATATGAACTCACAGAGACTGAGGCAGCATACCCTAGTCTGCACGGATGAATCTGTACCACATAGAGTCCTAAAGCTGAGAGAAGTGGGCACACACCCCCATCCCTAACCAGAAGCTATGAGCAATTAATAACCACTTGGTTTTCTTCAAGGGTGGAGAAACAGACCACTCTTAAGTGTGGGCCCCATGCCCAGGAGCAGATGGCCAACACAAAATGAACTCAACAGCATCTTTGGAGGGTCTCTGCCTCGTAATGCTAAGTCATTGCTTCTGGTTGTGTTTTTTATGGGACTCCTGTGTAAGCCACCTCGTGCATGACTGAGTCTACATGTATTTCTTGTTTTTTATGGACTCCTGTGTGCCGCCTCGTGCGTGACTGAGTCTACATGTATTTCTTGTTTTTTATGGACTCCTGTGTGTGCCGCCTCGTGTGTGACTGAGTCTACATGTATTTCTTGTTTTTTATGGGACTCCTGTGTAAGCCACCTCGTGTGTGACTAAGTCTACATGTATTTCTTGTTTTTTATGGACTCCTGTGTGTGCCGCCTCGTGTGTGACTACATGTATTTCTTGTGCTTTTTCTTTGGCTCTTTTTTTTTTTGGTTTGTTTTTTCCTATTCCAATTTGTTTTTGTTTTATCTTATCTCATTTTCATTTATTATTATTCCTTACATGCCTGTTTGTTTTCTAATGGGAGGCAGAAAGGGTGTGGATTGGATGGGAAGAACGGTAGGGAGGAACTGGAGGAGCAGAGGGAGAGGAAACCATAATCAGGATATAGAATATGGAAAAATCTATATTCAATAAAAGAAACCACAGTATCACAGCCAAGGGTCGAGGGCCATCCTGAGAGAAGGGATAAAAGAACTGTAGGACCTTGAAGGTGGGGAGGACAGGAGTGAAACTGGGTTTTTGGGATAGGACCTGACCTCAGTCCCCAGGGACTCACAGCATCTGTGGCTGCCTGAACAAGACCACCATGGAGTGGAGAGGAGCACCCAGCCCTCCATCTTTAGCTGAAGAGATACTGATGCTTAATAGTTTTTGAGGGAAAGAGGAAACCTAAAGAGGTTCTGTGAATTGAAGTGCCAGGACAGCTGTGTGGTCCCCTGGCCCCCAACAAGTTCTGTCTCCCCAGAATCCACACCTCCAGGCTCCCCTAGCTATGGGTAGAAGGTATTCAGAGAAAAACACTGCACCTGCACCGAGATGCTCGGTCTCTCTTCTTGTCGTCGTCCCGCAGACGATGCAGAATAACAGCCACTGACACAGATTACATCATACTGTCGTAGCCTAGGGATGACTTGGGGTTTACAGGAAGTGGAGTGTAGGTTGTATATGAATCCTACGAAATGCTGGTGTCTGGAGACCCCAAAACCAATCTCCCACAGAAACTGAAAGATGAAGATGCTCTTAATTTTTCATGGAAAAATACTAATGCTAATTGGTGTAGTCTGGAGAATGAATCATAAATACTACAGATCACCTAGACTGTGCTAATTTCAATTAGATAAAGGCACCGATTTAATTTTAAAATGCTGAAAAATCTTAATACCAACCTATATTTCTCTGAATTAACATGCACTCCTTTGCAGAAAAATGGCTTTTCCTTGAAATTCCAAAATTAAAGCAGTACTTGTTCTTCCCCACATCAAACAAAGTGCAGTTAAACACTGCGCTCTTCTCTCCCAGGGACAGGCTGTTTTCAGCCAGCTGTGAAGTTCTCTCCCCCGGGTGTCTGGGGGCCTCTTTGTAAACAGCAAGCACTCCTTGGACAAAGACACAAGGAGGAGGCAGAACAGTCACCTGCACCACAGACTCACACGTGACTTCCGGTGCCATTGCCAATGCGTATCCGAATTTTTGGGCCAGGTCAATAGGTCCTACAGACGTGATGACTGAATCTTGACCCCAAAGCTTCAGCGTCACAGTGACGTAGGCTTCCACCCCTACGGGTGCACAGCCAAATTCAACCCATTGAACTTGAGCGAGTTCTGTCCTTTTGGTGGCTCTGATCTCCAGCGGCTGCCCCGTTGTTCTTGCCTCAGAAAGACTGTCGGTGAAAACCACGTCCACCAGCATGTCCGGCTTGTCCCCTGGAAACAGGCAGAGCGGTTGAGTGGTAAAAAGGCCCACCTGGAAGGTGCCTTCTGCAGCCATGGCTGTCCGATTCAAATCAATGTGGAAGATGGGCCATTCCACCTTCAGAAAGACACTTTTCTCCCAGCCGGGGGCTTGCGTGCCATTGTCCGTCGCTTCCGGAGTCATTACAAACCAGTAGTCGCCGGCCCCCTGGAAGAAGAAGCACTCGAACTGGAGAGTCCCCTGGGACTGGTTGGTCAGGATGTACTTCGTGGTGAGAGTCTGATTGGTGTTGGCCTCCCACAGCATGACAGACACGTTCCTCAGTGTCCCATTAGCGTCACTGAGGGAGTAGAAATCCACAGATACCGTTCTGTCGCTCAGGGCCACGTGGACCGGCTCTCGCAAGAGGAGGTACTCGGCTTCTCCGAGGACTGGAAGGCAATAGTCAGAACTGTATTTTAAAGGGTGCGCTTGAGTTGAACTACCAGCGATGCAATGAAGAGAAAGAGGAAGCAAGCCAAGGACATTACAGAACGACCCACAGGAACTAAGAGGCTAAGCACCGGCTTTTTCCTTTCTAAGAGCTATGTGTTCTTTCATCGCCCTGACGTTGACAATGGTGGACAGTGATAACCACTCTGAATTCACAACATGTAACATCTAACTGCAGTGAATAACTGTGAAGGTAGAAGAATTAATTGTCAGGTCCCAGACTCTGAACTCAGCCCCTCACGTTTCTTACTTTAATCATTTTCAGGTGTTCAGAGAAAGTTGGGTTTAAATGGCACAATACGGATTCCTGTAGATTATTTAAAATGTAAGATACTCACTTCTGTTCAAAGTTACTATTCAAGATAAGCATTTAGGAATTTTTAGCAGAAAAAAAGAACCAGTATTCTCTACTTGGGTGAGGAGGAGGGTTTTAGATGGATGAGAGATGTCATTTATTTATACTTTGCTGCTCACCCATAATCGTTTGAGCATTTCTGAAATAACTGGGCAGGTCCTTGGCAACTTTAAGGCCATGACAGCAACTGCGCTGCATCGACAGGACAGATGGCTGCTAATTTCCCAAGCACCATTCAGTTATGGCCAACCACATCTTTGAAAGGGACCAGCAGAGCAGCTGGAAGGGTACAAAGAATCCAGACACATAAGAATCTTTGTTTCTTTTCTGAACTGGACCCAGAGAAATATCAAAGCAGGCAGAATTTGGCAATGCAACAATCAGCTGGCCCATGGCTGGCTAAGATATTATACTATAACGAAAGAACTGCTAGGACCCCTTTTTGGTTTGAAAAATGCTACATAATTTAAAAGTGTATTATTCTTACTGTATATATCCCATCCATACATCATGTACACGTCTAAAGGGGCTCACATTTTTGCTTATAATTATCTTTAAACTCCCCTTATCTTAATTTAATCAGTGACTATTAGAATCAGCACATGACTAGATCAACACATAGATCAGTCAGCACCTCATTTATTTCCTACCTGAGAGTAAAAGAAGATAAACTAACACTTGGATAGATTTGAATACTTGATCATACTTACTGAAAAATCATAACGGGATAAAATTTGCTTTATTCTGTTTTTCCATTTAGGGAAAACGGAAGTTGATGAATATTCCCTTGCATCTGGAGACAACGTGAGCTGAGGAAGGTATACACTAGTGGCAAAGAGACTCTCACACTTATCATAGGTCAAGGAATTAAGACTGAGACAAAAGTAATTTTAAAAATGCTTTTGAAAAAGTTTAAGTGTGTGTGTGTGTGTGTGTGTGTGTGTGTGTGTGGAGAGAGAGAGAGAGAGCAGCTGCCTATAGAGGCCAGACACACTGGATCCCTTGGAGTTTCAGGTGGTTTCGAACCACCTAACACAGCTGCTGGAAATTGTGCTCAGCCTTCTTACCCGCTCCTAACTGTTGAACGATTTCTCCAGCCCCACTAAGGTCATCTTAATTTAAATTTGAAAGGGTCAGATCTGTTCCCTAGTGCATCTTAAGGACAAAGAGGTGCATACCACTTCATTAATGTCTTAGTTAGGATCTCTGTTGCTGTCATAAAACACCACGACTAAAAGTAACTTGGGGAGCAATCAGTTTATTTCAGTTTGCAAGTGAGTAACTGACTCTGGTGTTTAAGTATTTGGGGAAAATAAATATACAATAGTAATGAAAGTTTGATTTAAATGGCATGATACAAGTTGTTATAGGTTATTTAAAGTGTAAGATACTGGGCTGGAGAGATGGCTCAGTGGTTAAGAACATTGCCTGCTCTTCCAAAGGTCCTGAGTTCAATTCCCAGCAACCACATGATGACTCACAACCATCTTTAATGAGGTCTGATGCCCTCTTCTGGCGTGTGGGCATACACACAGACAGAATATTGTAATATACATAATAAATAAATAAATAAATATTTAAAAAAATAAAGTGTAAGATACTTAGCTTCTCTTCAAAGTTATGATTGTCCAATATTCAAGATAGGTACTTAAGAATTTTTACCAGTAGAACTAGTGTTCTCCACTTGGGTGAGGAGGGAATTTTCAGGTGGACGAGAGATGCTATTTATCTACTCTTCATTGGTCACTCATAATAGCATGAACGTTTCTGAAATAACTAGGCAAGCTACACTATCACTGAGAGAAGGCAGGGCAGGAACTCAACACAGGAACCTGGAGGCAGGAGCTGGTGCAGAGGCCAAGGGGGAGTGCTGCTTACTGGCTTGCTCCTCAAGGCTTGCTCAGTCTGATTTCTTATAGAAGCCAGGCCCATGGGCCTAGGGTTGGTACCACCCACAGTGGTCTGGGCCCTCCCACATCATTCATTAATCAAGAAAATGATCTGTAGACTTAGCGGTAGGCCAGCTTTATGGAGGCATTTTCTCTCTTGAGAACCTCTCTTTCCAAATGACTCTAGCTGTGTCACGCTGACACAGAACTAACCAACAACAACTAACAAGACTGGGATTGTTTTGTTTTGCCTTGAGCTAGGATGTAGCATCCTCCTGCTGTCTACCTCCCAAATACTAGGATTACAAGCATGCATCATGTCCAGCGATCCAGAGCCTATTATAAAAGACAGAGATTGCCAATGAGGCTGACCAGATTTTGATTCGGTGGGAGCCAATCAATGAAAACAGCATACATCTGGTCTTACTGCATCCTAGTACTAAGCTAGTGTTTTTTTGTTTTGTTTTGTTTGTTTCTTCTGTTCTTTCATTTTCCCTTCCCCCATTTATTACAGAATTTAGAGTAACTAGAATATTCATGTAAGCATGTTTACATACGCATGTGTATAACCCATAGTAATAGATCTCATCTATATTCAGCAGATATGAAGGGGGAAAAAAGAAGTCTGAAGATTTCTTTTTTTGCCAGGCTTGGTGGCGTACACTTTTCACCCAGGGATACGGAAGCCTGTGCAGCATCTTACGGGGCAGGCATGGCTGTGTGGTAGTCCCATCTCTCGGGGAAGAGCAAAGGAGGAGAGCTACGTGTAACATGCTTGTTTTCATTTATTTAGTAGTAGTGAGGATTTGTTTCATTGTCTTTCTTTTTTTTGAGTTACAAATACGTTGAAATTGAAATTTGAATCAATCAGGCAAACCCCCGAAGTACAGTATTTCTTGAGAGGCCAGGGTGACAACGCCATGGCTTCAGGAGAATTCTGCTGGCCCACTCGACCTCTCCCACGCAGGGTTGCCAACATCAGTGCATTGGTTTCCCGGCGATGCCAAGGGCTTGGTGGATTCTCACCTTACTTACCATAGTCACAGAGCACCACCAGCAAGAGATTTGAAAAGTCTTTCAACATTGGTTTCATTCTGATCGGTAAAATCCCAGGCCTTTAGTCTCCTCATGTCCTTTCTCACAGCAAAATTGTGGGTTTTTTTTTCCCCAAAAGCACCTGAAATTAGAAACTCAAAATCGGTGACTCCATTTAATATAATTCACAAAACCAGAAAAACCACAAATGGCATTTGTTCATAAAACCATGAAGTCGGGGACGGACAGCTCACGACACCTGGCTAATTTCAGCTCCTCTGGCCTCTCAGGAAACCTGCACACATGTGGCGTACACCCAAGTAGATACACACAAAAAACATCCTTAAAAGTAAATAATTATAAAATATAATAAAATAATAAAAAGTAAGAATAAAAAAATTTAAATGGCAATGCCATTCTTTTTTTTTTTTTTTTTTTGTATTACTATGCTTTTATTTGCCATTCTAAGAAGCCAAACTTTCTAGGAATTTTAAAAAGATAGAGAAGACACGAGTTTTCCCTGCCGCAAAGGCCTATAATTACCTCGCCAAGAGCACGCAGTCAGGCATGCCTCATGCCAAGATTACCCTAGAAAACACCTCGATCTTGCACCTTTGTAGCACGTCCTGAAGTGCAGAGAGTTACTTGCTTAATGTTAGGGAAGCTAAGAGCTAATCTGGGTAGCATACTTTCACACTGCCTGTAAATCGGCTTCTCACCCTGATCAATTTAGTAAAAGCCTCCAAGTCTACACTGAACGCTCTACTATGGATACCCAAGTCCTCCTTACATGGCTCCTACAAACGGATTAACACTTGCTTGAAGACTGGAGTATTTGTTTGCTTCGTTTCTTGAGTCCTAGGAGCTGTGTCCAAATGATGAATCCTTTTAAAGAGATATTCAGTACTCTTGTCTGGCACTCGAGTGGGCTGCCTGGTCTGCTTCTCCCATCCATTCTGGTCTCTCCAGATGACTCTCAGACTGCCACCTGCCAGCCTGGGCCCCACCTCCCAGCCCACTCCATCCCCTTGGGACCCAGCCTCCTGCTGGGTTCTTTCTTTAGAACCTGCAGAACTACTCTCTACCAAGGACCCCACAATTGTCACGCTAGGTGGGGACCAAAATTGGTGCAATAGTAATCAAGACTGGAACACGCAGCCAAAAAAAAGTGAGATTAGATATCTACAACAAGAAACACTTCAACTGTCATCATTCCGGATTCATGGATTGAAGCACAAAACCAAACATAAACATCCAAGACAATTTGGCAACTCCAGAAGCCAGAAACCCAACTGTAATTGGCCCTGAGAAAAGAAATTTAGATGAGGAAGAAATGACCACAGAATAGTAACTATGGGCATGTTCAAGTGTCATGAAGAAGATCTGACTAAATGAACGCAATGAAGACACAGTCATTTGAGAAAATCAACAAGACTGACAATCCTTTATCCAAATTAACCAAAAGATGGAGAAAGAAGAGCTAAATCAATAAAATTAGAAATGAAAAGGAAAGCATTAAAGCAGAAACTAAAAAATTCAGAATCATAGTGACATATTTAAAAATTTTGTATTCTACCAAATTTAAAAACCTAAAAGAATTTCTTGAGGTATACAACCTATCAAAGTTACATCAAGATGACATAAAAAATTTAAACAGATCCATAATACCTAGATACATAAAAGCAGTAATTATCCAGGTGGGGGTGGTGTGTGGCTTTAATCCCAGCACTTGGGAGGCAGAGGCAGGTGGATCTTTGTGAGTTCGAGGCCAATCTACAGAGCGAGTTCCTGATGAATAAGGATGTGGAACAGTTTTTAAAGTATTTCTTGGCCATTGTGTTTCATCTTTAGAGAAAGCTGTGGTTGGTTCCGTACCTCATTTTTCACATGGTTGTTTTCTTGTTCAGTGTTGTTTCTTTTAAGTTCTTTATATATGCTAGATACTAACCCTGTAGAGATGTGTAATTGGTAAGGATCTTTCCTCATTCTGCAGGCTGCTGCTTTGTCCGATTGATGGTGTCCTTTGCCATACTGAAGCCTTTCAGCTTCTGAGGTCCCGTTTACTAATTTCTGGTCTTCATGCCTGTGCTGTCAGTGTCCTCTTCAGATAATCCTGTTCTGTACCCGTAAATTCAAGCCCATTCCCCACCTTTTCTTCTGGTTCGTGGGCCTTTTGTTGAGGTCTTTGATCCATTTGAAGCTGAGTTGTGAGTAGAGTGATAGATATGGATCTATTTGCATTCTTTAATAAGCAACCATCCAGCTCGTCCAGCACCGTTTGTTGAAGATGCTGTCTTTTTTCCAGTGTGTATTTTTGGTTTCTTTGTCAAAAGTCAGAAGACCAACAATAATTGACTAAAACTCTGAACAGCAAAGGGCACCTTCATTGGAGCTAAGCAGTGGACTGCAGAAAACCCTTACCAATTACACAACTTCATATCTAGACTATTCAAAGAACTCAAAAAACTGAACAGCAAGGAAACAACCCATTAAAAAATGGGTATAGAAATAGAAAGTTCTCTAAAGATGAAACACACGTGGCTTGGAAATGCTTTTATCCTTAACCATCAAAAAATGCATATCAAAACTACTTTGAGATTTCATCTTATCTCAGTGAGACTGGCCAAGATTAATAAAACAAATAAATGACAGCACATGCTGGCCAGGATGCAGGGAAAAGGGAATGTCCAGTCGCTGCTGGTGAGAGTGCAAACTGTACATCATTGTGGAAATCAGTGTGGAGGTTCCTCGAAAAGCCGAAAAGTTATCAACACAAGATCTAGCTATACTACTCCCGGGCATATACCCAAAGGGCTTGTGCTGGCTAGTTTTATGTCAACTTGATACAAGCTAGGGTCTTTTTGTTGTTGTTGTTGTTGTTGTTTTTTCGAGACAGGGTTTCTCTGTAGCTTTGGTGGCTGTCCCAGAACTAGCTCTTGTAGACCAGGCTGGCCTCGAACTCCCAGAGATCCGCCTGCCTCCGCCTCCTGAGTGCTGGGATTAAAGGCATGTGCCACCACCGCCCGGCTAGGGCCTTTTGAAAAAATCATATGAAACCTACTACTGTAGATGCTTCCATATATATGGAAGGAATTTAAATGGAGTCACCATCTACTGGGTGGGGATAATGCCCACCTAGATACTATGCCAACAAGTAAAATCCCCAGTGTCAAGAATGTGTTGCATTTTACTGAGTTGTTGGCCAAAGGAGTCCCATGGAGTCTCGCAAACATCACAGGGTATTATCAAGGCTGTTAGTTGCTTTCCACAACCTGAAGGTAAGGCCCTATTGCCGGAAGACACAACTTACATATGTTGTTAAACATCTAGGACTCAAGCTGGTACTTAACTAAAAGTTTCACCTCTACTGTCTAGAGTTTATGGTGCTGGAAGGTACTATGAACACCCCTAGAGGAGACTCATCAATCATCAATATCTCCCAGCTATAAATCCTTCAACTTACAACTGTGACCTGCCTGCAAGAAACACTGGTGCAATACTGGCATAAACATGGGAGTAACAAACCTCTTTCTAACTAGACTTAAGGCCCCTCTATGGCATGGAACCCATATGCAACACAGCTAAAGTGGCCAAGAACCCGAGACTAGATAGGTCATGAAAACTACAGAAGGCCCTGTTACTTTGCTGAGGAACATAGCAATAAAATGACCCTATTGAAATAACATGACTTCCATTGATCCCACAGGTCAGTACCTTGCTCGTTAGAGAATTAACACAGAGACTCACAACTGAACAAAGAGTGAGAGACTTCAGAGGACTCTGTGGGGAAGAGGAGGCGGGAAGATTGTAAGAGCCTGAGGTGCTGGATGACTCCAAGGAAACATAGTCTTGCAAACACAGCAGGGCTGACGCACACATGAACTCAGAGAGACCGTGAAATCATCTGAAGGCCTGCACAAGTTCAAACCAGACAGAAGTGGGCTTGAAGTCCCACCCCTAACAATACCTGCAGGGAGCAGGGAGATCATTTCCTCCAACGGAGTGTCTCTGGGTGTATCAACCACACTCTAGGGCTGGCCCCATGCTCGGGAGTAGCACAAAATGAACTCCATGGCTTTTGTGGGCTTTTGTTTTATTTTTTTTCTTGTCAATGATTATTTGCTTGTTTATTTTGATTTTTGTTTTTTGGAGTTTTGATTTGTTTGTTCAAGAGACCATGAAGTTGTTTGGGGAGGAAAGTCGGGGGGCTCCGAGAGAAGCTGAGGGAAGAGAATGAATATGATTAAGATATATTGTATGAGAAAATTATCTTTTATGCACTGAGGGAGAGACCTTGGAACACCTGGCCCTAAATGGGATGTTTCCACCAAATCCCTCCCCTCAGGGTTCAGAGAACTGAGGAAGGGGGGAAGAAAGACTGTAAAAGCCAGAAGGGGGACATCCAGGAATCAAGGCCTTCTGGATACAACAGGCTGGTACCCATATGAACACAGACTCTAGCAGCAAGCACAGGTCCTGCACATGTCTGCATCAAATAGGGTCCTGGATCTGAGAGAAACAGATACATGCCCTCACTCCTAACCCAGAAATCATATCCAATTTGATAGCCACTTGCAAATGAAAACTTAATTTTCTCCATGGGCGTCTCACTGGGGATACAAACCACTCCTAAGGGCAGGCCCCATGCCCAACAGTAGATGCCCAACACACAATGAACTCAAGGGCATCTTCGGAGGTTCATTGTTTCATAATGTTGTCAAGGCACTTTTTTTTTTTAACCTTACAGGTCCTTTGCACACATATTATGGCTTCTGGTTTTGGGTTTTGAGGGGATTCCTTTGTGTGCCAACTTTCGTGTGTCTGAGTCTAGCTGTGTTTCTTGTGCTTTTTCTTTGGCTCTTTTTACATCTGGTTATTTGGTCATACTCTACTCTGATGTTTGTTTTTTATTTATCTTACTGTATTTTACTTTATTATTATTCCTCAGTTGCCTGTTAGTTTTTTTTAAATGAGAGACAGAAAGGGTGTGGATCTGGATGGGAGGAAAGGCGGAGAGGAACTGGGAGGAGTAGGGAGAGGGGAAACTGTAATCAGAATACATTGTATGAAAAAAATCCATCTTCACTAAAAGAAAATGTTTTTAATTTTTTAAAAAAATTGAGAAAAAACAATATATATTCAGTATATTACAATTTAATGTGAACTCCGTATGGCCCTGCTTTTCTTGTTTGGGTAGTCGAAGGAGAAAACAGACAAATTAAAACTACCATCGCCTGTCGGTTTTCCTACACTCGTTACTGATACGCACCAGGAGATGCGTGAGTCATACAGCAGTCTTCACAGACCACCTAGGCGGGCAGGGGAGACCTTGCTGGACCGTGGTGCACACCAAATTATAGGAAGCAATACTTAACTTTGAGAGAAATATTAGACTTTGGGCTGCTTAAAGGTGAGTTTTTTCACACAAGAATCTAGCAAACTGTTGTATTAAACATAACCAACTATGTGTTTTCTTACTGCTTAGAGTCCCTTATTCTTCACGGATCATTTTTTTTCTTGTGGCACTACAGACTGAAGCCGAGGCCTCACCCATGCTAAGAAAGCATTCTGCCACTGAGGTATATCTCTCTCACGTCATGTATGGATTTCCAACACATGCCGCACACCTTCTGGTAAGGGCAGAGATAAACAGAATTAAGCAGGCCGGCTGAAATAGGCCACCGTTCAGTGGGAAGGAAACTGGTGTGTCTCTATTAGCTTTTGTTCAGTAAGAGCTGGCTGAACAAAGGAAACGCTGCACTTCCTGAAAGGGAAGCAGGGGTTCGTGGTTTAATTATGCAGATAACTGGGTTCCCTTCCCTCCTCAACAGACTTTAGTGGGACTAGCTACAGATCTGATCTAACCATTTCCTTGGATTTGGATGGGGGAACATGGCTGAAGACTATAGAAGGCGCAGTGAAAGCCTCTAGCATCTATACTTACCTCAAAATCTGAGGCAGGAGGATGGCTTGAGCCTAGGAGTCTGAGACCAGCCTGGGCAACATAATAAGACCCCACCCAGCAGCAACCTCTGGAAAGATGAGGTCAGCTTTCTGGGATGGCTTGCTTCTCCAAGATAATATCCCTTTTCAAACTCTACTCGCAACTGATCCTGTGATCATATTTTCTGGCTTATGAAGATGATCGGTTAAACACAGACTTGTGTAATGATCTGTATTTAGAGATGAACAGAGGTGGAATTATAGAAGAACCCAGTCTACCTGTACATCATACGATGCATTATGATTATAATAATAATATGCCTCTAATTTTGCGGGGGGGGCAGTTACCTGATTATTTACTTTCACCATGTCCCCAATTCTAGAATACTCGGTGTGAGAATCATTTTTAGAAAATAAAAAGTTGGGTACATCTTCAAGACATTTGAAAGACTTGTACATGGCCTGGGGTTTTAGCTCAGTTAGGTAGCGTGCTTGTCTAGCATGTGTGAGGCCCTGGATTTGAACCTTCGGGGCTAAGAGGGAACACACAAAAGTTTACAGATAAATTGTAAGCACTAACTGAGGAGGTGGAAAAGAACTAGTGTGGGTAGTCTCAGCGACTAAGAGCTTCCCTTCCCCTTAAAGCCAAGTTTTTCCAGAAACCAGCTAAGCAAACGCTTCGTAGCCTCCAACAAAGGAAAATTAATCACTCTAACGTTCACGGGACATTATCAAAGAATAAAAGGAGAAGCAAAATGATTTTACAAGCAAGGCTTCTGTGTATTTCTAGGAATAAGGTTTGATAGGAGGAAATACCAAGGCTGCATTTGTGAACGAGCTTTCTCTATCCCGACGGCGGGTGCTGCTTCCACGCGAAGCTGAGCTCTCCCATCTACTTACTTTCCTAAGGCGCCGGTCAAGTTCACGCGTGGAAACCCGGTCCAGTGGTGGTCAGTCAGCATAAAGCTTGTTATTGACGGCCGTTGCTGATTGTCAGAAAGATTTCTTTTCGGGAAGCTACAAACTTATGTCGCAACGCCGAGTTTCCAAAAGTCCCAAACCTGAACTCCACTTCTGAGCCTATGTGAGTCCCGTCACTCGGCCACGCCCGCTCCAGGTGCCCGCCCGGGTCTTGGGCCACCTGTGCTTCGGGGTCCTTACCTCTGGTCGGGTCTGGCTGGCACGGGGGAGACGAGTGAGGAGCCTCAGCGGGCACGGCGAGGCTGGCGGAGCATCCCGCGTCCCTCTGCTGATCGCCCGCGTCCTGCGCCCTCCCGGACCCTCCCGGTCCGCCTGGGACCACGCCCCGAGGCGGGCTCTCGGAGGGCGGGGGTCAAGCGCAAGAGGTCCGCCCTGCCCCCACTTCTGGGCAGAGCATCTTCCTTTCCTGCCTGTCCCTAGCTTGCCCTCCAGCCACCAGGCAGGAAATTTGCAGGAAACCCTGGGTCCAGAGGCCCTGTGAGGAGGTGTGGTCGCCGCCCGTGCGCGGTCACCCAGCACAGATTTAACACTCATAGCCCGCCTCTCACAGCCTGCTTTAAGGGCAAGCCAGCAACATATATATTCTCATTCTCTCTCTTCTCTCCTCTCCCTCTGTTTCTGTCTCTCTCTCTCTCTCTCTGAACATGGGTGATCTGTAAATTTGCTTCCCCAAATATCACCGGAGTTTCAAAAAAAAAAAAAAATACACTTCAGGTAAAGTGTATTCCCTCTTTTCTTCCTCTGGAGACAAACTTAGTATTAATTAAATTAAAAACAAACATTTTAAAAAGTCTATTCTGAAAATGTTATCTTTCTAAAAGAATTGGATAAGTTTCGCATGGGTTAACAACTGTGCTTGTCATTCAGTGACGGGCAGTGAGTTTTCTTTTACATAAAACGAACCACTTCCCAGACAGAATTCATGGTAATACAGGTAAGAGCAGAGCCTCCAGAGGGCCAGCACCCAGCAAGCGGTATCGGGAAATCTCGGAGGAGCACAGCATATTAGGACAGAACTGTATCAACTTACTGTGCATCTGTCAAACCCCTGCAACTGGATGTGGTGCACATGACTAATCCCAACAACCGGGGAAACTGAGGCAGGAGGATTTAAAGTACCTGGTCAGCCTGGGCTACATAAATGAGACCCTGTATCTCTGAGAGTGGGTGGTGGGAACGGCAACTCGGATCAGTGGTGGAGATCTTGCTCAGCAAGTGTGACCAGATGAGGGGAAGCAGGTATTTGTTTATAAATCTTACCTACATTTCTGAACGTTTTAAAATATGTCACTTGCGAATGTTGATCTTAAAAGACAGCACACTTAAAAGTAATCAGAGTTCAAGTTCTTCTAAAAACTAATTAGCCAAGTGTGCAAGGAAGCTTCAGGGCTGTCTTCTGTTTTCACTGCTGTCAACATTCTCTCCTTCAATACCCATTCCTCCACTCAAGTTAGGATTCCTTTCAAACGCATGCCATATAGTCTCTGGTACTCTTGGTTTAGAAAAGCAAAAGCAAAGGTCCACGGAAGGCCTGTGATAGCTCGGCAGATAGTCTTCCTGCCAAGCCTGCTGATCCCACCTTTTCTCTGCTATAAAAGGTATATAAAAGTTTTGTGGGGCTTGAGAGAAGCAAAAAGGCACCTTGTTATGTATTAACCTTTCCAAATGCACTCTCGCAAAAAAAGAAAAAATAATCACCCTTTGGGTGTGACTTAGATCTTCCATACATTTTAAAATAGCAGCTTTATTGAAATGTTTTGCCATTTTTATATTAATTGTAGTTCATGACAAACTGATTGTCCTGGCTAGTTTTACGTCAACTTGGTACAAGCTAGAGTCATCTAAGAGGAAATGTCAATTTTAAAAATGCCTCCATAAAATCAGCAGTAGGCAAGCCTGTAGGGCACTTTCTTGATTATTGATTGATGGAGGAGGGCCCAGCCTATAGTGGGTGAGCCACCCGTGGGCTGGAGGTCCTGGGTTCTTTAAGAAAGCAGGTTGAGCAAGCCTTAGGGAGTAAGCTAGTAAGCAGCATACCTCCATGGCTTCTGCATCAGCTCCTGCTTCCAGGTTCCTGCCCTGACTTCCCTCAGTGGTGGACTGATGTTAAAATAAGCCTTTTCTTCCCCATGTTGCTTTTGGTCACGGTGTTTTATCACAGCAATAGAAACCCCAACTAAGACATTGTATTACTGTCTTTATTAGAGAAATAAGATAAAATCTGAAATAAAGGCAATATAAGAGGAAGGAAAATCTTCTTGAAGGACAATGGGATGATCTCTGGACTGAACTCAACCTGGCTTTTAACAAGCACTGACTTCTGGCTGGGAATGCAGCTCGGGGAAAGAGCCCTCAACCCAGCACATGCAAGGCCCAGGGTTCTAACTCCAGAACACTGAACTCTTTCTGAGGCAGCAGCTCTTCTAGTGACCTGTGCAACTGTAAAATGTATACACTTAGTAACCATCTGTATACAATGTTCTTATTTTAGTAAGCAATGGTCTGGAAATCCTAAGTCAGTGGTTTCACATCAGGACACAGAGAAGAATATAAATGACCCGATTTTCACACTCTAACAACAGCTTGTGAAAGCAAGATCTTACATGCGTGCACTCGGACTTTTCAGGAGTGCCTCCTACATTCTCAGACCTATGGCTCATAGCTTAGAATTCGAGTAAGACAGGCAGATTTCAGACAGGCTGAGCTGGTTGAGAAGTCTCCTGGAAGGAGGGGACTGTTAAGCCAAAAGGCATTTAGTGAAGTTAGCACTCAATCAGAAACATGCTGTGTATGTTGAACGATGTAGGACAGTAAGGATTTAAAGGAATTACTACATGCTGACTGTAGGCTGTGAGCGAGGGAAGTCCTGAGTGAGTGTGTGTTTTGGCATGGGCACAGCCTGTGGAGGACTCAAAAGCTGACTGGCCTGCCATAAACTGGCAAAGCTGTTGCCTATTATGAGTCAGGCTCAAGAGGAATGGCAAAGTTTTCCTTGGGAGCCTGAATATGAGTATTTATCAATGACTGGTTAGTGTGTGCAAAGACTAGCAACTGCAGCTTTCTCCTCCTGATGTTTAAGGCCCGAGACTTCACCTGCAGAGATGAAACTAGAGACTGGCGAATCCTCCCCGTGTTAGTAAACATGCTGAGGTTTGTGGTATGGCCCATACAGGGGACTGTTATCCAGTAACAAAAAGAATATGGAATTGTCTTGAGTTCTCCATGGACTGACTGCAGGATGGTGATGTTGAGTAACAAGAACAAGACAAAAATCAAGTCAAACTTATGATCCCACTTATAGAAAACTTTACAAAATGCAGACTCTTGTAATAGTGACAGAAAGAATCAAAGGTTGGTGAGAAAATGGGATGAGGAGGGGAAGAGTGGCCACAAGGCAGAGAATAAAGTAGCACGAGAAAAATCTTTGGGGGCAACTACAATATGGCTTCCTAGTTGTATGCATGACTAGTTCAAAACAACAAATTCCATACTCTACACTGGGCAGCTTATTGAGTATCAGTTATGTCTCAAACTGTTAGGAAAAACCTGTGAGAATGGGACAAACAGAACCAGACAATTCTTTGAGGAGTTACGCCAACAGGCACATCATGTCTAACCTCAGTCTGTGGGCCACGTGTGCCCTGGGAGAGCCATGAATTAGTCCTGCTACTCAACACTGCTGTCCTGAGACCAGTTCATGGAGATCTTGGGTCAGTGGCATGTTCTTTTTTCATTGCTAGGTAATTGTATTTGTCAAACCACAGTTTGACTATTTGCCTGTAAATCAACAGATTAAAACAATAAACCTAATGAAAAACAAACATGCTGAGGTTGAGGTTCTGGTAGTGGTTAGAGTGCCCCACCTGATCCAGCTTCACTCCACATGTTGTCTGTGTAGGTGTGCCTCTTCATTGTATACATTATCTGTGTATGTATGTCTGCCCTTTCTTCATTCCCTCCCTACCTGACCCCGGAGTCTTACACAAGCCACATAGGATGTGGCAACTGACCAACTCTGAACTTAAAGAAAATCAGCATTTTCTTGTGGCCTCAAAGCAACAGTTAAAATTACAAGACAAAATATAATTAAATACATGAGGCAGACAGTAACTTTCACAGGTTTTAAAACAGAGCAATCTCTACAGCAAACAGGTTTTTCTAGGGCAGGTGAGAGGGGGCAGGTGTGGGATGACTTAGGTTATTGTGGGCAAGCGGAAGTCAGTAAGGAAAGGAAGTCTAGGCAGACCAAGGCACAGGCCAGCAACAAGGACCTCTTCGCGCTCAGCCCTGCCTCTTCCACTTACTGACAGTTTCTGTCTTTTGAGACTGGGTTGTCTTTATCCAAGTCTTGTACAAAGCCTCCGGAGCTTACCATCAAAACAGAGGACTCCAGAGACTAACCAAGAGCACTAACAACAGTGCATAATGTTTGGGGGTCAAAGCTACCTCACTCCCCAACAGCTCCAAAAAAGGAAACCCATTCTTGGCACCAGGGTTTTCATTTGTTGTTCTGTGGTGGTTGCCACACACTTGAATCATAGGACATAGAAATCAAGCTGGAACTCGGAAACTCCATCTCTATTTCTGTAACATGGGAGGGGTGTATGCATGCTACCTGAGGAGAAAAGGAATCACCAATCTTACTCTCTTGTGAACCTTGAGAACTGTAACAATTATTGGCCTGGAAAGACATGTCCACTCTTACAATAATGGCATAAATGTCACGGGAGTAACCAATCCCTTTCTGATTAATTTTAAGGCCTGCTGTGCAATTGAAGCCTACAGTCACAGCTTAGGGGAGAAGCTACCACTGTTCCTGTACTTGTGGACACAGTATTAAACTACTCCTAATGACTTAGCACTATACCCACAGATTAGCACAGCTCTCAACCCTCATCAGAGAAGCTTCTTTTTAAAGTAGATAACAATTAAGAACCCACAACTGTAAAGGCACAGAGACTAAGAGAGCGTGGACTTCTCAGCCTAAACATGACATCTTCTTCTCCCAAGACTGTGTGGGATCACAGCAGAAGGGCGGCTGGAAGACTGTAAGAGTCAGAGGCAGTGGATGACTAGAAGGACAGTGATCTCTGGAGACAGCAGGGTAGTTAGTCCACACAGGAATCCACGTCAGTTGAGTCGGTATGCACCAGACCTCACAAGCTCAAGCCAACCCTCAGCAGGGAAATGGACATGAAAATCCTGCCCCTGCTAGGAAGCTGTTGGCAACCTACAGCTTCTGGGAGGAGTCAGTTTTCCTTTAGGGCGTGGCCCCTTATGGCCCACAATATGGGGAGCAGAGACTACTTCATGGGTTTTAAGAGAGAAGTATGAGTGGGCAGTGAAGGAGGGGAGCAGATGGATCTGGGAGTACAAAATATATTGTATGGAGTTCTCATAGGGCTAATAAAAATAGAAACTACAGACAGTTTAGACGGTTCCTTCAATCAGGTGTGATGGTTCACTCCTGTGATCCCTGCCTTCAGTGAGAGTTGTTTCCACTGCTGTTTTCCTAAGATGTTACTTTCTTCTCAGAGTTTCTTAAGTAAAATCCCTATGTATTCTAGAAAAGTCTTTTTAATTAAACTGAATGAGAGTTTAAGTAAGGTGAAGTGAAGCCTAGTTATCAATAAGTGTGTGTGTGTGTGTGTGTGTGTGTGTGTGTGTGTTACATAGATGGATGGATGGACGGATGGATAGACAGATAGTTAGATATATAGATAGACACAATTTATTCAGTAAATATTTACTGAATGCTTACTGTGTGCCAAACCTTGTTCCAGACTCTGGAGAATAGATCCATGAACAAGCCAGAAAAAAAGTCCTTGTTAAGCTTGCACTCTAGATCAATCCTAAAAGGAAGGATTTGTAACAAACTTACATAAATCCAACTATATCTCCTGGCAAGAAGGGCAAAGCACACATTCCAACAGTGAGTATTGTTAAAAGTCCTCTGTTGGCCTGTGCATCATCACAGACCATGTTTACTGTATGCAGAATAGATCTATACCTCCATACATTCCCCAGGGACTCACAATGCAGGACCGCAGGAGGAACTCCATCCATCATTTAGAGACTTTTCAAGGGCTGTTTTGAGCATGCTTTATTTTTACCTCAGACAAAGTTTAAAAACCTAGCCTCCTGACAAGATGTGACTCCACTGTACCGAGATGGAGACGCAGAGTTGGGCAAAAGATAACCTTCTCAAACATGGTGTGTGTGAAACTGGTCAGCTTAGTGTAGTGACCGGGCACATGTGGTAACCCACCCACGTGAGTGTACACAGCTGGCCTTATGAGATCTGAATCATAGCCCATGACTTGTTTCCCACTTTTTAAGATAACAAAATTACAAAACTTCAAAGACAACTCATAAGCAATGCTTTATAAGCTAGAAAAATTCTCATACTGGCTTAGTGTGACTAAACATTTATCATTTTCATGTATTTTACAGAGAATTTTAAAAAGAACACCAAGTTAAGAAAATTAGTTTAAAGTTTCACAATAATTTGACTCTATCTACATTAACACCGATCATCTAACCCTGGAAATGGCCTTTGATTACATAATGTAAATTATTTTTCTTTACATAACTAAACTATTCCATTATAAATTTACAAAGAGACTCATTCTCCTAAGAGCGACGTGAGAACAAAAATTACAGTGATGAGCACCAAAGCAGAACATTTTTGCACCTAGGTTTGATTGGTTTGTATTTAAACACAGCCTGTAACAAAAGGACCAGAACAACACATTTGGCAAGAAAAAAAGTCAAACAGATAAACTACGGTCTGGAAACAGTGATTGAAAAAAAAAAAATCAAATATTTTTTTTTTAGTTAATGTGACTTTTTCAAAGTATATTTATGTCATTTTTCATCTTTCATTCACATTCTACAAATCAGATTGCTCCATTTTTGTTAATCGGGTGTCACACTGAATAAACAAATGCATTATGTGTTTGTTGTGATGAATCCAAACCATTAGAGCTGGATTCAGCAGCTCCTATAACCTAATAACCTTACAACCAACCCAAGTGGGAGGGCTGATGATCAGTAACCTGCTGACTTAAAGACCCTCAGTCAGATAAGGAGAGAGAGAGAGAGAGAGAGAGAGTGTGTGTGTGTGTGTGTGTGTGTGTGTGAAGTTTGCCAGAGTCACGTGACAGACTACGTGCAGTTCAGATAGCGGTGAGACATACTAACAGACACAATGGTCTAAACAATCCCTAGACGATTTGGTAGCCAACACTGAATTAACCATAAAGTAAACCTGAGATAAACAATGAGGTGATTAGGGGAGATGTCACCATACTTGAAAATAAGTGACAGATTTGAAAACAACACTGAAGGAGGCTGCCTTGGCTGCAGCGTTCTCATTAACACTGCAGGACAGAAGCAATGGGCAGTCACTTCCCGGGAAGGGATCAGGAGTGGGGTTCCCTGGTTTGTAGCTGAAGACACTGGCACTTCTCCACAGCCATCTGCAGTGGCCTCCACCTCATCCACAAGGTACCCTCAAGCGACTGTGCGACTGTGTGCCTAGGCACCCCTCCCTGTAGCTCCCGGGCGACACTATCACTCCCCTTCCTCTTCCAGCTAAGCTTCAAAAAGGACTGACTCCCTGAGTCTGAGGTAATGCCAATGTGCAACCCATATGAAGTCAGGCAACCTACTTAACTCCGGCCATCTAGAGATGGTAACACCAGTTTTTGCTATCAAAAACTTTCCTTTCTCTCTGATGTTTCCTCCACACAACTTAAAATAAGCCGGGCGATGGTGGCGCACGCCTTTAATCCCAGCACTCGGGAGGCAGAGGCAGGCGGATCTCTGTGAGTTCGAGACCAGCCTGGTCTACAGAGCTAGTTCCAGGACAGGCTCCAAAGCCACAGAGAAACCCTGTCTCGAAAAACCAAAAAAAAAAAAAATGTAGGGCGTGAAGAAGGGCAAATGGCTGGACTACGATAGGAATGTCTCTAGTAGAGCATTGAGACTCCTTGTGAGGAGAAAGGAGATCTGCCAACCTTCCCATTTCCTGTTTCACACCCTTGGCTTCCATATGAAGAGCACTGAAGGTCCTGTGCAGTTAATGCCCTTCCAGAACTGTCCAGCTCTCAGACTTGTAATTACAGCTCTGGGTGTGTCTATATAGCTCTTTAATTCAATTTCCAAATCCACATTTCTTAAACAAAATCATACTGCTGGAGTCTTTAAAAATGCCAGTCATGAAATTATCACTTAAAAACTACAAAGAATCTGAGGAGTAAGTGCATATCAGTTTCTCCCCTCCCCCCCCATTATTGGGGTGGTCGGTCTGAAATCAAAGGCCTCTGCATTCTAGGCAAATGCTCGCCAAGTAAGCTAGACCCTAGCCCTCTCCTTTATTAAAGGTGTTTTATCTGACCCGGGAGAGATACACCTAGGTCTGCTTCCCAAGCCCCGAGGAAGAGCCTGGTAGGCACTCTGCAATCTGACCTTTTATTCCAGTGCTATTGGTTCCTGAACTACAGTGTAGCTATTGCTTTCTTCATGAATGCCCAAGATGGGCATATCAGATGCAGAGAAAAACATTCACAATCTGGTGAAGTTTAGTCACAGAAAAATGATTACCTCATGGATCCAAACATGCAACTTTACTTCTTCTCCCCTTGAGGATCTAAATTCAAGGATCAAATTAAAATCCACCATATTTCAAGTTAAATCCCAAGAGTTGTACACAAGTACAGATGACTTTAAATGCATATCCACTCACTGTTCTGTCTTCTCCTGTATGTAATACACTTCTGAGACCATAATTTTAGGGAAAGAGGAAGAGTTTTATATTATACTGTGAAGTTCTAACAAATTCTTGGTTTATTTGTGTTCATCGCTTAACTCAATGTCATATGACCTCAGCACGATGCCAAGTGTATTGACAAAAGGTCTATCAGATACAAAATTCTTAGTTCTGTGTCATAAATAAATTTGGGTAAAACCGCAAGCCTTCCACAGAGTCATCTCGGCAAAGATGGCCCATCTTCTCGGCGAGAAGCAGCCTGGGAACAAAGAAGAGAAACTCCACAATGACATGCTCATCCAGAAACATACCACACACCACAGTGAGGGGAGAGGGCTTACATACCTTTCTTTAGCTAGGAGGACAGACATCCCCACAAGTTTGGCAAACTCTTCTGATGTTAAAGATCCCCTTTCTGAAACCTAGTGATAACACACAGCAGAAAACAAACAAGACAAAACAAAACACCAACAACCATAATTATTTCAATACACTTAGAGGAATGCATACCAGTGCAGGAAGGAAATGCTTTACTGGGTTTTCTGCTAAAATCTAAGTAGTCACTATAAAACTAGACCTTCCTGTTTCTAGGTTTATCTTTATGTGCAGAGATGCCTGGTGCCCACAGGGATCAAGAGGGGTGGCATCTCCCAGAACTGGAGCTACAGATGGTTGTGAATTACCATGAAGGTTCCTAGAAGGCTCTTAGGTCCTCTGCGAGGGCACGTGTTCTGAACCATTGGTCAGCCCTCTGGTCCAGCAGACCTGAATCTATGGAGATCAAGTCTAGGAAAATTGATGAGCTCAGAACAGGCAGAGCACAGGCTACATACCAACACGAAGCTGTTCATGGAAGAAGGCACTGTATGAAAGCCCAGAGCACAGCAAACTCTGTGTCACAGGCTCTGGGAAGGGGCCCACAGAGTTCTAATCAGGTCCAGTAAGGATGTGACTTGAAAACCTGTTCCTAACGTTGAGCTGCAGCAGGAAAGCAAGCACCTCATTAAGATGTCAAGGGAGACGAATACTTCAAAAACTTTTACCAGGGGTACTGGTTGAATGAAAACATCACTGTCTACCACAAAGCACTGATCCTGTGAATGGCTTTCTAGCTAAATCCAACAGTGAATCCAGCTTCTTAAGTCGCTATGCATTTGGGTCTTTGTGGCAAGCTCTAAGGACTGACAGAAACGGGATTCACATACTGTCTCCAGGGCTGAGGCTACCATCTCCTCTTCTTTGTGGGTTTGAAGCTCAATTACCATGACACCACTGTCAAAAACCCGAAGCCTGGAAAACACAGATGTGAGAACAGTGTGGGCATTTCTAAGATGTTCAACCACAAAGGAGAAGCAAGCCACAGTCGACTTTACTTAATGCCCAGGCCTGAGGACAATCACACAGTGTTTAAGCCATAATAACTACATGTAACTATAACAGAATTAAAGAACTCAAGAATTAACAAACAATAAAACTACAGGCCACAATCTACATGATAAAGTTTTTTTCCGGTTCAGGGTGCTTTTAGCCCAAGGATAAGGAGAATGCAGTTCCGAGTTGAACATGTGCACTACGGGAGGTTCAGAGGTGATTTCTTCTGAGTTTCCTCTGGAAAATCACAAGTCTGAATATGATCTGTACTGGGACACACCCATCCCTGATAGGATGAAGGCGGGAGGGCAGAAGGTGCTTGCAGTATTGGGGGGCGGGGGAATGAGGAATTCAGGTCACACATGGCATAGCCTCAAGAGGGCATCATCTGGCTTGCCATGCACAGTAGCAGGCTTGGATGGGCTTTCGGGTCTCCTCTAGGCAGAATCATAGCTCCCGTTGACAAACTTCCTGTGGAGATTCCTTTACCTGACAGGCAATTTCAGCGCCTCCAGCATCTTGCATGCATTCACTAAATCTTCTGGTGAGAGCAACTAACGAGAAAAAAAAAAAAAAACCCAGTTAACACTGCAAAGCAATAGAATGGGTCTATTGAACTGTAATAACCACTAAAACAGAATAAGAAGTCAACGGCATATGACCCAGAGAGCTCTGTACCCTACAGAGATCTGCATCCCTCTGTTTATTGCTGCTTTATTCATTAGAGCAAAGAACTGGACTCGACTTAGCTGTCCATCAACAGATGAATGTATAATGAAAATTTATATATATTGTATACACCCACATATATGGAATATTACTCAGCTCTAAAGAAAAATAAAGTCAAAACTTACAGATAATGGATAATCTTAAAATGTATAATATTAATTGAAGTCATATATTCTCAAGAAAAAACACTTCATGTTCTCTCTGACATGTGGAGATTAGCCAATAATGTGTGAATGTGAGTGTGTGTGTGAGTGTGTATGTGTGTGTGTGCAAAGAAATGTACACGTGGGTACAGTATGTAACAGAAAGAGAACAAAAAGGCTAAACACCAGGGGCTGAAGAACTAAATGTCGGTGATGGACACAAAGTATGCAAGAAGATTTTTAAAAAAGCTATTTTCTAGCTATTATTTTGTCATAAAATTTTTGGTTTTGATGGTAGATAAGTATATAAAACATGATTCTGAAAGTGTAAATTTAATGTGAAGCCTCATAGCTTCCATGCCATTTCTAACTATAAAGGCATTTGTTGAGTTGTACAGACTTTGGGTCTGGTTAGTTTTGGTATGTGACATTTTTATTTCCAAGTTTTTTTAATAATAAAGTTTAAAAACTTTTATAAAGTAGAAGAAAATGCTATTCATCAAGTACTATAGGTCACTCAATTTCAAGGACAAAAGAATAAGCAAAGAAGCCAAAGTCAGCTTTCGGCAGTTCTGCCCAATAGAAACACAGTGCAGGTCACTGCATGACCTCACAACCTCCAGGAAAGAGAAAAGAGAAAGAGAAAGAGAAAAGGGAAGGAGCTGGGAATGCGGCTGAGGAGTGGAGTTCTCGCCCATGTAGAAGGCCCTGGGCTCAAGCTCCAGCGCTGTAATAAATAGTAACAACAAAAACGTTTTCCGAGATACTGACATGGATACTGACCTTTGTTTATCTTATACTTGTTTTATAAATTCAGACTGCTACGTGTAGCTACTAGTGGCTTCGGTTCTGGATAGTGCAGCCTGAATAAATCTGCGCCGTCGTAGACACAAACATAGCTCTGAGTCACGTGGGATGGCTCCAGAGCCAGAGGAGCCTAAGCACAACACTTGTCAATCCACCATCTCTAGGTGACCTCAGTCACGTCATCTAGTCTACCTCTCAACTTCCTCATTCCCAAGTTACCTGGAGGTGAGGGCGGAAAAGCAGGAATGAGAGGCTGAGTGAGCTAACGGCTGGTGCTCGCCTCATCGATGACAGGACGGGGCTGCACTCCGGGACTTGGTGAGCCATATGGAAGTGGCAGCTTACCCAAGCTGCACTGGACTGCTGGGGCACCAAGAGAACCAGGAAAGAGTCTCAGAGGCCACGCACCGGGTGTGACTGGGCATAGGGCCTAAAGAACAGCTCCTACTGATACTCAGCCAAAGGAGTAAGGAGAAGTTGTCTCTGCGCTATCTACAAAGAAATCTGAGTCCAGCTGAGCCTGCAAGAGTTAAATACTGCAGAGGAAAACCTTCCACTCATTGCAGTACACAGACCTCAGCGCTGGCAGGCATCGCTCACTGCAAACCTTTACTTTTAAGGTGACAAAACTGAGTTCCACTCTCTCCTCCAGCCCGGCAAGATGACCAAGGGAAAGAAGGCCAACGGGAAGAAGGTGGCTCCGGCCCCCGCCGTCGTGAAGAAGCAGGAGGCGAAGAAGGTGGTGAATCCTTTGTTTGAGAAGAGGCCTAAGAACTTCGGCATTGGGCAGGACATCCAGCCCAAGAGAGATCTCACGCGCTTCATCAAATGGCCCCGCTACATTAGGCTGCAGCGGCAGAGGGCCATCCTCTATAAGCGGCTCAAAGTTCCTCCTGCCATTAACCAGTTCACCCAGGCCCTGGACCGGCAAACAGCTACCCAGTTTCTTAAACTTGCCTACAAGTACAGGCTAGAGACCAAGCAGGAGAAGAAGCAGAGGCTGCTGGACCGTGCTGAGAAGAAAGCTGCCGGCAAAGGGGATGTCCCGACTAAGAGACCACCTGTCCTTCGAGCGGGCGTCAATACAGTCACCACTTTGGTAGAGAACAAGAAGGCTCAGCTGGTGGTAATTGCCCACGACGTAGACGTAGACCCCTGCCTGCTCTGTGTTGCAAGATGGGGGTCCCCTACTGCATCATCAAGGGAAAGGCCAGGCTGGGGCGACTGGTCCATAGGAAGATGTGCACCACTGTTGCCTTCACACAGGTTAACTCGGAAGACAAGGGTGCTCTGGCCAAGCTGGTGGAAGCTATTAGGACCAATTACAAAGACAGATATGATGAGATCCGCCGCCACTGGGGAGGCAACGTCCTGGGTCCTAAATCTGTGGCTCGAATTGCTAAGCTGGAAAAGGCAAAGGCCAAAGAACTCGCCACTAAACTGGGTTAAATGTACTGATGAGTTTTCTGTACATAAATATAATTATAAAACTTCAAAAAAAAAAAAAAAACTGAGTTCCAAGGCAGTGAAGTGCACCACTCAAAGTCATTCAGCCCCAGGCCAATCCCGTTTCTCTCATCACTCTGCTTCTGAAAACAGCTTTGAGGTTCACAATCAATGTGTGCTCACTAGAGGGGGACCATGGAAACATGCGTTCTTACCTCCATCCCTCGAGCTCGGTTCACCAAACAGTACACCTCTGTGAGTGACATTATTCCCCCACGTTCCTGTTAAAATGGGAGAAACAAAAAACAACAAGTATTTATCATTTCTTAACAGAAATCATAATCTGAGTGAAATCACAAATTACATTGCTTTTTCCTAAAAAGTTGTATTTATACACAAGAGAGCCTATTCACATCCTCCGCAATGCCTCGAATGATGGAGGAAGGTCATTGGTTAAGTAATAAAGAAACTGCTTGGCCTCATAGGTTAAAACATAGGTGGGAGGAGTAAACAGAACAGAATGCTGGGAGAAAGAAGCTGAGTCAAGGGGTCGCCATGATTCTCCCACTCCAGACAGACGCAGGTTAAGATCATTCCTGGTAAGCCAGCTTGTGGGCTACACAGATTAATAAAAATGGGTTAGATCGATATGTAAGAGCTAGCCAATAAGAAACTGAAACTAATGGGTCAGGCAGTGTTTAAAAGAATACAGTTTCCGTGTAATTATTTCGGGGCATAAGCTAGCCATGTGGACGGCAGGGTGCCGGGGACACAGCCTCGCTGCTCCTACTACAACAGAGTGGCGCCCAGACGTGATGGACTAAATCTACTTAAAAACCTGAGAAGGCTTAAAAATAAGGAAGAGTTTAACACAGATTTTTGCTGTTTGTTGGTGGCGTGCTGTAGAGAGATTTCCTGATTCGGCATCAGCAGCAGAAAAAAACGCTGCGTCATTTTAAAGCGCAGCTTCTTGGGGCTATGCTGCCAGCTTAAACTCTGGCTTTAAAGCATTTCAATGGATTTTATGGGACTGGATGTTTGTGTTCCCGCTTGGGATTGGAAGGAGAGTGCTCTGAGACCGTGCCAATGGCTCAGTGCTCCCCACCTGCACCTGGGCAGACAGCAGAATCAGGCTTAGGCAGGCAGAAGAGCACGGCGGGAGAGACGTGTTTTTAGACTGCGCAGTGCTCTGCGTGTCAGATTTGGCTGTAACTTGGATGAAAAGAGTTTCTGTGCCGCACGCTCAGTCTCAAATTAAACTGCTGACTGCGCAGCAATGTGGCCTTGCTGTGTACCTGGAACTGTGCGCAGCTCAGGGGCACCAGATGGATCTGAGGCAGGAGCGGCTGCTCCATGCTGAACTGTGCTGACCTCAGGCAGGAACTGCCATAATTACCATAATAACAGCACAGTTAAGGTTTAGACTTGGCAGAAAATAGGCGGTACCATATTACCCCTATGTGGCGCAACTTAAGTTTTTAAGAAGTGCTTAACATTTTAAGAAATGCTCCTGGATAGTAAAAAAATTACAGATTCACAATAAAACATATTTCAGGCATAAAAGACCACTAAATGAATCACAATGTTGGATGAATGTACATAGGCTTGAGAGAGAGAAAAAAATAGAGAGAATAAAGTTAATGCCCATTAAAAAAAGGGTAAAGTCTTTAAAGAAACAGAATACAGATAGTTAAGAGATTAAAAGAAATAAAGAAAAATAAGCCACGTAAAAATGAAATATTCACAGAGAGTCTGGATTATGTACATTGTGTTTTCTTTAAAATTTTTGACTGTGAAGGAGCTAAGTACAGAGAGACATTTCATTACATGGGCTGCCAAGCTAAACCAGAATGGATATAAGGGTATTACGATTTCAAAATTTGGGTCTAAAGATATGATGCTTTGGAGAGGGTCTTCTTTTGTTTTCACAGAGGACCAGACCCTGTGGATTGCATCTATCCCGATATGGTATGATAGACCACGACCTCCCGAAAAGTTGCTGTGAACACCCTCAAAAAAATTACTTCACTCAGCTGCCAACTGAGACAGGTTACACCCTAAATGATCTGATTAACAGCGCCCCCATTCAGCAGGAAGCAGTTTGGAGAGAAAAAACTGCGCCCATGTTCCCAAAATATTGTTTATAAATGTTCTTTTACATTTAAAGGGGGATATGATATAGGTATGAATAATTTGCATTGGTATGGATTTTAAGGTCAATTTTGTTATATGTATATATATTTCTGATCTTGATTAAGGTATTGTGATTGTGTAGTTCATTTTAAAAGTATAATGTATAATTAGAATATATAGGTTGTTAATGGATAATCATCAATAATAGTAAAGCTTGTAGTCATGTTAGTTAGATTTTCTAGATATATAGAGATGTATTTCAGTTAGATAGACATTCTTCATATCTTTCAAAGACTGCAGAATATGGCATTTAAAATATTTTAATAACTTAGGGTTTTTCATGACAATGAGACACGTCTGCTCCTGACAGTGCCAATCTACTTAAAAAGGAAGATGGGTATTGAAGAGGATCCTTACGGAGCTTGATAGCCATTTGGGCAAGAAACTGCTCTTTCCTGGACTGTTGCATAAACTGGACACAGAGAACCCACAGAGATAGGACTGCTGAACTTGCCAAAAGGTGAGATGGTCTTTCGGGGTTCCTGATTCATGAGAGTCTGCGAGACATTCTGCAGGACACAGCAGAAAGTGACTGAACTGTCTTTGGAATTTTCCTGCTTCATGGAAATGTCTGCTGTTAACTATGGGACTGTAGGCTGAAGATGGATGCCCCAACGGTACAGAGGAACTTTGGGTGACTGTCCAGGCTGCGAGATGTCTCTGTCATTTCTTTCTTTTTTTTTTTAAATATTTATTTATTATGTATACAATATTCTGTGTGTATGCCTGAAGGCCAGAAGAGGGCGCCAGACCTCTTTACAGATGGTTGTGAGCCACCATGTGGTTGCTGGGAATTGAACTCAGGACCTTTGGAAGAGCAGGCAATGTTCTTAACCACTGAGCCATCTCTCCAGCCCTCATTTATTTCTTATTTGCTTAGGTAATACTATATCCTTCTGGAGTCTTTGATGGAGTTAAAGAATGGATAGTTATAGTTTTCCTTAGTTATGATATAAGATAAAATAGATATAAATATTGTAACTGTAATTCTTGCTTAATAACTGTTTTGTTATATGTAATTTTGCTATGTTAAAGTTAAAGCCTTTCCTTTTTGTTTAAACAGAAAAAGGGGAAATGATGGAGGAAGGTCATTGGTTAAGTAATAAAGAAACTGCTTGGCCTTATAGGTTAAAACATAGGTGGGAGGAGTAAACAGAACAGAATGCTGGGAGAAAGAAGCTGAGTCAAGGGGTCGCCATGATTCTCCCACTCCAGACAGATGCAGGTTAAGATCATTTCTGGTAAGCCAGTTCGTGGGCTACACAGATTAATAAAAATGGGTTAGATCGATATGTAAGAGCTAGCCAATAAGAAACTGAAACTAATGGGTCAGGCAGTGTTTAAAAGAATACAGTTTCCATGTAATTATTTCGGGGCATAAGCTAGCCATGTGGGCCGCCGGGTGCCGGGGACACAGCCTTGCTGCTCCTACTATAACACTCGAATTCTACAAATGGACTTCAACATCGTTTAGATGAAAAGAGGGCAGCTGCACCAAGCTTCCAAACTGTCCTTAGTCTCCTGACTGCAGACGTGATTCAGACTGAGAAAGACTGGAGAACTCAGGGGCCACGTGTGACACAGCCACATCCACAAGCCCTGGAAGCAAGAGGACAGAGTACCACTGGCAGCCTGCGTCACCACAGGGCAAGCTTCAACAGGTATCACCTTGGTTAATTCAGGAAGGTGGGATGAGGCAAAACCACGTAAGAGGGACCAGAGCCTTGATAAACTCTGCACATCAGTCCGGGATCAAACTCAGGAAACTGGTGCCACAAATAAGCCTGGAGCCGCTCCCCTTCCTGGCAAGTGCATGGGAGCCACGGCAGAGCTCTGGAGACCTGCTCCGACTCTTCAGCAGCAGAGCTGAGGAGAAGGCTGAGGGCCATGCGCCATGGTGGCTTGAAGCCTCTTAGAAGAAGGCTCACTAAACGTTAACAAATTTTTATGTTTATTTAATGTTTTAACTAATTTCTGTTAGTAAAGGAAGAAAGTATAGAAACAAGTGATACCATAATTTTGCAAGCCCTAATGAAATAATAACATTATATAGTAATGACCGTCAAGGGCTGCTAACTATGTATCTAGCTACATATATGTGTGTGTAGACAGACAGATAGACAGATACTACATACCTACTGACAGAAATGTACAACATCCCCTATAAAATATTCTTGTTATACAAAGCTGCTATTTATAACAATTGACAGAGAACGTGTAGAATGAGAAACATGTTAATACCACGGAGTCAGTCAAACTATATGCTGTAGGGTAAATTACCAGTTTCTCCCCGGAGAAGTTGGAATTAAATAAAAACGAAACAAAACACAACTTGGGGCTGGAGTTGCAGCTTAGGCGGATATGTAAATTCCTATGCTTGACCATCAGCACAGAAAACTAAAAACTAAACATATGAACACAGACCAGACATTTGACATTAAAGGTTTCTAGTGTTTTAGGTGAGACAGTGAGTGATACTGATACTGTAGCTGTGTTTAAATTAGTCTAGTATCATTATAGGTATTAGAATATTTACATACAAGATGATCAGCTTTAAAATAATTTACTGATGAAGATAGGTGATGGACACACAATGATTTGCACTTAGTTTAGCATATATTTAAAATACACCAAAAAAAGTGCTTTATGAAAGTATACTACAAAACTATTAGCAGAAACTATAAAGACTAGATATGGGGCCAGGCACGGTGGTACGTGCCTTTAAAGCCAGAACTCAGGAAGCAGAGGCAGGTGGATCTCTCAAGGCCAACCTGGTCTGCACAGTGAGCTCCGTGACAGTCAGGGCCGTGTAGAAAAATCCTATATAAAACAAACAAACAAAACCCAAATCCCAAACAAAGAAACAACAACAAAAAAAACCAAAACAATAAAACCTAAACATAGCCAGATATGGTGGTTCATGTCTATAATCCCAGCCCTTAGAGAGGCAGAGGCAGGAGAATGGTGAGTTCAAGGCCAGCCTGGGCTACAAAATGAGTTCATGTTTTAAAAACAAACAAAAACACAGACTAGAGAGAAATATGTTTATAAAAGGAAAGAGCCTTTGAAATCAGAAAAAAAGTCTCATCAAACAGACTTAATGAAGTACAAACATCTGAAATGGAAATTAGAAGTATTTTGAAGATTACAATTAAAGATAATTAATAAGTGTACTTAAGCCAATTTAATATTCCTGGAAGAAAAAAACCATGTCATTTAATGTCAACCACATGATGAAAACAGTTAGGCTCTTGAGACTTCTGATGACATGGAAATAATTTAGCAGTGTTTGGAAAGCAGGGGTTTGGATTTACCTACCTCTAACGGTGCCTGCAATATTCCAGCCAGTTGTTTGGCCAGCTGCATGTGGTACTGCGTGCCTGAGCCATAGGTCTCCCGGGTAACTGGGTTGGCTATTCCCATACTCAGCAAGTAGGACTTAAACCTGATGGTCTGTAAGAGGGTGGGAAAAGCATCAGCAGACTAGAAAACAGTTTCTCCGCACGACACTTGAAACTCTTCATCAGAAGCTCAATGTGGCACCGTTATTTCTCTAGATAGCCATGTCTTCTACTGTATTTCTATGCTGTGGACTTCAGCGGTGAGAGTCTTAGTTGTTCCTTGAACAAATCTAGTTATTCTCATCCTTCTACCCCAGTCTCATGCTGTTCATTCTCAACGTTTTATGTGAAAGAAAGGCAGTAACTAAGCTATTTTTAATGCTAACCAAATACTACAACTAAGAACTCACAAAGAAAAAACGGATCTGACCAGACTGGCCAAACTTAACACGGCAGACAGCACAGATTTGTATGGAACAGCTACTCTGCGACTCCTTAGATATTTCAATAGCTTTATTTCCCACACCGTAAGAAAGAACACAGAATAATCTTGACCCTTGTAGAACTAGCGAAAAAGAATATGATCCAATTTCTCCTTAGCACTTCACACGCAAGCAATAAAAACGTCACACTAAGAAAGCAGGGCCAGTGAGATGGCTCAGTGCGCAACTACACTAGCCACCTGAACATCTGAACTCAGTGCCCAGGATCTGCAGTCAATGCATGGTAGAAGGGGAGAATCAATTCTTCTGAGTGGTCCACCACCTGAATGCTGCAGCACAGCTCACCCCAATAAGGAAATAAGTATAATTAAAAAAAAGTTTGGAAGGCAGCAAATGTGAGAAGCTACAGGCATAGCTCAGTAGGAGGGAGAGAGAACTGGTCAACCACAGGGAGAGAGACCTGGTCAACCACAAGAACATTGCTGCTTTCTATCTGGCATCTACCACTTCAAAGATAAAAAAAACCATCCTTACCTCATCTTCTGTGACGTCACCTTGTTTCTCTTTAATCTTATTAGCGATTGATTTCGATAACTCCACCATTTCCTTAGCCTGAAAAAGAAAGGACAAAGAAGCTATGGAGAAACCTTGTCTCGGATTAAAAAAAAAAAAAAAAAATATATATATATATATATATATATATATATATACACACTTTCAAGGTCATCATGGCTGAATCTGAGTGGAACACATGACACCTACCTTGATCATTAGCTTGCTAAGGTCTTCAAAGGCCTGAAATGAGAAATGAAGTTTGTATTGCAGACTTTTTAAAGAACTAAAATGTTTTAAAGCAACAATAAACAAATTTTTTTTTACAAATATCGATTTACTATTAATTGTATAAGTAACACATCCACCTCATTTTAAAAGTCTACTTTAAAAAACTGCAAACTTCCTCAACAAATTACAACCAAACGTTCCATAGATGATTATCTAGTGTTTTTGTTTAGTGTTTTTGAACACATACAAGAAAATCTCAGTCTGGGGCATGGCTCAGTAATAGAATGTTTTTCTGGCATTGGTGAGGTTCTAGGTTATGCCATGGCTAACACACACACATACACACATACAGAGAGAGAGAGAGAGAGAGAGAGAGAGAGACAGAGAGAGAGAGATCACTAATTTTTTTCTGATAGATCAACAAACAAAGATTGTAAAATGCCTTCCAGGTTAAAAATGACAATACCCAGCTGCAGGAATACAGTTTTTGGACATAATTATAACTGAGCCATAGATCTGAAATATTAAGCCATGACACAGTTTTGTGTGCAGTACCTACTGCACACAAAGCATCCAGTGCCTCTCAAACACACCGAGTAAAACCACTGCAACCAATGTCTACTTCGAGGGCTTCTTCAAACTCAATCAGATATATTTCTAATAAATTATTTCAGGTTGCTGTAGAATTTCTCAACTAAGTGATGTGCATGGATATTTCCTTTCTTCCTTTTTTCTCTTTCTTATTTTCTTTTTCTCTTTTGAGAGTCAGTTAAGCAAGAACCCCACCCACACGGTGGTCTGACACACACAACAGCGGTGACAATCTGTGGGAAGTACCCCACCTGAAAAACCTTTTTTTTTTTTTAGCTCAAAGAATAGTGTAAGAATAACTGTGTAAGATCCTCATAGCCAGCTCACTAAGCTAACACTGAAAACAAAAGGAACGTGCACACACCTCACAGGAATTTCCTCAGATAAACAAAGGCTTAGACACTGGGTTCTTATCGGCAAGAGCCAGCTGATGCAGGAAGCCTTTGTGGGAGGCCCCAGGCACCGGCTATGAAACTGAGTCAATTCTAACATTTAAAGCACACACCAAAGCTAGAACAGAGGCACATCGTGTAAATTTAGATTTCTACACTTACTACACAAGCTGTTAATAAATTTATTTCACTTGTTGAAGTAAAAACGCTATGAGAAATCACTTTATTTTCACAGCAAAAAAAAACCCTGAAACATTGAGTTTACACAGAATATATCCTTTATCACGTGTAGAACAAAGAGTAGAACAAACAGAAATTCCACAGTGTTTAAAAGAACTGGCTAAAAAATGTTTTAAGTATTAAAAATATTAATTACAAAACGCAAGTAACAGTTTCTTAAAGTATGGGAAGGTATATAAAATAAAAATTGTAGCAAGAAAGATGCACACACCCATTCTATTATTAAATCCTTGGCTTACAGAGCGTTCTATTGTTATCCACATCACAGCCAAACTTCATTGTAGTTCCGTTTTAAACCCAGACGCCGTGTGCTCGTCTGCAGGGACCAGTTATTCATCTCATTAGCGATTCCCACACGTCTGAATTTTCTGTTCACTACTAGTGCTTCTTCCCTTTGCATATCCCAGTCCTCTTGCTGGACCTTGCCGACACTGCTAACACCACACACCCTTCTGGCCTCCCAGCCCTTCTCCCCACTGCTAACAGGTCTTCCTAATCCCAACAAACATCAAGAGCCCTGTCATGAGTCTCTTCTAGAGACTGCGCTTTCTCGTCACCAGGCATGTCTCACATGCCAACAGTGCCAGTTTGCCTGCCTACCTAGGGGACCATGACAATAGCCACAGCTTCTTACGCAGGTCCACGTGTGGAGAACAAGAACTATTTCCTAAACAAGTCAGCCTCTGTAACACAACATAATGCCTGTGGAGAATTCTCTGAGGGTGAGAATCCATGGGAATAATTTATTTCCTGAAATGGCATAGTTTAGTTCATAAATTAAAGAACTTTATTTTGAACATCACAGCCCCCTTCAGAAACAGGAATAGTAATAACAGAGAACAGCTCTCTATTCCCGGCCCTCTCTGTACATGTGAGCATATGAAAAAGCTTGAGCAAAATGTGTCACGGTGAGGGAGGTCTGTCGCAGGAAACAGGAGACTATGGATTTTTGGGCAAACTAAATAAATTCCAAATTCCAGAATGTAACTAGTCACAGTGCAGGAAGATGTTTAGGGATTACCTCAGAGATGTTCTTGTCAGTTTCTTTTCTTTTTTCTTCGAGTTTCCTTTCAATACCTACGATCCCTACAGCTCTTACTCTTCCTGGCTAGAAAAGAAAAAAGAAAAAACAAAAACCAAAAAACAATTAGATCATAAGATACACAAAACGGAAGGAAACAAAGCCCTTTGTAAGCCACACTGACTTTTCAAAGGTGGGAAAGAGCCCACCCAGAAAACAGCAAACAATCACATCCAGCTTCCTTTCCTAAGCATCTGTCTCCTTCTGTTCCTACATAATGACCTTCAACAGCAAAGGAAAATAAACATAACCAGCGGCATGCATGTGCTTCTCTGTATTTTAGTTATAATTAAACTTCTTATTCTTCTTTTATTCTTTGGCAATCTATCATATATTAAATATTAATAATCTATCAAATGTACAAGACTGTAGCTAAAATTCTGTACTCGACAAGTTATTAACAAGCTGTTTCCTCACATGTGAGTGTCTGTCCACAGCTGATGACTGACTCAGACTAATTCCCAGGAAAATTCAAATTTTTTAAAAAAAGCAGAACTCTATTGTTTTGCTTTTGACAAGTGTGTGATCACAGAGAGTTTGTTGTCATTGTCTTCTTCTTCCTCTTCCTCTCCTCCTCCCCCTTCTGTGTTTTGGTTTTTTTGAGACAGGATCTTTCTTTCTTTTTTTCAACGGATAACTAATAGTGGTTTATTTTTACTAAAAGATACTATGTCTTTTAATAAGTCACTTAAAAAAAACTTTCTTTGTATTTACTCAGTGTCCTTCACATCCTGCATCTTGATCCCATTCATTTCCTGTCCCTCTGCACCTGTCCTCTTCCCCTGCAACCTCCCCCAATAAAACAAAATTTAAAAAGGAAAAGAAAATAAAAATCTCGTCATGGAAGCTGCAGTGTGACACAGTGAGCCACACAGTAGACCCCTTTGTCCATGTATCTTTTCTTGAAAGTGGTCACTGGTCTGGTTCAAGGCCTCTGGTTTCTACTACACCATCAAAACAGGGCCCTCACTGAGACTCTTCTTGGATATCTTGTTGCCCTGTGTTGTGGAGATCCTGCAGCTTTGGGTCTGTAGGACAGGCCCCTTTACATCTCCAGTAGATCACAGATGGGGCAGATGTTGGGGCAGGCCAAGTCATAAGCCTGGTTGTGGACCTGGGCAGCTGCAGGGTTGGTCAGTCCAGCTGCTCTCCCCTGTCCCACCACCAGGGTGAGCTCTCCAGCACTGCCCCAGCTATGCTGGCAGCAATGAGGGACCAGTTCTCCTGTTTTCATGCCCTCAGGGTCTGCTCTCCCACACCTACACCATCAAGGGCAGCTCTACTGTGTTACCCCTGTGAGCCACAGGTACAGGGGTCACTCCCCAGTGCTGCAGCTGATGAGGGGCAGGGACAGCTCTCCTGCTCTTATGACCCCAGGACCAGCTCCTCTACTGAGTGACACAGGGTCTTTCTAATGTAGTCCTGGCTATCCCAGAAATCACTATGTAGACCAAACTGGCCTTAAACTCACAGAGATCTTCCTGCTTCTGCCTCCTAAATACTGAGATTAAAGGTGTGCACGACCGCATGCCCAGAGTCTTCCTAAAGAGTATTTAAGTACAGAAATGAAAACGGTGAATTGGCTGGCCTTGTGGCTCACACCCAGTACTTGGGAAGCTCAGGCAGGAGGACCACTTCAAGAATGGGACCAGCAAGGCTACACAAAATTCTAGGTCACCCTGTCTTAAGAAGACAAACAGAAAAGAAGATATTGCACTTACAAATAGCTTTAACAATACCTGGGGTCCTTTATTTGTTTGTAATGACTGGGAAACTGGCGCATTCTCCCACCTTCTCTGTGTCATTTCCTCTGATAAACGCCTATAAAACTGTAACATATATGCAAAGACTTGAGTCAGTCAAATGGCAGCCATCACACACACTACTAAAACATCTGTTTAGTACAACGTTCTGCTCAGTTGTCAGTAACAGAACTAGACAGTAAAGGAAGGCAACAGCTGTCTGTCTTCTAGGATCAGCTTCAGAAAGCACAAAGAAATCAAAATATATATCCAAGCACGCACGCGCGCACACACACACACACACACACACGCACACACGAGCACCATGTCTGTCTGCATGTCACCATGTTCCCCACCATGATGTATAAGCACTGAACCTCGGAAACTGTAGCGAGCCCCGGTCAAAGGTTTTCCTTTATTGGAGTTGCTGTGGCCATGGTGTCTCTTCCCAGCAGTAGACACCCTAACTAGGACAGCAATTCACTTCAGTTGGCTTCGAAACAACTGTGTGAGAAGCACTCAGGGGGTGCTGCACAAGACAGCACATGTGTCTGAACAACAAGTGTCCAGCGGCTTCCTCACTCGGTCTTCTAACCACGACACTGGGCTATTGGACCCGAGCCATTCTCTCTATGGAGCTAACGGAGATCAACTGCCTGGTGCTGAGCTTTCAGACAGCAGCTGAATCCCTTCCCACGCTGCGGTCTGATGCCCCATCAACTACCCCCTAGCAGCTTCTCTAGCAGCTTCCCGCTTTGGATGCCATGCAACCACACCCCTGCTTTTCACTCGATAAGGCTCGGAACATAAAAAGGTTTTGCTTTGTTTTTTGTTTTTGTAAAAATGTGGTTTATAACCTTCATAATACTGTCTTCTACTGTATTAACACAACACACACCTTTGATCATAATAACACACAGCACACACCTTCAATCATAATACTGTCTTCTGTTACATTAACACAACACACACCTTCAATCATAATATTGTCTTCTGTCGCATTAACACAACATACACCTTCAATAATACTGTCTTCTGCTGCATTAACACACAACACACACCTTCAATCACAATCCTGTCGTCTGCTGCATTAACACATAGCACAGACCTTCAATCACAATACTGTCTCCTACCATCTAACACACAATGCACGTTCGAATCCAGCTGTCATAAGGGAGCTTACCTCGATCTGGCCATGCTCTTTGAAGGAGAGTTTGATGTAGGAGTTCTTACTGCTCTGGAATGGACCGGGCTCTTTGTTAGAAGGAGCCGGGTGCAGATGCACCACGATTTTGGCACTAATGAAATAGCAAATATGTTGATGAATTTTTAAAATCACTAATTCTGTTTCTATAAGTTTTCATTTGCTTATTTACTTACTACTTATGTATTGTTTTGAGGCAAGATCTCACTGTATAGCTCTGGCAAGCCTGGAATTTGCCATGTAATCCAGGCTGGCCTCCAACACAGAGAGATCCCCCAGTCTCTGCCTCCTACATGCTGAAACTAAAAGTGTGTGCCACTACAATGAGCACTATTTTTTAAACATGTACATTTCCAATCACTCTGAAATTCATAGAGAAATAATGAATTTCAAAAACACATTCTTTTCTAATTTATATTCAGAATCACTAAAACCTGCAAAAATAAAACTTGTAAGATATAAACTAAATGCCATTGGCTATATAGATAAATGCATGGCTTTAGAAATGAATTCAGAATAGTTTTGTAATGTTTTGAGTGGTTTATGCCTAGGCTTCCCATCCACTGAGTCACCACCTGAGTCACATGGGGCTATCATGTCTGCCAAAGCAGTTTACCTTACCTACCTGAAAACACGTGAAAAGTTACCTGTAAAATGGGCTGATATTTTAATAAAAACTCAGCCAAAACTAACGTCCTACAGTGTCGTTTGCTGAAAATGCCGCTCATGCAGCAGCATGATCTAGAAGACCTGACGATAAGGACAACTCTCAAACCCTGCTGACCTAGGGAGATCGGTGTGTGTCCGCAGCAGCATCTCGGTACTGTTAAATGCATACAGACCTGCTCCACCAGGGTCTAGCCTGGGGACTCCTCCTGATCCTCCTCCCACACACCCTGCCCAAACCCATATCTAGACACTAGAAAATGGAAAGACAGGCAGTGCTCGTGGATTGGTAGAATTACCACTGTGAAGATGACTGTCTTATTAAAAACTATTTATTGATTCAATGCAATCAAAATCCAAAACAGTATCTCATTCTGAACTGAAACAGAAAAAGGGAAAAAAAAGTATCCTAAAAATCATATGGAACCACAAGGATCTCAGAAAGCCAAAAATACTGAGCAAAAACTATGGCTCTGGAGAGGTTACCATTTCAGAGTCATAGTAATAAAACACAGATGGACACACAGACCAGTGAGACACAACTGAAGACCCAAGTATGAGCACATAAACTTCAGCAATTAATATATGACAGATGTAAAAAACCCACAAAACATAAGTTGGAGGGAAAAAAACATCTTCAACAAATGGTGCTGGGAAATATGGATGTTGACATGCAGGAGAATGAAATTAGACCCTTATCTATCACCTTGGATGAAAACTAACCCCAAATGGATCAAAGACCTAAACGTGAAACACTGAAACATCACTATAAGAAAACATGGGCAGTGTCTTCCGTGATACAGGTGTAGGGAAGGACTTTCTGAATAAAACTCCATTTGCTCAGGAATCAAGGCCAAAAACTGACGACTAAAAAGTTTCTGCACAGCTAAAAAATCAACCAATCATGTGGAGAGGAAGTCACAGACTGGGAGAGAATCTTTGTCAGCTATACATCTGATAGAGGATTACCCTCCACGATATAGAGAATCCAAACAACAAAGAATCAAAGAAACGAAAACCAAATGACCCATTTAAAAAATATGCTTGGGATCTGAACACAGAGAAGAAATATCTCAAAAAAAATGTTCATTCTCACTAGCAGTTAGGGAAGTACAATCAAAACAATTTCAAGATTCCATCTTACTCCAGTCAGAATGGCAAAGATGGCCATGTTCATTGCTGCTCTGTTCACAACAGCAGGAATGGAAATAACCTACATGTCCTTCAGCCAGCAAACAGATAATGAAAATGTGCCACACATGGGCTGGAGAGATGGCTCAGAGGTTAAGAGCACTAGCTGCTCTTCCAGAGGTCCTGAGTTCAATTCCCAGCAACCACATGGTGGCTCATAACCATCTGTAATGAGATCTGGTGCCCTCTTCTGGCCTGCATGGATAAGTGCAGACCGACACTGTATACATAATAAAATAATAAATAAATAAATCTTTAAAAAAGGAGAAAATGTGGTGCACATATACTATGGCATACTATTTAGCTATAAAGGTAAATGAAAACATGAACCTTGCAGGTAAGTAGACAAAACTAGAAAATATTGTATTGGTTGAGCTGACGCAAACTCAAAGACAAATGTTACATGTTTGCTCTCATCTGAGGCCCTTAACTTCTTTAGGGTCTTCAGTGTGAGTACAGATCCTGGAGGAACCTCAGAAACAAAGAGTGAAAAGGACCAAAGTGGGGGGAGGAGCAAGAGAGAAGATGCTGGAATAGCAGGGTACAGCAGATTTGAAGGGGGAAATGAGACAAATGGGCACAGGGGGCTTTAATTAGGGCAGTAGAAGGAGATAAGAACTTTTTTGTGAATAAAGGTTTTAGAGCTCACTCAGGGTAGTGGTGGTGCATGCCTTTAATTCTAAGCCCTTGGAGGCAGAGGCAGGGGATCTCTGTTGAATTCGAGGCCAGAGCGGGTTCCAGAACAGCCAGGGCTACAGAGAGAAACCCTGTCTGGAAAACACAAAACAACAAACAAACAAACAACAGAAAGATTGTTAGGCCTCACCTCTTCCCAATTCCGGCCGCCTGTTCTTCGATGAACACAACCTGGGACAGAGGAATGGCCATGCAGCACTCCTGGGAGGAAAGCAAGAGGAGAGAGCTCTGTACACGGTCAGAGGATCAGTCCAGCGGCACGGGAGCGCTGCTCATCAACACTGTATTCCTTAACCAAGCTGCTCACTTTAGCCAGGCCAGGAAGGCACATGCCTGTCAGGGGCTCTACCACAGCTACACTCCCAATCTCCTTAGTAAACTTAAGGAAAATTGAAATAAAACTCTGTGCTGCCATTTGGTGCATGGGCGAGCATAAGGAGAGGTTTAAAGGCAAGCACAGGACTGGCAAGATGGCTCAGAGGGAAAAGGCACATTCCCAAAACCTAAACCTGAGTTCCATCCCTGGGATCCCACGGGGGAAGGGAGAAGTCTGCAAGCTATCCGCTGCCCTCTGTATGTGCACAGCGGTATGCCCACACTCATGGACACACAGAATATGATAATAAATCAAATTAAACCAAGAGGTGATACCTCTCTAATCTTGGTACTAGTGAATCCGAGACAGAAGGATAAGGAGTTCAAGGCCAGCCTGAGCTATACAGTAAGACCCTGTCTCAAAAAATAAAAGTAAAATGGGGTGCAGGGTTGGCTCAGCAGTTAAGAGCATTTACTGTTCTTTATATAGAAAGAATAAAAATATCTATTATATATATAAGTATATATATATATATAGAGAGAGAGAGAAAGAGACAGACAGACAGAGACAGAGAGACACTAGATAGTTTTTCCTGTTGACAACTGTACCTTTTTTAAAGTTAAAATTCTTTGGAATAGAGATATCAGCTCATACATACACCTCACTCCATCTAGAAACTATAAAATCAGAATGAGGAGTCTCTTCTTTTTTTTTATTTTTATTTTTTATTTTTCGAGACAGGGTTTCTCCACAGCTTTTGGTTCCTGTCCTGGAACTAGCTCTTGTAGACCAGGCTGGCCTCGAACTCACAGAGATCCGCCTGCCTCTGCCTCCCGTGCTGGGATTAAAGGCGTGTCCCACCACCGCCCGGCTAAGGAGTCTCTTCTTGAGCAAGGCCTTTCTCGAATTCCTACGGCTGAGCTCCCCTGCTTCGCCACGTGGCACACCGCCCCTCCTTTCCCACACCACTCCTGCTTCTGTCTTTTTAAGGATCCCTCAGAACGGGAATGACTCCTTCCCTACACTGAGGCAGGCTGTAGGAGCGACTGACTGGTATTTGAAAGCCTAAGAATTAAGCGTCTCACCACAGGGGGAAGCAGAGGCAGGCAGATCTCTGAGTCCAAGGCGGCCAGCCGGGTCTACAGCAAGTTCAAGGTCAGACCAGGCTAGAGAGTAAAACGTTGTTATCTCAAAACAAAACAAGAACAATCAAGAGAACACAAACAACATCTTGAATGGGGGTAGCTGGGGTGTATTCAGTGATTAAGCACACACTTGGCGTAGTCAAGGCCCTCGGTTCCAATTCACACACTAATTAAACAAAGCCCAGAATTAGACGCTAAAAGCTGAAGTCTCTTACATTGTTTTTCTGGTCTCTCCAAATCAGCCGGTGTGTACTAAGAAGAAGTGTCCCAGCATCGAATTTTATCTAAAACGATAAGATTGTTACAAATAATCAATATCACTACATATAATACAGATTTTCTTACCTAATTAGCATGTAATATGAAATTATTAAACATTTTAGAGCAAGGTTTATCATAATTAAAAAGAAATGCTATATACCTTAGTCTATATATTATATTACACACATATATTATATATAATATGTATATATATATCCATTATAGAACTATAAAAAATTCTAAATAACCTACATGTGGTATCAGAGGTATCTATAGTACAGCACACATGGAATGCTAAGACAGAGAGAATGGGAAAAAAAGGGAATTTGCAATGTATTACACAGAATGAAATTCTCCAACAGAAGGTGCTTTATATGTGTGGATACACACATCTCATGTAAGTACCAAAGAGAAGGTCTAAATGAGTACAGTAAGCACTCACTGGTCTTTATGTGTGTGGGTACACACATCTCATGTAAGTACCAAAGAGAAGGTCTAAATGAGTGTACAGTAAGCACTCACTGGTCTCAGGAAAGGGTGAGGGAATGGGATGGAGAGAAAGAAGCAAGGGATCTGTGAGCCCATTTCTGGATGTAGAGGCAGAAGGTTTGGGGCCAGCTAAGGCTACAGAAGACCCTGTTTTCTCCACTTCCCCTCAAAAATAAAAATACATTGTATAATAGTATGAAAAAGATGGCATCTATGTCTGCATGACTGAAGTTTTAATTTCGTAGATTATTATTCCTGAAAATTAGACAATAAACCAATTTAGAGTTAGTATTCAAGAGATTAATAAATCAAATCCTTCCAGTTCTGTTAAAAATGTATATATGAAGTTTCTATTTCTCTAAACACTAGAGAGCAGAATTTGCCATATAATAAGATTTGGTTGAATCATTTTTCTCTGCTCCACTCCGTTCCTTTCCCCTTCACCCTCCAACCCTCCCCCAAGGTCCCCATACTCCCAATTTATTCAGAAGATCTTGTCTTTTTTTACTTCCCACGTAGATTAGATCTATGTAAGTCTCTCTTTGGGTCCATATCGTTGTCTAAGTTCTCTGGGATTGTGGTGTGTAGGCTGGCTTTCTTTGCTTTATGTTTTAAAACCACCTATGAGTGAGTACATGTGATAATTGTCTTTCTGTGTCTGGGTTACCTCACTCAAAATAATGTTTTCTAGTTCCATCCATTTGCCTGCAAAATTCAAGCTGTCATTATTTTTTTCTGCTGTGTAATACTCCACTGTGTAAATGTACCACATTTTCATTATCCATTTTTTTTGGATGAGGGGCATTTAGGTTGTTTCCAGGTTCTGGCTATGACAAACAACGCTGCTATGAACATAGTTGAACACATGTCCCTGTGGCACGATTGAGCATCCTTTGGATATATACCCAAAAGTGGTATTGCTGGGTCTTGAGGAAGGTTGTTTCCTAATTTTCTGAGAAATCACCACACTGACATCCAAAGGGATTGTACCAGCTTGCATTCCTACCAGCAATGCAGAAGTGTTCCCTTTTCCCCACAACCTCTCCAGCATAAATTGTCATCAGTGTTTTTTATCTTGGCCATTCTTACAGGTGTAAGATGGAATCTCAGAGTTGTTTTGATTTGCATTTCTCTGATGACTAAAAATGTTGAACATTTCCCTAAGTGTCTTTCAGCCATTTTAGATTCCTCTGTTAAGAGTTCTCTGTTTAGGTCTGTACTCCATTTTTTTTATTGGATTATGTGATCTTTTAGTGTCCAATTTTTTGAGTTCTTTGTATATTTGGAGATCAGACCTCTGTCTGATGTGGGGTTAGTGAAGATCTTTTCCCATTCTGTAGGCTGTCGTTTTGTCTTGTTGACCGTGTCCTTTGCTTTACAGAAGTTTTTCAGTTTCAGGAGGTTCCATTTATTAATTGTTTCTCTCAGTGCCAACTTGGGTTTCTATCGCTGTGATAAACACCACTGTAGTGGCATTTCACTTGTATTTTAGTAAATAAAGCTTGCCTGAAGACCAGAGAGTAAAACAGTCCCACTGGTCAGCCTCACAGACCGGGTGGTGGTAACACACACCTTTAATCTCAGTAGCCACTCTAGTTGCCATAGAAACACATGACCAAAAGTAACTGGGAGGGGGGTATTTCAGTTTATAGTTTACAATCCATCATGAAAGGAAGTCAGGGCAGGAACGGAATTGGAGACCAAGGAGGAATGCTTCCTAGTGGCTTACTCTCCATGAGTCTCTGAACTTGCTGTTTTATATAACTCAGGACCTGGTCCATCGACAGCACTGCCCATAATGGGCTGGGCCCTCCCACATCCATCATTACTAATCCAGAAAATGCCTCATGGACCTGACCACAGAAAAATCTGATAGAGGCCTTTTCTCAATTGAAGTTCCCTCTTCCCAGATGATCCTGGCTTGTGCCAGGTTGATAAAAAACTAAACAGTGCAATATTCCACCAGAATACTTGGACTTATCTGAGAAAAGACTTACAAGATCTGAGTTTTCTTGCGTCAGAAGTAAAAGGCTAGGCAGGGTGGTGCAGGCCTTTAACCCCAGCACTGGGAGGCAGAGGCAGGCGCACCACTATGAGTTCGAGGCCAGCCTGGTCTACATAGAGAGTTCCAGGACAGCCAGGGCTACATAGAGAGATCCAGACACAAAAAGAGGAGGAGGGGAACCGGAGAGGTGGTTCAGTCGTTAAGGGGACCCAGCACCCACAGAGCAACTCACAACTTCAGGGAACCTGACGCCTCCGGCCTAGGCTGACATCTGCCCTTCTGTGCGCACACCCGCATGTAGACACGCACACTTACACACAATTAAAAAGAAGAAAAACGTCCCAATAAAAAGCAAAGTTCAAGTACCCTCTAGAATGCAATTCAGCCTAACTTTAAGCGTCTTGGCTGGTCTGATTTACACAAAACTGGGTTTATGATATTTTAAGAATCTCTTTGCTGCTAAGTGAAATCTCCCGTTTTCAAAGCAAATGTTTTGTTAACTTGGAAGTGCAGTTAGATCAGAGCAGTTTTTGTTTCATCTTGTTGAAATCAAAGTTTAGGATATGCATTTGAAGTTCCTGTCAGAATTGTCCCACTTGCCCTGTCAATCAATGGGCATGAGGAAATGAGAAAGGTTGTTGCTCCAGGGAGGAAATTGTGCCACTGTTTCCTTCAGTTCTCCTGTGAGTTATTCTCTCAACCCGACAGACAGGTTTGTCTGGCTTGCATTTACTACTCAAAACTAGAATAATCGGAGCTACTTTAAATCAAACTTTGTTTAAGAACGGTTGCGGAGAAGATCCAGCCTCAAAAACACCACCCTAAGAAACGCGGGAGACCTGGGTCAAACGTCGCGTGCACCTCCAACAGCTGTAAGCACGGACCAGGAAAAAGTGTATCAAAGCACAGAGGAAGGCTTCGTTTCCCCCACAGCGAGGAAGGAGGAACGCGACAAATGAAAACTGGAAAGCAAAAGTGTTTGCGGGAACGCAAGCTCTATTCCCCCGTTCTCAGGTCGCGCATTTCATTCAGAACAGGAAGGCTTAGGGAGTTTCCAGTGTGTACAAAATAGTTCCTTGCATCAGGGATTTCTCTTATCGTTTGCAAGCCCTTCCCTTAAGATTTCTGCTTGCGCTACAAGGCAGAGCTTACTGCATGAGTCCATAACGCAAGCTGGGGCTGGACCCGGCTGCCTCCTTCGGAAATCCTGTTGGGCGAGGGACCGGCCGCGGCACAGCCCAGTACAAATCCATCACCCATCCATCCCGCAAGAGAGTGGGGGAAGGCGTTCCGGGGGCGCGCCCCCGATCAGGCGGAACTGGGCCGTCCCAGGCTCCGATCCCCCCATCCCACCTCCGGTCCCCCGCTCCCCGGCTCCACGGTTCACCGTGCACAGCGGGCCGCGAGGTCGAGGCCGGGAGCCCAGGGCCGAGGACCAGGCCGTGCCGAGCCCAGCACGAGGGTCCGCGGGACGGGGCGGCCTCCGCCCTACCTTCTCCTCGCCGTCGTAGACGCGCACCCCGCGCTGCTGGATCACCAGCGTCTCGTTGATCTCCAGGAGGCCGCTGGTCCACACGAAGCGGTCCATGGCCGCCGCCGGGCCGGCCTCTGCCGCTCGCCCGTGCTCCCGGGCTGCGAGCGGCGCCCCCTGGTGGCCGGCGGGGGTGGGGCGGCCGGGAGGGAGTCGCCCCCCCCACCCCGACCTCCGACAGGCGGGGTGAGGGAGCGCCCCCTGGCAGCGGCCGCTCATGCGCTCGTTTGTTTCCCTGGCCCTGCCCAGCCTGTTGATAGGCTTGTCAAAGGTTGTAAATAATGATATTTTTGTTATTGTTGGTTTTCAAATAACTGTTGACAGCAGGGATTGTTTTTAATACACCTGTAATCAGTATATCGGATGGTACCCTCTGCTCCTCGCTCAGGGTTTTGTTTTAGACTAATTTTTATAAGATTGTATTTATTTTATGAGTGTCTGTGTGGGCGGGGCACATGCAAGGGCTCGCCTATAGGAGACAGAAGACACCCAATGAGAGCTGGTTCTCTCCTACCACCGCAGATCTTGGGGATTAGACTTCAGGTTATGAGGCTTGGCAGCAGGCACCTTTACCTGTTTAACCACCCCCCCTTTTTTTTAAAAAAAAAAGGGCATTAGATCTATATTAATGAAGGTGACATTGAAAATAAAACATAAACCAACCCCACGCAGATTGTCGTTTAATGAGGACAAAGAAGGACACCAGTCCCTCCTAGAGATTGGAGACCGGACACGTAGTGCGGGGTGGGGTTGGGGGTTGGCGTTTTATGGGGCTGAAAAGGGGAACTTCCGGGATGCAAGAGTCCATCTGCAAGTCAGTTCCCCTGCAGTCTCAGTGATTGCTGATCTTATCCTAGGCTTCCTGCATCCTGACAGCCCACTGGTGCTTCAGGTCAACTTTCCTGCCTGGAGTTTCTCCGCCCACCTGAGACTTTTAGGTCTTTAACCTTCAGTGAGTGCGGGCGTTTTGCCTACCTGAAGGTCTGTGCTGAGATCCATGCCTGTTACCCAGGTAGAGCAAAAGGTTTTAATTATTCTGTCCAATGTAAACTAACTCTCTGTCTCTCTGTCTCTCTCTCCCCCTTCCTTCCTTTTTTTCTTTTACATAGTTTTTTTTTTCTTCAAACCAGGCTCGGCAGTACACACCTGTAATCCTAACACTTGGGGAACAGAGGAAAGAGGAGTGCTCCAGGTAAGCCTGGGCTCCGTAGTAAGACCCTAAAAACAAACAAGCAGCAGCAACAACAAAATACCACACAGGAACAAGGAAGGAAGGAAGGAAGGAAGGAGGAAAGGAAGGGAAGGGAAGGGAAGAGAGGGGAGGGGAAAGGAGGGGAGGGGAGGGAAAGCAAGGGGAGGGGAGGGGAGAGAAGGGAAGGAAGAGAAGGATCTCTCCTTTTTTAACCCTTCTATGGTTGTTAAGTTTCTACTTAAGTATTTTGAGTTGGGCAGCAGCTAAAATCACTGACTGCTCTTCCAAAGAACCCAGGTTCAATTCCTAGCACCCACACAGCACTCACAACTGTCTGTAACCCCATTTCCAGGGGATTCAAAGCCTCCTTCTGGCCTTTGAGGGCACCAAACATGCATTTGATGCAACAGATATACTTGCAGGTAAAGTACCCATGCAAATAAAAAAATATTTTTTAAAAAAGAAATTTTTGCCAAACAGCACTTTTCTATATTTTCTTCTGTTTTATAGTTTTCTTTCTTATGCTAGGTGTATGTTTCATCTTGAGACTGTCAGTCCTTGTCTAATGTAAAGTTGAGGTAAAGATCAAAGTTTGCAGTTTGCAAATGTTGAAATTCAATTACCATGACTGTTTATTGAACGGTTGTTTTTGGAAACTGTAAACATCAATCGGTCAGCTAGCCTGGTTATAGTTCTGAAATTGTTGTGCTCCCTTGTTTGTCTTTGTGTCACACCGTCTCAATCATCGCGGTCTTATAACTCTTGACAACATCCTGTCCCTGCTCCGCTTGGGACTATTTCACAGTTGTCTTGCCTTCTCTAGGTCCTTTACATCTCGTGTTAATCTTTAGAACAACAGTTGTTGTTCTGAGTGCATACTGTAGCTGTCATTTAGTTTCTGTAGTTTTTCTTCACTGAACGTTTGTGCCAGAGCCGCCTACTTTCTGAATTTAGTGAGATCCCTTTGAGTACCAACCTTGCCAGGTCTCTGCCATGTCATCTCTGTGGCTCTCTCTCTCTGGCCTTTCTTTCCCAGCTGTCCTCCTTCTGTCCTTAGGAACGACCCACCCTGCCCTCCCACAAGTACCTGTTTCACACACCCACAGGAGAAGCTAATCAACCACATCATATGTGTACAGTTTATAGCCAGCTGTGTTGATGGTGACCTGTTCTGAAAGAAGTCTTCTTTGGCCTTTTAGAAAAGAATCTGTCTTGCCTCCCAACACTGTGGAATGGCTCTGTGTGTGTGTGTGTGTGTGTGTTTTTAAAAACAAGCTGCTCTTTGTGTAGGGTTGAGCCCTCATGAGCTTTCCCCCATCCACTTTGGCATGTCGGAATGAGAGCAAGGAGGGGTGGATGGGAGAGTTTGGAAGGAGTAAAGGGAACGGAGAATGATGTGGTCTTGTTAAAATCTCAAAAAAGAGGGCTGGAGAGATGGTTCAGAGGTTAAGAGCATTGCCTGCTCTTCCAAAGGTCCTGAGTTCAATCCCCAGCAACCACATGGTGGCTCACAACCATCTGTAATGAGGTCTGGTGCCCTCTTCTGGCCTGCAGACATATACACAGACAGAATATTGTATACATAATAAATAAATATTTAAAAAAAAGTAGAAGAAAAATCTCAAAAAAGAAAAGAAAAAAGAAACTCTGTTCTTGGAGTGGGCATATCTGAAAATTAGGGAGAAAACTGCCATGTTGGGAAACAGCAGTCTCAAGGCTTTCTTACTATCTTGGTGTATTGAAATCTCCATGGTTTTTCTTTTATTCTGGGTTTGTTTTAACCACAGACACTTTTTAAAAAAGCTATTAAGGTGAGTTTCACAGTGCTGTGGAGTAATCCTTCTTACATGCCCAGCTGCTTAGGGTTTGGCTGATTCCAGACATAGTCAAGTTGACAACCAAGTCATAGTCAAGTTGACAATCCAGACATAGTCAAGTTGACAACCAAGACTAGCTATCGGACCAATGGAACTTGAGCAATCAGCCATATTGTGGTGAGCGTGTAAATAAATAGCAGCCATATTGTGGTGAGCGTGTAAACAGCAGTGGTGTCTTTAAAAGCAAGAGCTGCTCACCTCTTGCTTCTCCCAAAGTTGGTAAAGCTGCACTCAAACAGGATATTTCCAAAGGAAAGGAAAGCTACAGAAGCACCAGGGCTGTCGCTCAATGGCAGCGCACTTGAAAAAGTCTCTGAGTTCCGTCCCTAGCACTGAATAAATAACTAAATAGCTGGGCAGTGGTGGCACACGCCTTTAATCCCAGCACTTGAGGGGCAGAGGCAGATGAATTTCTGCGAGGTCAGCCTGGTCTACAAAGCTAGTTCCAGGACAGGCTTCAAAGCTACAGAGAAATCCTGTCTTAAAAAACAACAACAAACAAACAAATAAAAAATAAACACACTAACAAAGTATCTGAGGGGGGGAAATGGGAGAAAACAGGAGAAAAGATGACCACAGCTGAGAGCTAGCTGGAGAGACCCTCTGGCCCGAGTAATAAGAAGATAGCATTCTCCCTCAAATAAAACAAGGCCTCTAACATGGCGTCAGTCGTCCTAACGTCTGGGGGGAGCTGGCAAGAGATAGCTATTTAGTAAGCTAAAGATAGCCCACGATCAACTGTAGCTGGGCCCTGGACCCCCATCATTCCAACCTCTCCACAATAAAAAGTTCCCGTTTTGAAGATGTAGTCTCTTTCTGAGAAGATATTTCACACACGTCATCTTCCTGAGGGTTGGGCTTACAGATGTGAACCGCCATTGCCCGACTGTCTGGGTTTTATATAGGTGACATGTTTACACGACGGGAGTGAAAGATTATAGCAAGACACCTAAATAAACAAATATAGAGAAAACTGTCCAACAAGCGTTAGTTCTTCACAGGAGATTATATACTGCCTCGGAGGAACAGAGAGTTACGGCCTTTTTTTTTTTTTTTTCTTTTCTCCTGTTCACACTCATATGTAGTCTTATCACTCAGGAAGCCAGGGAAGATTCAGCGTTCTAGGCCAGTACATTGCAAGACTTTCAATTAAATAGTAACAGCTCAAAGGTATATCTCAATTTAAGATTTTGTCTGCAAGCTGTGCAAACATGAACACCCAACATCTGAGCTCATCCCGCCTGAGAGATGTAGTCACAACCCACTTGAGTTATGTAGTTCGAGAGAGCATTTGTGAATATATACTCCTCAGGGAACTTTCCAGCTGCGTCCTCGGTGAGAGCACCAGCAGCCGTCTGGCTGTGTCTGAAGACTAGTCCTGACTTGTCCACCCTAGTCTTGTTAGATCCTGAGGATTCAACGAGCCCGCTCCGCCTCCGTCGTCCATCCAGCTGGAAAGAGCAACGTTTGATTTTTTGAAAACTCTCACCAGGCTGCCAACCTTACAGACTCCGGGACGGCTCCGCCCCTCGTCCAGGCCCCGCCCCTCCTCGCTCATTGGTCCGTTCAATCCACGCCGGCGCCGAGGCGCGCACTTTAAGAGATGGCAGAGTCCAGGAAACGCTTCCCAGGCCGATCTGGGAGGAACACCTTGCCGGTGCCCCGGGACCTGCAGCTGCCCCCGACCAAGAGAGACCAGCCGGCCTTCAGAGGTGAGTGGCGGCGCCTCACGTCCTCCGGAGAGCCTACCCCGCGTCTCGGTGCTAGCCGCCCGGGGCAGCGGTTTTAGCGCGGTGGTCCGGGGTGGGGGGGCGGAGCCGCATGGACCCCGACTGCGCCTGCGCGCCGGTTCTCTTGCTCTGAGCGCCGAGGCGAGGCTGGGGCTGTTGGGGACGTCCTGGACCTTTTGGAAAACTGGAGTTGAATGGGTCTGCGGCAGTAACACGGAAAGTGTTTCCTCACCCAACTTAGCTCTGTAAGTTGGTCAGAAACTTGGAGACTGGTACCTCATCTCTGCAGTTGTTTCTTGTAGACTGGCTTTCTGAAACCGTGTGTTGAAGTGGTGTTCCCTGGGAAACGCGGTTATCTGTCTGTCGGCAGTGTCTGTCCATCTGTCTGGTACTTCTGGACTGCAGAGAATGTGTTCTTACTCAGGGCAGTTGTGAACGTCAGGCTGGCTAGGTTTCTCTATGCTAGACACAAACTAGAATCCTCAGAGAGAGGAGAGAACCTACATTGAGAAATGCGTCCATAAAATCAGGCTGTAGGCAGGTCTGTATTACATTTTCTCTCTCTCTTCTTTCTTAATTGATTGATTAGATTTTAGCCGGCATGTATGTCTTGTGTGAGGGTGTCGGATCCCCTGGAACAGGAATTACAGTGTGACAGTGTGAGCTGGCACGTGGGTGCTGGGAATTGAACCCGGGTCCTCTGGAAGAGCAACTTAACCGCTGAACCATCTCTCCAGTCCCGCCCCCCCCTTAAATCTATCCGTCTCTCTTTTTTTTTTTTTTTGAGGGGAGGGCGGAGTCTGAGATAGGATTTCCCTGTGTAGCCTGTTCTTTGGAGCCTGCCCTGGAACTGCTCCGTAGGTAGGGCAGGCCGGTCACTAACTTATGGAGATTAAAAGCGTGCGCAACCACCGCCCGGGGTATCTTCTTAATTGCTTCTTTCTTAAGTGATTGAGGGGGAGGGCTGTGAGGGGGAGGGCCCAGCCCATTGTGGGCGGAGCTACCCCTGGGCTGTCTTGGGCGCTGTAAAAATCCTGGCTAAGCAAGCCAGTAAGCAACTTTACTCCTTGGCCTCCAAATTCCTGCCCGTAACTGCTTTTGAGGATGAATTGTTCTATGGAATTGTTAATAAAACGAATTCTTTCTTCCCCAAGTTGCTTTTCAGTGTTTAATCACAACAATAGTAACCCTGTGACAGCACCTTTTATGGTAATTTCTGATGAATGGGATCATTTCTCTAAGTTGAGAAATTTCCTGTTATATAAAAATAATTTATTTTCCCAGGGACACTTATGACTAGTTAAGGTGCTCTATAGTGGCATTTGTTTTATTCTGGCTAGTGCCCAAGGAAGAGCCAGCCTTGACTAGAAGATTTAATAGTATATAGAAATTACTTTAGACTAGCGCATTTTACACACGCTGTCATCCTTCCATCACTTTTGCGTCCCAGCGCCAGGTTACACTTTGAACAGTGTAACCAGAGACAGGAGACTGTACATCTGTACACTTGGGGAGGCAGGAGATTGACACAGCAAAGATAATTGCCAGATTTATTTAAGTATACCAGTGTTATTCTTTTCTGAATAAATTGGATCGTCATTCCCCAGATGGAACTATTTTTTTTAAACATTTATTTACTTGATTATGTATACAATATTCTGTCTGCATGTATGCCTGCAGGCCAGAAGAGGGCACCAGACCTCATTACAGATGGTTGTGAGCCACCATGTGGTTGCTGGGAATTGAACTCAGGACCTTTGGAAGAGCAGTAAGTGCTCTTAACCGCTGAGCCATCTCTCCAGCCCCCAGATGGAACTATTAAAATTCTTTTATAAAGCTCCAGTTTAAAATTCTGTGTCATAGGGTCTGTTTTCACCCTGAGAAAGTAGCTGTCTATAACGGAGGTGGTTCCATTACAGTCTCTACACGAGAGGCAGGAAACTGACTCCAGGAGTTCAGAGTTCCAGGTCCAAAGGCCTAAACCAGCAACTCCCAACCTGTGGGTCGTGACCCCTTTGGGGTTACATATCAGATATCCTACATATCAGATATTTACATTACGATTCATAAGAGTGGCAAGGTTAATTATGAAGCAGCAATGAGATAATTTTACGGTTGGTGGTCACCACGACCTGACCCATTTCACTCAGGCATTTAATTCTCCATAATCAGTTGGTTTTTTAAATGTACCTGATTTTGAGGAGTACTTTAAATTAAACAAATTTTAAGTTCGCTTTTAAACTTGTTTTGAGTGACCTACTTTAGGGATTGCCTTTGACAGCACACACAGAAGATTGTACTGGGAGATGTAAATTGGTCTCCCCAGCTCATCTTAGGTCTATAAATGAATTAACATTTGTACTTAGTGTGACTACAAACACAATTCTGGGCGCATGAAGAACATTTGTTACTTTTTTACCTTTTATTTTATTTTGAGACAGGGTGTCCCTACATAGCCCTGGCTGTCCTTGAACTCACTCTGCAGACCATGCTGGCCTAGAACCACAGACCTCTACCTGTCTCTCTGCCTCTGCAGTGCAGGGACCAAAGGTGTGCACCTCCCACCCAGCCATTTAATCACTTGTAAGGTGATTGGTCACTAATTTTTGGTTTTTCAAGACAGGGTTTCTCTGTAGCTTTTGGAGCCTGACCTGGCATTAGCTCTTGTAGACCAGGCTGGCCTTGAACTCACAGAGATCCGCCTGCCTCTGCCTCCCGAGTGCTGGGATTAAAAGCATGGGCCACCTCCGCCCGGCTCAATCACTAATTTTTATGCCCAAAATTACCTTTGTTTTAGCAGTTTACAATGAATTAGCAACTCTCAACAACATTAGGATTTTATAAACTAAGGTAGTTTATCCCTGGTAAAATTTCCGAGGCTTAAAAATGACATTTTTTTTAATTGAAGCGATTTTCATTCCAATATATACTTTATACACTAAATACAGTTCATGGAGAAAGTGGGAACCTCTTTATTCTGGATAGTGTAGATGTAAATAAATCTAGGTCAATTTAACAGATCTTTTATATTCAGTAGCTCATGTAGTCACAAAAATACAATTATAGCCTAAGTCAATTTTACCGAGCTTTTATATTCAGTCGCTCATTTTATCATAAGAGTGTAACTGTAGCAGAGACCAGGAAGATTGGTTGCCATCAGGAGACCAAGAATAAAAGGTGTACAGTTAATTCTTACCACAGCTCTGCATGACTCAGTTTCTCCAGACAGTTAAACCTTAAAAACGTTAAGACGCAAGGTGACAAGCGACAAGATACCTTTAAGTCAGCTGTTGTCAACATGCATAGACCATTGTGTGCAGAGGAACATTAGATCCTTTTAGCTGTTAGTCCATAAGGCCTGTTTGACATGTTCAAACTCTCTGGCTTGGCTTCAAGCTTTTATGGTTGTGTTCCTGTCTTTATTTATCTATTTAGCCTACCTAAAAGAATTTAACCCTTGTTAGAGATATAACTTCAAATTTATATCTTAACTTTTTTGTTTTACAACCTCACTGATCCTGAGAAAGTTCAATCTCATCCAGAACTAGAGATAGCAGTAACCATGAATGAGAGAACATTCTGTGTAAACAAGGACAAACAAGTTGTGGATAGAGTTTTAGCAACCCTTTTTTTTTTTGTCCTGGAAATATATCTTAAGCATTATTTTTAAATCACCTTGACTGGACAGTTTTAAAATATGTTTGTTTGTTTTTTTGGTTTTTCGAGACAGGGTTTCTCTGTGGTTTTGGAGCTTGTCCTGGAACTAGCTCTTGTAGACCAGGCTGGTCTCGAACTCACAGAGATCCGCCTGCCTCTGCCTCCCGAGTGCTGGGATTAAAGGCGTGCGCCACCACCGCCCGGCTCAGTTTTAAAATTTGAATACTAAGCTGAGCATGGTGGCTCATTTTAATTCCAGTTCTTGGGGAGGCAGAGGCGGGCTGATCTCTGAGTTCAGAAAGTTCCAGGACAGCCAGGACTACACAGAAAAACCCCATCTCAAAAACCAAAAAGCAAAAAAATTAAATACCGTGAGATGTAACCGTAGCAAATTTGTCATTTGCAGTAAGAAGTTTTCCCTAAAGGGGGTGTTGTGCCCCTCCTCCCCTTAGTTTTTCCCATTCTCCATACCCTATCTCCAGAAACCTTGAGGCCTTATGACATCAGGGCCTGATTGCCTACAGCTAGCTAGGAGGAATGCCTCACCCAGGTTAGGGTGCAGTGACTTTTCTCCTGGAGCAGATATTAGCTAACATCTAACGAGTCCTGCTGTGTGATTATAAGTGAGCACAGCTGGAGTTCTGTCTGAAGATGGCAGTTGTTTAGCTACAACACTTGCAACATCTTTTTTTTTTTTTTTTTTTTTTTTTGGCTTTTCGAGATGGTTTCTCTGTAGCTTTGGAGCCTGTCCTGGAACTAGCTCTGTAGACCAGACTGGCCTCGAACTCACAGAGATCCGCCTGCCTCTGCCTCCCGAGTGCTGGGATTAAAGGCGTGAACCACCACCGCCTGGCAACATCATCTTAATAAAGAAGTTGAATCCAAATTACACACGTAGGGTAATGCACTAAATTAATACACCTGTGAACAATCTGTTGCACCATTAGGCCCTGTAAGTGTCCAGGCAAAGTGAATGAAAAAAGAAATAAAGGGCTGGAGAGATGGCTCAGGGTTAAGAGCATTGCCTGCTCTTCCAAAGGTCCTGAGTTCAATTCCCAGCAACCACATGGTGGCTCACAACCATCTGTAATGAGGTCTGGTGCCCTCTTCTGGCCTGCAGACATACACACAGACAGAATATTGTATGCATAATAAATAAATATTTAAAAAAAATAAATAAAAAGGAAAGGAAAGGACTCGCTGACTGCTCCTAGGTGAGGTGGAGGAGGAAGCTGATTGTAGGCACGTGGGAAAGAGCATAGTCAGAAAGCGAGATGTTGGGGGAGTACAGAGTGGATATGGACAGCCTGAACTGGGGGGAGGAGGGAGAAGGGAGAGAAGGGAGCTGGGGCAGCAGCCAGGAGGCCAGAGGTATTAGAAAGGGTAGCCATAATATCTGGATTATATAGGGAAGAGTAGCCTAGCCCCTGAACTGGAGAGGTCAGGGTATGCCAGCCATACCCTGTAACAGGTAGAGACTGAAGGATGCTGGGAGACCTGACTTATTAGCATGTGGATTTTTAAATTCATGTTTATATCATCTAACAATTTAGCTGTGGGAGCCCTGTTAAATCTGTGCTGCTGAAGTTACTGCTGGAAGATTTTAGACAGTGGGTCTCTAGCCTTCCCTTGTATAGTTTTCCATTAGCTGTTTTTATTATAGGCGTCTTTATACTGTGAGATAACAATAGGAGCCCCTGTTGGAAATAGTTTACCTTTTACCTATTCTCAAGCGCACAGTGACTTCTTCCACAGTGTAAGGCAAGGGAACCCCAGAACAGAAAGACTCCGGGAAGACCAAGCGTGTGGACTCAGCATACCTTGTCTTCAGGTCCCTCGGAGAGGCACAACTTAGAGTTTTTTTGGCCCAGAGAAACTAGCTGTGCACCCTGGTGACCACTCTGACGTGGGCCCTGGTCTCCCTGGTGGCAGGAAAGTGAGGGGACTCATGCAGGGAGCCCACTCAGTGGAAACTGTATGGCCCACTCATGACCTACTAGAGAAGCCAGAACCATTTGCTTGTTCTGAATAGGATTACAAACTCCTTCTGCATATGGAAGGAGCCCAAGTCTTTTGTTTTTTTTCCAAGTCAAAGCAGGACAAAAAATGAACGTGAGGCTCCTGTGTTCATGCCAAGGTTACAACAGTCCCTCTTTGTTTTTGTTTGTTTTTTCAGACAGGGTTTCTCCAGGTAGCTTTGGAGCCTGTCCTGGAATTGTAGACTAGGCTGGCCTTGAATTTAGAAACCCGCCTGCCTCTGCCTCCTAGCCCTGGTATTAAAGGCTCGTATCACGGCCTAGCTCCCTCCATTGTTTTTTCTTAATGGAAAACCTGTCTGTCAGCTTTACTAGAAAACTTGTTCTGTGCCCTCCTTACCCCACAGTGTGGGGCCTGTTTGAGACCGGATGCCAGTGGTGGCAACCGTCCTTGTCCTGCAGGAGTCCTGTAGACTGAGTGTGGACCAGTGAGCAGCAGACTGGAGAGTCTGGAGCGCCCTTCAAAGGAAGTGCTAGACATATGTTGAGGAGCACTCCTCCTCTTCCAGGACTCCCCCAGCCATTTGAGCAGCCTTTCCAGCAGCACAAGGGGCTGGTGAAGGAGGCCATGTCCCTGGGGACCTCCATATTTGTTAGAGAGATAACAAGCCTTCCTTGTGAGGAATCACTCTGCACACTAGAGAACGATGAAGGAAAAGCTCTTTGATAGCACTTGTCTGGCTTTTGGCTAACACCCAAAAAAGAACCGGCCTTGAAGAGAAAATTTCAGTTGCTTATATCAGTGATTGTCAACCTTCCTAATGCTGTGACCCTTAATACAGTTATTCATATTGTGGTGACCCCAGCCATAAAATTATTTTCATTCCTGCTTCATAACTGTAATTTTACTACTGTTATTAATCATAATATAAATGTCTGTATTTTCTGACAGTCTTAGGTGACCCCCGTGAAAGAATCATTGGACTCCCCAAAGGGATCATGACCCACAGGTTGAGGACCGCTGGCTTATCTGCACTTTAGGCTCGTGCATTTTACATATGCCGTCATCCTTCAGTCTGCTTCAGGTCCTGGCTCCAGGTTACACTCTGAACAGTTTAAACAGACAGGAGCCTGCAAGTCTGGTCACTCAGGCAGATGGGAATATTTCTGACACAGCAAAGATATGGCCAGAAGTATTTCTTAACTACATCAGTGTTGTTCCTTTCAAATAGCTGTTAGCTAGGGTCATCCTGCCCACCTGGCAGAGCTATGTTTTTACTGATAAGAGCACAGGGGACTTAGTGGTTGTGACCCTACTGTGCCCACCTTGAGCAGCTGTTAGAGGACTGTCCTTTGTTATGGGACTAGAGCCAAAAGGCTGGTCAGTCCATCCTGGCAGCTTAAATCTTACCTCTTACCTGACTGGTTAGCCTCACTTACCTGTGGGGTGTTTGTGGGGGCAGTGCTGGCTTCACTAAATTCTGCTTTGTGTGATTTAATGTCTCCTAAGCCAGTGCATTAGGGCCTCCTTTATAACATCTGTTCTGTTCATCTGAATTACTTTCCCATCAGTACAAACAATACTGTCTCAATTTTCCAAGTAAAATAACCTTTTACTCAACCATATTTGATGTTTTAACTAAAGTTGACTTTGTTACTCCTTCCTCTTTAGAACAAAGAAAACAAAAACTCAAGGAATATCTGTTAATACGAAAAACAATGCTTCCATACAAACAAGAAAATCAGATATCCAGGTGAGGTCAAGTTTAATTCAGTTCTGGAGAATTACATTAGAGTTGTCCACTAAGAACCTAACATGTACCACGTTTCTAATTTTTAACTTTCCTACTAACCATATTTAACTTTAAAAAAAAATGAATTTTAATAGCACCTAATTCAATTAAGATTCCAGATACCATTTCAACGTGTGGTATTTAAAAGCATTAAGAGGAATGGAAGTGTATTTCAGTAGTAGAATGCTTGCCACCAAAAGCACCACAAAAGGAAAGGCACTATGGCATTTAACCTTCTCTTTTGGTATCAAGACTTCAGACATCTCAGTTTGTGCCTGTGGCTACTTTATGTGGGTGATGCACTGGATCATCATTTTCTCTGTGTGTTCAAACTCTTAAAGGGGAACAATTAAGTTCCTTTTTATTTTTTTGTTTTTATTGGTCTATATACTCCTACTCCCTTTCGTTCCTCCCTTCTCCCCTTCCATCCTTAATTTTTTTTTCTGTGTGTATATTCACTTGCTCATCCACCTGTGCAGGTGCATGCAAGATAAAGTACACATGCTGGTCACAGTAATCTTCAGGCGTGTGTGCCTCTAAATCAAATTGAGGTAGTTGGGCTTGGAGACAAACAGCTGCATCTGCTGGGCCATCTCACTGGTCCAAGAGAAAACTAAGTGTATGTATATGCACAGAGATACTGACGTAGGAGCTATGCTGTGCTGTAAAAGTCAGTGTTTGGTTTTGAAGGTCTGCATTCTTTTTTTTTTTTTTTTTTTTTTTTGATTTTTTTCGAGACAGGGTTTCTCCATAGCTTTTGGTTCCTGTCCTGGAACTAGCTCTTGTAGACCAGGCTGGCCTCTGCCTCCCGAGTGCTGGGATTAAAGGTGTGCGCCACCACCGCCCGGCCTCTTTTTTTTTTTTAATTTATTTATTTACTATGTTTACAATGTTCTGTCTGTATGTATGCCTGCAGGCCAGAAGAGGGCACCAGACCTCATTACAGATGGTTGTGAGCCACCATGTGGTTGCTGGGAATTAAACTCAGGACCTTTGGAAGAGCAGGCGATGCCCTTAACCGCTGAGCCATCTCTCCAGCCCCAAAGGTCTGCATTCTAAACACCTTAGCCTCAAACTTGAATTCCTTCTGTCCCCAGGTACAGGTCATAAGTTGGTACCACTGCAGCAGTAGTGGGTAGTTTCATGCATCTTTTAGACTATAGTGCCTAGTATTTGGTCAAACAGTAGCCTAGGTGCTGCAGTAAAAGAATCTTTTTTTTTTTTTTTTTTTTTTTTTTTTTTGGTTTTTCGAGACAGGGTTTCTCTGTGGCTTTGGAGCCTGTCCTGGAACTAGCTCTGTAGACCAGGCTGGTCTCGAACTCACAGAGATCCGCCTGCCTCTGCCTCCCGAGTGCTGGGATTAAAGGCGTGCGCCACCATCGCCCGGCAAAAGAATCTTTTAAGGCTGGCGTAGTAGCACACGCCTTTAATCCCAGCACTGAGAGGCAGAGCTAGCTCTGTGTGAGTTGTATGTGAGTTCCAGGACAGTCAGGGCTGCACAGAGAAACCCTATCTCAAAAAACAAAAACAAAACAGAAGAAGAGGAGAATCTTTTAGGTGTGACTAATATTTGAATCCATGACTTGGAGGACAGCAGGTGACTCTCCACATAGGTGGACTTCATCCAATAAAAAAGCAGAGTTTGGGGATGATAATCTTATTCTGATGTTGTTAGGAATTAAGTTTCATTTGTTTTAAAATATCAGATTTTGTCAGTTCTATCAAATAATATGTTTTTCCACATTTTAGCGTGCTCTGAATTTGTGAATCTGTTTTAGAATTACTGGAATGTCTAGTTGACAATATTTCCTAACTTGATTTTATGCACAGTTGGTATCATTTTGCTAAAGGATCGTCAGATGCTATGCTAGTCTATAGCTAAAAAATAGTTGGGCTAAAACTTTAAACCCATCTTGTTTACTCCATTAACTACACAAATATTAATTTACTTCTCACCTCTATTTAAGATTTAAAAAATGGGGCCTTGACTGTAGCTCAGTGGTAGAGCATTTGCTTAGCTTGTATACAATCTCCCTTCCCTTCCCTAACAGTAAATCTCCTTTGTACAGAAGTGATTAATTTTTTTTAACTAATAGAGATCAGCAAGTGATGACAGTGGAAGATCCGGTCCAAGAAGGGAAGAAAGTTCTGAAACTCAAAACCGAAATGGTAAGATATGTGTCTAGCATGCAGACATTTCCTACACTCTTTATGAAGAAACGAGTTATGGAATATTAACTTCTCTTAACCTTTGTAGGCTGATAAAGAAAATATTGACAACACAGTTGAAAAGAACTGCATTCCCTTAAAAGCTGATGAAGTCACCAGTTCAGAAATACACAACTTGAAGGATAATATTCAAGCTGTCCAAGACCAGGCGTGTCACCTTAAAGACAATAAAAAGGTGCAAGCAGCTACAGAGAAGCCCAAACAGGACGCTAACATGCTGAAAAAGCGAGTGCTTGGCTATTACCACGGTCAGGTTGTGCAGTCTAAGATTAACTCGTTTAGAAAGCTCGCGAATGTCAAAGGAGAGACTCCAGCAGCCACCAAAAAACCTCCCGCTACCATGTCGAAGGCCTCAAAGGCTCAGTCTGCGCCTGGAAACGCCGTCAGCATAAGAGCCTCAAGTGTGAGTGCTGCCGCCACGTTTGTAAAAACCAAGTCTGTGAGCTCTCCGTCGAGGAACACCCTTGTGCGACCACCTGTTAGAAGCAGCCTCCACAGTAACGCCCAGGGCGCTGGGAAACAGGGCCCCGCCAGGACCCTTGCCAATGTTACAGTCAGAAAGGGGCCTCTTGAAAAAGACTCACGGCAATCAGAACGGGTTGTATCTGTTGTCGATACCCGTCCTCAGGACACAAAAAGAGATGAGGCACCGTCAAGAAGCATAGCATCTGAAGGTGTAGCCAGGACTAATTTGTCTAATACCAGACTGATGGAAAAGTCCAAAGCTATCGACCAGCGCAGGTACTCAGTAGCAGGAGCAGCTGTCCATAGGTCAGTTCAGCCCAGAGAAAGCACAGAAGACAGAAAGTAAGTAGATGAAATTCACTTTGTCTTCTCTGTTTTCAATAGAATACCACTTGTGAATTTGGCTTGTAATTAATTTCCTTGAATGTATGGGAATTTCTTTAATTGATTATTTTCTGCCACACAGGCAGCTTTATGTATGGAGTAATAAGTCCAAAAAATTGTGTGCTTAAGTGTAGTTTGCTGGTTGCTTTTTGATCTCAGCTCATTGCTAATAACAGCTGAGAGATACCAATATATTCTTCAGTTCTTTATTTTAGAATGTTTGTTTGTTTGTTTATTTATTTATTTATTATTATTCTCTCACACATTACATCCTGACAGCAGTTTCCCCTCCCTCCACTCCTCCCAATTCCTCTCCCCACCTTCACGCTCCTCCAGACCCATTCCTCCTCCATTTCCCTCCAGAAAAGAGAGGCCTCCTAGGGATGTGTATGGGAGGTCATTGAATCCCCTGGAACTGGAGTTCCAGGTGGTTGTTTGCCTCCTGCTGTTGGTGTGAGGAACCAAACCTGGGTCCCCTGCAAGAGCAGTAAGCACTCTTAACCTCTCAGCCAGCTCCCAGCTCCCATTCTTGGATTCTGTGAACATATATTTGATCTTGTTATGTTCAGGAGTTCACCTCTGCAAACATTGTATGTCCCACCAGTTTAGAACTATGTGTAGACTTAAAAGTTTTTTTTGTTTGTGTATGGGTGTTTTGCATACATGTGTGTCTGTGCACCATGTGTGTTCCTCGTGCCCATAGAGACCAGAAGAATGTGTCAGAGCCCTTGGAACTAGAGTTACAAATGGTGTGAACCGCCATGGGTGCTGGGAATCACACCACGGCTCTCTGGAAGAGCAGCAGGTGCTGGTGAGCCTTCTCTCCATCCAGCCCCAGATTTAAACTATATTTACCTACTCCAGTTAGCAGGATGCCATCACTAAAATCAAAGTAACGTTTATATCCTGCTTCTGCTCGTAGAGCTCGGATGACTGAGTGGAGAACTGGCAAAGGGAAAGGGCTAAAAAGGCCTCCTAACTTAATAGCTCATCAGTCTGAGCCACAAGGACAGAACAAAAACCCAACTGGGTCCTTTTGGACTACCATGGCAGAAGAAGATGAACAGAGAGTATTTACTGAGAAAGTAAACAAAACAATTTTGGAATGCCTGAACCTGATTAATAAGAAGGTAGAGTCCATTTTTTTTTAAAGTATGAATGACTGTTTTACCTGTGTGAGTGAATGTCCGTGTGTGCATGGTGCCTGCAGAGGCTAGAAGAGGGTGTCAGATGCCCTGGAACCGGAGTTACAGATAACTGTGAGCCACCATGTGGGTCCTGGGAACTGAACCCAGGTCCCCGGCAGAGCAGCCAGTGCTCTCAACCTCAGCACCATCTCTCCAGCCTTCTAAGGTAGGGTCTTCATTTTTGTGCATTTTATAAGTCAGGATTTTTAAAAAAAATTCGTTTATTATTATTAATGTTTATGTACTTAAATGAGTTTATGTGTATCACATGTAAGCAGGTGCCAACGGAGGCTAGAAAGTGCTGGATCCCTTGAATCTGGAGGCTCTAGTCAGTTGTGAGCTGCCCAACGCGGGTGCTAGGAACCAGCTCAGGTTCTCCCGTGGAGCATCATCAAGTGCTCTTGGCCGCTGTGCTGTGTGTCCAGCTCCCGCTTTTTATATTGTCAACTTTTTATATTGCTCACTGCTCTTGATTATAGTCAGATTATCAGTGGTTTATAGTTTGTAGCTCACATATTTTATTTCTTGGTATTTTAGGGATGTCCAAAAGAAGAAATTTTAGACACATTGAATGACCTGATTAGTAATATTCCAGATGCCAAAAAACTTGTTAAATATTGGATATGTCTTGTACGTTTGGAGCCAATCACAAGTCCTATTGAAAATATTATCTCAATCTATGAGAAGGCCATTCTGGCAGGGGCTCAGGTAAGGTCAGATTTTTACTGCTCTTCGGTTTCACAGTGTAACAATTCAGAGTTATTTTGGAGCACATCATAGTGTAACTTGATAAGATTGTGATTTCATATGTAGTAGTGAATATTTAAAGACCAAAAGAGGACCTGGAAATATGGGTCAGTGGTAGAGGTCGGAGACAGGGTTCAGTGTGCAGCAGCAGGAGCGGTGCCGGCTGCAAGGATTACTTTATGCATGATTTCAACCTTGTAAGACTTCATTTGTGTACCAGGGGTTATAAGACTTTAGAAAATAGATATAAGCTGAACTAAAAGCTTAATGAACCAGAGTATTTTAGCACTAAATATCCTCCTGTGCATTTCCCATGATGAACCGGGAGACATTCCGTAGTCATGGCGCTGGCAACAGTGATGTGCTACAGGCAGAAATTGTAGAGGTCAGAGGGGGCACTGGTGCAGAACTGGGAAACCAGGATCAAAACTGGGCGCGAAATTGAAAACAGAACTGATTATTCTAGAACTGAGTTCTGAAACTAGGACTAGGGGCCAGGGCTTCCTTTTACAGTCTTGGGAAGAGCTGCTGCTGCCCGGCAGAGAGTTAAATTTGAACATGTGAAATACGCTGAGTTGACCAACTTAAGGTACTCAGAGACCAGGTACAGGCAGGACCCCACTGGCTTTGAGGGTTTTTAGACGGTACTGAGTAGAACGGTAACTAGCCATTGTTCATCGACTGTGTTCTGTCAAGCAAGCATTATTAGTTAGCAAAGGCCTACAAATTGGGGATTTTTTTCTTTTAATGATAAAATTCTGTCCTTTAAGTTCATTTTTCTTACTCTATTAAGTTGAAAAAAAAAATAACCATTTTCAATCTTAACAACAAATGTTTATTTTAAAATTGGAAAAATTTTCACTGTGTCTAATATGTTCTGTTTATATAACCTTATTTTTGACCATGTAAACTTACTTCTTTTTAAAAACATTTTTAAATTTAAGCCTATTGAAGAGATGCGCCAAACAATCATAGATATTCTAACAACGAAGAGTCAAGAAAAAGTTAATTTGGGTAAGTTTTCCTTCACGTGAATTGTAACTTTGCTAAAATCTACTGATTTGGTTTTCCTTTTATCTTACTTAGCTTTTCTAAAGTGAGGTCTTCTCCATGTTCTCCCACAGACCTACTTTTGAAATTCGGTAGATCTCTTTAGGGCTGGTGACACTGCGACCTAATCACCAATACAACTGCCTTTTTTTTCCTTTTTTAAAACTGAGGCTGTTTGATGAGATAATCTCTAAAGACCTGTTACCCTGTTAAGTTCTATGATCTGTTCTGTATACTAGAAAGTTTGTATATTTATAAAGTTTCAAAGTTGTAAAGGAAATTAATACACATATTCAGAAAGGAAAGCAAACTTACTCAGAACACTGTTCCGAGGCACAGTAGTCAGTGCCTGTATTCCCAGTGTGAGCGGAGGCTGAGACTGGAGGATTACATGTTTGAAGCTTGATTATATAGACTCAAACAGCAACAGCATTAATTTAACGTTCAGAACTCATAAGTCAAGAGCAAAGCTTGAAATAAAGGCAGTGATCTTACTGAACTCTTAGATTTAGTTGTCATAATGTCTGTTAGTTCACAAATGTGAGTGCTCTTGCGTTGGGGCGTAGATGTTCAAAATTGAGACATCATCTTGGATTTTTCCTTTGATAAGTATGAAATGTCCTTCTCCATCTGTTTTGATTAATTTTGGTTTGAAGTCTATTTTGTTAGATATTAGCATAGCTACACCAACTTGCTTCTTAGGTCTGTTTGATTGGAAAATCTTTTTCCAACCCTTTCCTCTGAGGTAATGCCTGTCTTTGTTGCTGAGGTGTTTCTTGTGTGCAGCAGGATGGATCCTGTTTCTGTATCCATTCTGGTAGCTTGTGTCTTTTTATTGGTCAGTTGAGTCCATTGATATTGAGAGATATTAATGGCCACTGATCCTGTTATTATGTTGTTGTTGATGGTGGTGGTTTTGTGTGTGTGTGTGTGTGTGTGTGTGTGTGTGTCCCTTATTTGGATTTTGTTGGTGTGAGATTATTGCCTGTGTTTTCCTGGGTGTGTTTCCTTGGTTTGGAGTTTTCCTTCTAGTACCTTCTGTAGGGCTAGATTTGTAGATAGATATATTTAAATTTGACTTTGCCATGAAATATCTTATTTTCTCCATCTATGGTGATTGAAAGTTTTGGGAATAGCAGTCTGGGCTGGCATCTGTAGTCTGCCCAAACTACCTGGCCAGTGACCCCCTGACCCAGCTTCTGGACACTAGCAAATCACTTTTCCTTCCTTCCTTCCTTCCTTTTCTATTCTATCATCTCTTATATTCTTTTGATAGTTCCTATTTTCTTACCTAGATTTTCCACTTCTAGAATTCCCTCAGTTTGTGATCTTTATTGCTTCTATTTTGATTTTCAGGTCTTGAATAGTTTCCTTCCCTGCTTTTTTTTTTTTTTTTTGTATTCTTTAAGGGATTTATTGATTTCCTCCTATTCTTTGGTTGTCTTTTCCTCAAATTTTTAAAGGGACTTTTTCATTTCCTCTTCAAAGACCTCTATCATCAAATTGTTTCTAAGGTCCTTTTTTGTGTTTTAAGAATAGTCAGGTCTTATCACACGCCTTTAATCCCAGCACTCAGGAGGCAGAGGCTGGCGGATCTCTGTGAGTTCAAGGCCAGCCAGGGCTGTTACACAAAAAGGACCTGTCTTGCTGTCATGGGATAGGTGGGCTCTGGTAGTGACACACTGCCATGGCTGTTGCTGATTGCATTCTTACACTGGAGTCGAGGAATCTGGTTTTGAGATGATTATAAGGCTAGATCTGATTTCTGAGTTTGTCTCTGTTGGATGGTGCTTCACTCCTTGCTTTCTGTTTTTTCTTTGGTCTTCTAGTCTTTTATTTTTTACAGATTCTTAATTTATTTATTTATTTATTTTTTGGTTTTTCGAGACAGGGTTTCTCTGTGGTTTTGGAGCCTGTCCTGGAACTAGCTCTTGTAGACCAGGCTGGTCTCGAACTCACAGAGATCCACCTGCCTCTGCCTCCCAAGTGCTGGGATTAAAGGCGTGCGCCACCACCGCCCGGAGGTCTTCTAGTCTTTGTGGCCTGGATTTCTGGTGGCTGGCATGACCTCTGATCTAGTAGGGAGTCTCTGTCCTTTGGTGCAGCAGTGGGTCTTTGTTCTTCTGATTAGTAGTATGGCCTCTCTTTCTGACTGCTGTGGTCTCCACCTGAGCTGCTGAAGTCTCCTCCGGTTGGTGTGGTCTGTTCTTCCAGCTGGAGTGGGCTATACCTGGACAGATGAAGTGCGCTAGAGTTGGGAGGGTTAACCTGCTTTCTTGTATTTTCCAGGAGCACTCATGGGTGGCACCACTCCCTATGGGATGGGCCCAACCACATCAGTCATTAATAAGAAAATTCCCACAGGCTTGTCCACAGACCAGTCTTGGGTGGGCATTTTCTCAACTCAAATTCCCTCTTCCCAAATGACTCTAGCCTGTGTCAAGTAGACATAAAAGCAGCTAGTCCATTCCTTTTTATAGGTGACAACAACCCTTTGTTCTTACTTCACGTATAAAGTTTTATCTAATTTACTAGTTAATTCTTCTTCAACTGTGCCGTGCATGACCCATAATCTTAAGAAATGGAATGGTTTCATTCTTGAATTTGTATTTCACAAAGGATATTAAATACTTGTTAAGCCCTCGGCAGCAGTCTACATAGGAAAAGTCATGACTGGGAGATGCAGTTTGGTTCTGTTATTTTGAAATTTCAAGTTTAAATCTTCAAATTTTTCTATAGGAGAAAATACTGAGGAGGCTCATGAAACCAAGGGACATAGCCAGGAAGTAAAAACTGAAGACACAAGTGTCACTCTAGAGCCAGGAGATCCAGGAGCGGAAAATGAGTGTCAGAGGAACGTTCAAGTATGTGAAAACAGTCAAGACCAAGAAGCAAAGGATCCAACCAACGATTTTACAACCCCTGATTCAAAAACTGAAGCAGGCTGCCTAATTAAATATAATGTATCTTCTACACCATGCTTGCAAAGGTAAAGGTTTAAAAGGTAGTGTGATTTGTTTTCATAAAGAATGTTAATGCCAAGCAAGGGTCAGATCCAGAGCCCTGATGTGGTGGCTCACGTGTGCAGTCACAGAACTGGGGAGACTGCGGCAGTTAGGTCGCTGTGGATTGAAGTCCAGCCTAGACTACCCTGTTTCAGACAAAACACAACAAGAAAGGAAATTATCAAAGAAGTAGAAGGTCATTGGGACAATTCACCTTTTGGTTACTCTACTGGCTTTGCTTTTTCCTACGTGATGCCACTTTGCAAAAGCCTGCGCTGGTTTTCCACCGCAGGCCATCTGTCCCACCCTCACCTTTCCCCAGACATTTGTTTTAAGGATTTATTTTTATGAATATGGGTGTTTGGCCTGTATATGTATGTATCTTGCACCACATGCATGTAATACCCACAGAAGCCAGAAGAGGGCGGTGGATTCATTCCCCTGGGACTAGAGTCACTAGACAGTTGTAAGCTGCCTGTCTTGTGATGCTGGGATTTGAACCTGTGCCCTTCCCACCAAGCATTTTCAAAAGGAAGACTTTTTTGGGTTTACATTTATCACTGTATTATTAATGACTGTTGGGCTTTTTTACAGCTACTCAAGTGTCCTTATGATGCAGATTGTTCACTTCTGGGAACCTGCATCACCTCTCCCTTTCTATAAGACAGTCTGTCACATGGCTGCCACATAGGAGTACACTACAAGAAAAAGTGTAAGATAAACACTTGAACACGTTTTTGAATTTGTGAAATAATTTTGTTTTTCAGTATGAAAAAGATGCAACATGGTAAAAATTCCACATTTAAAGAGCTAAAGTTTCTCACACCGGTGAGACGTTCACGCCGCATTCAGGAGAAGACTTCACAATTGCCGGACATGTTAAAAGACCACGACCCTTCTGTGTCCTCCCTGGAACAGCTGTCTGATTTGGGGGAGGATGCTTTCGTTTGCCGCCCTAACGCAGCGCTGTACCCTCTGTTCTCTGAGACTGACCTAGCAGGGCAGAAACAGTGCTCCTGAGCCAGGAGGGTTGTGTTATTCCTGTGGTGGTTCTCGTATGCAGGTCTGAAGCTGCCCATATGCCCACGTACAATACAGTGAACTTCCTAAGCTTGTTTATTGTTTTCAAAATAGGTTAGCTTCTTCACTTCACTAATTACTTACAGTAATGAAACATAACCAGAAAATGGACTTTATTTAAATTTATATTTTACATTGACTTTTTATCTAATATGTTTATAATAAATATCTGTATAATGTTCTAATGACATTTATTGATTGACTTAGTTAATGCTGGAACTGACTTTAGGATCCTACTATGGGGTTACAGTCTGCTGCAATATGCATTTATTTCTTTTTTTTTGTTGTTGTTGTTTTTTTTTTTTTTTTTTTCGAGACAGGGTTTCTCTGTGGTTTTGGTTCCTGTCCTGGAACTAGCTCTTGTAGACCAGGCTGGTCTCGAACTCACAGAGATCCGCCTGCCTCTGCCTCCCAAGTGCTGGGATTAAAGGCGTGCGCCACCACCGCCCGGCAATATGCATTTATTTCAACAACTACATTTATGTGGGTTCAGAGTGTGGTCCCAATTGAGCACTGCCCTAACAAGGCAAGGTCGTGGATCCAATCCCTAGCACTGCAGGAACAAATTCTTTGGCCACAGTAACCGGATTTAAACTTTGCCTTTGAAATACACTGCTAAATTTGCATTTGCATTTGCATTACTTACTCTGTGTGTGTGTGTGTGTGTGTGTGTGAGAGAGAGAGAGAGAGAGAGAGAGAGAGAGAGAGAGAGAAATGAAATGCCTGACAGAAACAAAGGAGAGTTTATTCTGACTGTTTTGGAGTGCAGTCCACCAGGCCGAGGAAGGCACGGTAGAGGAACGAGCCTGTCCGCTGCAGAGGGTAGAGGGTACTGCTTACACCGTGGTCGGTAAAGTGGTGGGTAAACCGAGGGCAGGTGTGACCTTCACAGGCTCTCTAGTTACCTGCTCACCAGCCTTCCAGACAGTGCCTGAGGCTGGGGATCAGGCATTCTAAATGAGCTTACTAGGGATAATTCAGATTCAGAAATGGGTGATGCCTGGGGACCAAAGCTTCACGTGCTAGGCAGGTACTGTGGATAAGCCACGTGCTCAGCCCCTGTTCTTGACCTCTGATGTTAACCTCTGCATCTAGACCTGGGTCTCCCCCACAGCCAGTTCACACCACTCCCACCTTTCACAGGGCAGTTTGTTTTTTTTGAGATTTATTTTTATGTGCATGAATGTTTTGCCTGCTATATCTCTGTGTACCACACGAGTGCAGAAGCCAGAAGAAGGCGTGGGCCCTCCTGAGACGGGAGTAACAGGTTGTGAGCTGCCATGTGGGACCTGGGGATTGAATCTGGGTCTGTCCTTCTCTTTGGGCATTTTCAAAATCAAGACATTTTGGTTGTCAAGGTAGTGGTTCACACATTTAACCCCAGCATAGGTGGCAGATCTGTGGTCTCCAGGCCAGTCTGGTCTTCACAGTGAAACCCTATTTCAGAAAGTAAAAAGACGGGGAGATGGGGTTGTGCATACTGATGTCAGCTTGGGTACAGGGGCCAGAGATACTGACCACAACTGACCACAGCCTCAGTGAAGAATAGAGTCCCAGATGTCAACAGTGCTGAAGCTCAGGAGCCCTGATCTGGATTCTGCTCCTCTCTCCTCGATGCTGTTTAAGGACTGGCCCGATAAAGTGGTGGATTCCGAGGTCATCGTTCCTCTTGACTCTTGGCTGTCGTGGCTTCTCTGGCTTCACTTACAGTTCTTTGGGCGTTCTCCCCATTGCGACCTTCCAGAGCAGCGTTAGAAACAATAGGTTGCCAGCATCCTAGTGGCTTTGAATTTGAAGAGTAAAAGAAGTAACTTGTGCCAGGCGGTGGTGGCTCATGCCACCTAGTACTCAGGAGGCAGAGACAGGCGGATCTCTGAGTTCGAGGCCAGTCTGGTCTATAGAACGAGTTCCAGGATAGGCTCTGAAAGCTACACAGAGAAACCCTGTCTCAGGGGGAAAAGTGTAATTTGTATAATATACTTAATATATCCAAAATATGGTAGCATGTAATCACTGTTAGAATTATTAGGAATAGTTTGACATATTGTGTGTTGTTGCTGTCTTTGAAGTCTTAACATGTACTCATACCAGTCACTTTTTTTTTTTTTTGGTTTTTTGAGACAGGGTTTCTCTGCGGCTTTGGAGCCTATCCTGGAACTAGCTCTGTAGACCAGGCTGGTCTCGAACTCACAGAGATCCGCCTGCCTCTGCCTCCCGAGTGCTGGGATTAAAGGCGTGCGCCACCAACGCCCGGCACCAGTCACTTTTCAAAGTACGCACACTGGGTCAGCAAGATGGTTTAAAGGGTAAATGTGCTCGCCAATTTTAGCAGCTTCACGTGGTGCCTCCACGTCCCGGGACAACCAGAATCTTAATGGCTTTTTACTATATAAGGGAAGAAATACACAGATTTCAGAGTGGAACCTGTTTTTCTTATTCTATTTTCACTTTTTCCAAGGTCATACAATAAGTGCTAGAAGCGTTGTTCCTGTGAAATTTGCGTTTGTGGGCCGTCCGCCTAATCTGGAGCAATAACTCAAATTACTGTTGGTACCACCCCAAAATGTTAGCACGACTCTACTGCAAGGTGGCGCAACAGCTTTAAAACTGTTCCTGCAGGGTCGGGCTACTGTGTGAACAGAGCTTGGGGCCGGAACTAAATCCCTATCCTCCGCTTCTTAACTGGAAACACGCCCCGCCCCCGCCCCACCAAGCCCCGCCCTCGGTGCCGCCCACACAGCCCCGCCCAATGCCGGTACCGGGGATGAAGCGACGCGCGCCGCTGGGAAGTGGGTGAGGAGCGCGGTTCGGTCCAGCAGCGGTGGAGAGGGGAGTGGCTGGGGCCTCTCGGCGGGGTCCTAAGCCACCGGTAGGCGCACGCCCGCTGCGGGGCGACGGGGAAACGTGCACACAGCGCTTCACCGCCGTAGATTGCGCGCCGGGGTCGCGGGTCTCGGAGCGCGCATGCGCGCCGGCGATCTGCTCTTGGCAGCGAGTGGTTCTTTTCAGAGGAAAGAATGGGTCTCCAGGATGTGTGCCTTGGGACTGCTGCCTAAACCGCCTGGCCAGTGACCCCCTGACCCTGCTTCTGGGCAACAGCCAATCACGTTAGCTTTCTCTTTTTTTTAAAATTTACTTTCTTTATTAAACGCTTATTTGGTTATAAACATGGGAAGGAACCAACCCACTTTTCGCCACACCCAGTGCATTTTCAGGCCTGCGTTTATGGCTGTAGTGTAGATATCAAGCACATAGAGATTAAAAGTACAAATGTGGTCTCAGCCAAGGAAAGTCGTTTTCAGTCTTATAGGTTAAAGTCCTCAAGCACCAGAAATAGAAAAACTGCAATTGAAACCAGAGGCCAGTTAAGCTCTGAAGGACTTGGTTATTTTTGTGTAGGTTTTTGGGCTCGGGTAGTGGTGTGAGGCAACAGCGTCCTCTTTTTTAGCCCGGGCTGGCCTGGAACTCGCCGTGTAGACTTGTTGAACTCCGACTTACCATCATTGGCTCCTAGGTATGACTGACCAACTTCTGCCTCCCGAGTGTCGTAGGCTTGTGATTTGTGCCTGAGTGTGTTCAACTACCTCACTTCTGGAAACAGAAGTTATATGGACGGAGGATTTATTGCTGTAATCTTCTGATAAGTCTGTGATAGAAAGCAACCTGGAAGACTTAGTGTATTTGTTGGGTTGGTTTTGAGATAGTGTCTCACCATGTACCCCTGGCTGGCCTGGAACCCTTGGTGAATATCTTCTACCCCAGCTACAGACCGGAAGTCCCGCCCCCACCCCCCGCGCGGAGTTTGATCTGTGGTGTACCACTTATTTGTGGTTTAAACAGATACAACAGTAAAATACCGTTTATCAATGTGGAACATCCAGTAAATTCATTCCAGCATTTTTCCTGTGATGAAAAAAAATATCACCTCTAAGTATAGTCCTCTCCCGTACCCCCTCACTGTCTAGTCCAGGGCATTTAACAGGTTAGGCTGTCACCAGTCTTCCCTAAGACTGTGCTTACACTCTTCATTGCTTGTGTAGTAATGTGCAGCAAATGTGTATTAAAATTCCTGTTGCTTTGTATGGAGACTTTGAAGTCAAACTGTTTAACTATCCCTTTGGAGTCCTAAGCGCCTCCAGCGTAGTAGGTCCAAAATGGCACAGGTCTTCCTCCTCTCTTCTGTTTCACCTTACCCCAGCCGCACTCCTGTGCTTTAAAAAAAAAAAAAATCAAAAAGGCTGTCCACGTGACTCCCAGGCCTTCCCTTTCCCTCTGAGAATTAGTATTACGTTATACAGTTCACACCAGAGCCCTCTCTCTTCCCTATTTGTTCCCCATGAATCTTACAGAAGATAGGCTAATTTTTTCTTTTTTCCTTCCTATTTTGCCATGGTCACCGCCCTGTTGGATTTCATCATTTTCTCACCTTTTCTACTGTCAGAGTCCCGTCTTTGAGTTGGCATGCTTGTGCCGTTTCCATCCAGTCCATGAACACTGTGACCCAAAAGAATGATTTTTCTGCTACGCAGATCTGACTGTGTCATTCTTTTTTTGTTTTTGTTTTTTGAAACAGGGTTTCTCCGTGTATCTGGGGCTGTCCTGGAACTCACTCTGTAGACCAGGCTGGCCTTGAACTCACAGAGGTCCGGTCCGCCTGCCTCTGCCTCGCGCGTGCTGGGACTAAAGGTGTGCGCCACCACTGCTGACTGTGTCGTTCTTTAAAACCATTCAGAGACAGACCATTAATTACCCTAAAGATAAAATTCATCGACAAAATTTGGCTTACAGTGGTTGACAGATAAATCTGCCCTACCAACCTGTTGTGGCCTCATTTCAACTGCTCAACTGAGTCTTTGTCTCCTACAACGCACGATTCCCTCTGCCCCGATCATTCAGTCTTCTCTCTGCCTAACACACTTCTAGTCGTCCTTCCATGCTTCCTCCCGTGGTCGTTCTGTGCGAGCTGGCAGAGCTCTTTCCATAGCTCGCCTCCTGCATTTGCTTAGGATGATAGTGGGTGGCCGTGACGGCAGGGATAACCCAGAGGAAGGAGAAACATTCTCTCTGTCTTCTTAGGGACTCATCAAATTAAACTGACAAGAAACGGATTACGGGTCTAAGAGGAGTTTTAGTCCATGTATATAAATACAAAGTGTTGGACCTAGGGGCTCATATGAACAAAGAGTGTTAAGTTGTGGGAAGATAATTAGACAAAGGAAAGGAGATTTGGGGGACCCAGCATTATTTGCCCGAGGTGCTTTCCTAGTAATGGAGAGGGAGCAGCATTCACTAATGGAATCAGTTGCCTTTGCAGAGGCAAAGAGTCAGTTCCTTTCAGTTCAGAACTCACTGTGTGCCGGAGCAGCATCCACTCACATCCACCCACAGAAGTTGCTCTTGGCCTGTCATAGTGATGATAGCTACTTTGAGTCAATATTGCGTTTTAAAAGTAAATTGATTCTGTTTTTCTGTTTTGTGTTGCTTTTAAGAAAAGTGTTTTAGGCCGGGCGTTGGTGGCGCATGCCTTTAATCCCAGTACTTGGGAAGCAGAGGCAGGTGAATCTCAGTGAGTTCGAGGCCAACCTGATCTACAAGAACTAGTTCTAGGACAGGCTCCAAAGCTACAGAGAAACCCAGTCTAAAAAAAAAAAAAAAAAAAAAAAAAAAACAAAGAAGAAGAAGAGGAGGAGAAGAAGTGTTTTAGCAACTACCCCTCTTTCTAGTACATTTTAAATGCACAATAAAGTCGCCTTATTTTGAGGTGGTCTTAAGGATAAGAAATGAACAGAATCCGACCTGTTGAAACAGGTGAACTACCGCAGTTATGGGTACAGTTAAGAAATTGTATAGCTCTTACAAGACCACAATGTAATTTTATTTTGTATATTTTAAATTGCAAAGATAAATGATAATTTAAAAATTAAAAGAAAATATACCATAATAAAAACATACATTTCACAATTAAATGTACTGGATACATAAAAATTTTAGGGGAATAAGCAAAAAAAGGGGGGGGGATGGTTGATATTAAGTAAACTGATGGCCTAGACAAAAAAAAAAAAAAAACCTTTAAAAATATAGCAAAAACCCTCTCGTTCCTGTGACTAACATCTAAAAGATTGGAGTGTCATCGCTGTGGAAGTGTTTGTGTATGTTGTACTTTATTGGTAATTTACATAATGATGGCTTATAAGACCCTGCCAGACATGTTTTCTGGAAACAAGATTGGATTTAAAAAAAAAAATCACTGCTAAAACACAATCTATATTTTTGTTATTTTTTTTTCATTCTTCAAACTTGAGGAAAGGGGATTATTCACCAGAACATTACCTTACTACCCAAACGCCTCAACCTACACATTTTAAACTTTTTTAAAAAATCACTATTGCTGCCTAGCTTCATTACTGAGAGAATATTGAGAAGACATTATTTTGGCAAATTAGATCTTAGACATGGCTTTTCAGCAGTATTTAAAGGATATTCCTAAATGATTCTGTTTTTTAAATGTAGTTTGGGAGCGGCTGCGGTGAAGGCGGGAGTGGGACCCTACTGCCGATGCCCAGCATGGACGATTACACGGTCCTGAGCGTGATCGGCCAAGGCTCCTTCGGCCGGGCTCTTCTGGTTCGGCAGGAAAGCAGCAATCAGAAGTTTGCCATGAAGGAAGTAAGACTTCCCAAGGTAACTGCTAACAGAATCAGCTCACGGTGAAAGTGAGCATACGACTTATATCGAGAAAGTTCTTGGGGTTTAACGAGTCATTTATCCTTTCCGCAGACATGTAATGGGCTTATTCGTGAGCTTTACAGAGGCTTGATGTATTTATTCTATGTGGTTGTTTGTGGCTAGGAAGATTAACAGAGAAGCAGTCAGAATGTTCCGATTGATCTCAGTGATCACAGTTTCCAGTTTTGTATGCCAGCAATGTGGAAAATCCGCCAAACCTAGTCAGGTGCAGTGTGGACGGCCAAAGAGCATAGAGGGCCGTGAGGACCAGGTTAAAATGCAAAGCTTCAGTTGGTTACTAGGAAACCTACTCGGGGGACATATTTGTTCTCCCCACCCCCCATGGATTGCTTGTTAATGTGTATCATAATTGTCCTGTGTAAAAATTCATACTATGAGCATTAGTAATTTTTTGATCATTTTTTATAGAAATATATTTTAATGAAATTCTCAGAGTGCTAGGCATTTTCCCCAATGCATCACTTTTAAAACATATTTGTATTAATTCTTGGTTTTGGTGGTGGTGTTGGTGGTGGCGATAATCAATCCCTGGGCCTTGAGCACTGCTGGGGAAGGGCTCTACCACTAAGCCACATCACCAGGTCAAGTGTATGTGAAAATTATTTTGCATTGTGTATGTGAAGGAAAAAAAAACATATGTTCCAATAGAGCCCAAGCTTGGTCAGCCCAAGCATACAAAATAGCCATAATAAAAAATCACTGCATATTTTGTTTCAGACTTTGAAAGCTTGAGCCAAAGTAGATATACAAACCTGCATGGAGCATTGAAGTCTCGTATAAAACTATACAAAACATTAGTGTGAGGCTATTTTAAAACTGAGCATTGATTTTATAATTTAAAGTTTTTTTTTCCAGTCTTTCTCTGACACACAGAAGTCTAGGAAAGAGGCTGTTCTGCTAGCTAAAATGAAGCACCCCAATATTGTTGCCTTTCAAGAGTCATTTGAAGGTAAATATGAATTCTCCCAGATATGCTCGTACCTGGATTTAATTTTTAACAACTGTGACTTTCCTGAGGAGTCTCCTGTGTGTTTTAGCTGAAGGGCATCTGTATATTGTGATGGAGTATTGTGATGGAGGGGACCTAATGCAGAAGATTAAACAGCAGAAAGGAAAGTTGCTCCCTGAAGATACGGTAAGAAACTGACTTACCTAGAACTCAAGCAGGGCAGGAACCTGGAGGCAGGAGCTGATGCAGAGGCCATGGAGGGTGCAGCTTACATGGCTTGCTCCCCATGGCTTGCTCAGCCTGCTTTTTATAGAACCCAGGACCACCTACCCACAATGGGATGAGCTCTCCCCTGTCAATCACTAATTAAGAAAATGCTCTACAGGCCTGCCTTCAGCCCAGTCTTAGGGAAGCATTTCCTTAATTGGAGTTCCAAAGTTACACAGTTAGAATCTAATAAATAAAAAATAAATAAAATTGAATAAGTAATACTTAGAGATGGACGTGTAGCTCAGTGGTGGAGCATTTGCCCGGTATTTGCAAAGTCCTGGGTTCCATCCGCAGTGCTGAATAAACCAGGCTTGGTGATGCATGCCTGTAATCCCAGTATTTGGGAGGCAGAGGCAAAAGGCTCAGAAGTTCAAAGACATCCTTGGCAATGTAGCAAGTTTGAGGTCAGTCTGGGATACAGACTATCTCTTCCTTACCTCCCAAAAGACACAAAAAAGGAACTTATATTCAGTTGAAAAGGAGAAGAAAAATGTGGTGGACATTTCATTAAAATACTTACCTGGATCATACGTAAGATGGCAAAACATGGGAATCATGCTTCTGAATTTCCTCAGATAATACTGAATTGTAGTTGAACTGTGTAGTTTTTATGCGTGTGTAATTCTCTTTTGATATCTTAGTAAATTAAGGCCTAGAAGTGATTCCTCAGAATTTGAGTTGACATCAGCTAGTTATTACATTTTTACAGGTGTTGCATACTATTTTCTTTTAAAATATTTTTATTCATTCTTTTAGACTTTTATACAATATATATTAATCATATTTACCTCCAATTCTTCACCATAGATTCTATGTATACTTTTTTCTCCCAGATACTTAACTGGTTCGTACAAATTTGTCTTGGAGTAAATCACATTCACAAGAAACGTGTGTTACACCGAGATATCAAGTCCAAAGTGAGTATAAGGTGTTGATGATGGAAGTTACAAAATAATCCCACACTAGTTGAGAATTACATATAATAAAGGGTTATTTATTTAAGGGAGACTCACAGATCACTGTCCTAGATCACAGTCCTCTGCACAAACAGTGAACAGGAACCGAGTCTAGCAGCTGGAGGCAAGAGCCAGAAGCAAGAAAGAAAGGACATGCTTTACAGCTGCATTTTAGTATAAGAGAGACCATGCCCAAGTGGGCTGGTGTCTTAAAGGCTATTGGCCAAAGGAGCTTCAAAAGCAAGGTGTTTGGGGGTCTGGGGAATAAAGAAAATGATTTTGTTGTCTTTTTTTTTTTCTATTACTATTTCTTTTTGGGACATTGTATTTAGTTTAGAAAATTTTGCCAATATAATACTTTTTAATATTGACTCTTTTAATGAAAAAAAATTTAGCTGGGTGTGGTGATACATGCCTTTAATCCCAGCACTTGGGAGGTAGAGGCAGGCGGATCTCTGAGTTTGAAGCCAGTCTGGTCTATAGAGTGAGTTCCAAGACAATCAGGGCTACACAGAGAAACCCTGTCTCAAAAGACAAAAGGAAACAAAGAATACCCTCACCTTATTGAGGTAAAATTGACAAAATTTTATATATTTATAGTATACAATATGGTATTTTAATATACATACAAGTATGCAATTGTAACATGATTAAGTCATGCTAATTGATGTGTCTGTGATCTTATTTAATGTATTAGATTTACTTTTATTAAGTGTGTGGGTGGGTGGGTGTGGGTGGGTGTGGGTGGGTGGGTGGGTGTGGGTACTATGCATGAGAGAGTATAGATGGCCAAGAAGCCCTGGGCTTCAGATTTCCTGGAGCTGTAGTTACAGATAGTTGTGGACCTCCTGTTGTTTCCTGGGAACCAGATCTAGGTCCTCTGGAAGAGCAACAAGTGCTCTTAACCACTAAGCCATCCCTCCAGACCCTCCCCTTCTCAACATTTAAAACCTACACTTCAACCAGCCATGGTAATAACTGCCTGTGATCCCAGCCCCTGGGAGGGTGAGGCAGGAGGATTTCTAGTTTGAGGTCAGCACAGACCACTTGAGTCAGATCCCTATCACAGAAAAATAAATAAATAAAATCTACTCTTTTAGTAATTCTCAAGAATATTATATATTGTCAGGCAGTTCTGGCAAAGCCTTTAATCCCAGCACTCAGGAGGCAAAGGTAGGCAGATTTCTGTGAGTTCGAGGCCTGTCTGATCTACAGAGTGAGTTCCAGTAGATTTTAGGACTTTCTTGTCCTACGTAAAACTTTACGCTCTTTGATCTAGAATTTATACCAACCAAATAAAATAGCATATGTAAAAAGGGGTTAAACCTCTTTTGACATCTAGGTGAATGTGAGCCTTTTAATGCCCACCGAATAAATGCATGTGTTCTCAGATAGGAAGTGGTCAGCACTTGTCCCAGCCACTGAGTTACCAACAAAGGCTCCCACCGATTGGATCTGATGCTACCTGACATTTGCTTGTTAGATTTCAAAGCATGCATCCTGAATCCCCAGGCAGAGGAGTGTGCAGCTGTTTTAAGAGGGGGGTCTTGCTATTTCTTTTGTTTTCTCTGGGACCCAGCTGTCAGTATTTCTACCCTTATCCCCACCATCAGCGGGCTTTGAAAGCTGCCCTGGAGACCGCGGCCTTATGCTGGGATGATCAGGGCATCTATATTCTTCTTTTTCAATGTAGAATGTCTTCCTCACCCAAAATGGAAAAGTGAAACTGGGAGATTTTGGCTCCGCCCGTCTTCTCTCCAGGTATGTACCTGTCCACGTGAGAGAGAGCAGAACAGCCATTTTCAGAAGAGCTTTGGAGTCACTTTGCCTTTCTGTGGTTTCAGTCCCATGGCCTTTGCATGTACGTACGTGGGAACGCCTTATTATGTGCCTCCAGAAATTTGGGAAAACCTGCCCTATAACAATAAAAGGTGGGTAGTGTCCTTATTTGGATAGTGTTGGGCATTTGGCGGGAAGGGCTCCAGCCTGCAAACTGATGCTGGAATCTGGTGCAGATGCACAGAGCTTATTTGCTTAGAGATTTTATTTGAGTTATCTCGTGTGAGTGTCTATGTGAGTGTGTACACACGTGCCACGGGCTGTGTAGAGAGGTCAGAGGACACTCTTTTGGAAATTGGTTCTCCTGCCTTGTTGAAGGAGGGGGGCTACCTCTTTGGTCATCTCTGCCGCTGCACTGCATCCCCTGGGCCAGCTGACCCATGAGCTCCTAGTCGGTGCTACCATCTCACTTTCCATCTTGAGGCTGGAGTGCCGAGATCACAGATGTGTGCACCTGACTTTCTTACGTGCATTCTGAAGGTCAAAATCAGTTGGCCAGTCTTGTGGGGCAAGTGTTTGACCAGCTGAGCCACCTTCCCCACTCTGCTTTCTAAAGATCAGCTTGGGGCCTTGGTGTATGCAGTTCATGAGTAGAATAATTTTGCCTAGCACGTGTCTTGGATTTGATTACCAACACCACAGAAGTAAAATGTCATAAAAAAATAGATCTTAAAGTCACATGGAATCTGTATTCTCAGGAATCCAGAGGAAAGTCCTGGTTTTCCAACCATTGTCATCACAGCTGTGAGGGCCTAGTTGACAAAAGAAGGTTCAGCAGTCAGTAAGGGTGGTCTGAGTTAGGTGCCTGGTTCCAGACTTGTTGTTTATGCTTTTAAGAGTCCCTGTATCCATCCATCAAATGAGAGCACTGGGGATGGGAAACAGACAGTCAAATCCCCTGTGTCCATCCATCAGATGAGAGCACAGGGATGGGAAGCAGACAGCAAATCTCCTGTATCCTTCCATCAGATGAGAGCACCGGGGATGGGAAGACAGTCAAATCCCCTGCATCTGTCCATCAAATGAGAACACTGGGAAGCAGATGGCAATCATTTTTAAGATCCATGGGAAGTTCTGATATAGCCACACTTGGAAACCACTAGGTTGTAGCAAATCATCATAAGTGCTGCATCAGCATTGGGTTGATGATGATTGAAGAGCTTATGTTTTGCAGTGTGATTTTTTTTTTTTTGGATTTTTCGAGACAGGGTTTCTCCGTAGCTTTTGGTTCCTGTCCTGGAACTAGCTCTTGTAGACCAGGCTGGCCTCGAACTCACAGAGATCCGCCTGCCTCTGCCTCCCGAGTGCTGGGATTAAAGGCGTGCGCCACCAACGCCCGGCTTTTGCAGTGTGATTTTTAAAAATATATAAGCGATATATATATATATATATATATATATATATATATATCTCCATTGTTCCCATGATGGGTGAGCAGGCATGAGTAGAAATAGAGGCAGAGGAAGGATGTGGAGGGCTGGGGATTGAACTCAGAAGTAGACTAGTTGCCTAGTATGCATTGCCCTGGGTTCTATCCCCAGCACTGGAAACTAAAAGAAAATAGTAACAATAAAGAAAGAAGGAAAGAGAATGAGAGAAATCACATTTTAATTATTCTTTGTATTTATTTAAGATTTTTATTTAAAAATATTTTAAAAAAATTTTATTTGATATGTATGGATGTTTTGCCTGCATGTTTGTATACCACATGTGAGCCTGGTACACACAGAGACCAGAAGAGAAGATCTCGTGGAACTGGAGTTAGAGGCCATTGTGATGCACTGTGAACCTGGGTCATCTATAATATGAGCAACAAGTGCTCTTAGCCACCGAGACATTTTTCAGACTGTTGTATTGGGATTTACCAGTTGATAGATTCCATATACAGTTTGGTATTCTGCCTTTTCCTTTGTTCCATATTTATTTTCCCATAGGGATGCATGTTTCCTTGTATGTGTACGTATGCATGTGTGTGTCGGTGCAGGTACATGTCTCTGTGTAGGACAAGCTTGGGCATCATGCCTCAGGCACCGCCCACTTCTTTTTGAGGCAGGGTTTCTCACTGGAACTCTCCAACCTTGATGACCCGATGGCAGTAGAAGAACAGACTCCTGCGAGTTGTCCTCTGACCTCCACATATACCCTGTGGCCCACGTGTGTGCTCATACATATACAAAAATAAATTAAGTGCAATAAAATAAGATAAAAATGCATGTATTACTATGATAATATAGCATAACAGTTCTTGCAATGCTGTCTCTTTATGCTTCTAGTGACATCTGGTCCTTGGGATGCATTCTATACGAACTCTGTGCTCTGAAGCATCCAGTAAGTATGGTGCCAGACCAAAGGGTCACTTGTCAGTCCTGTTAAGACCTGAGAGATGTGCCAGATTTCAACTGGGGTTCACTTCCCCAGGAAGAATTTATTATAAAAGTTTCTGTTTGTCCCCTCTTTATCTTTGCGTGGAGCCCTTCTGTAGTTCTGTGCCAACAGGAAAAGCCTATTAGAGGCTGTAATTCTATATGTAGCTTTCTTCCTCCTCTTTCTTTTAAATATAACATAATATTTGCCATTGTAGCCATTTTCAAGTTCACAATTCAGGGGCATGAATTATATTCAAGATATTAATTACACTCATGTATTCATTAATTATACTCAAGATATTCATTAATTACATTTGTGATATTCATCAGTTACGTTCACAGTATTATAACTACATTTATGATCTTCATTAATTATATTAATTATATTGATTAATTATATTCATGATATTATATCCTGATACTGCTGTCCGTTTGTGGGGCTTTTCCGTCACACCAAACTGAAACTTTGTTCTTAGGAAATCATGGCTCTATATTCCTTTCTTTCCCAGCTTGAGAGAACTTCTAATTTTTTTTTATAATTTATTTAACTTTTATTTTATGTGCATTTGTATAAAGATGTCAGATCCCCCGGAACTGGAGTTACAAACAGCTGTGAATCACCATATGGGTGCCAGGAATTGAACCCGGGTCCTCTGGAAGAGCAGCCAGTGCTCTTAACCCCTGAGCCATCTCTCCAGCCTCTAATCTCTCTGTCTCTATGAATTTGTATATTCTATATATCTCACGTAATACAATTCTATGGTATTTATCCTTTTTAAAGATTCATTTATTTTATTTCTTGTATATGAGTGTTTGGCCTGCATGTATTTGCACCACATGTATGCCTGGTGCCCAGGGAAGGTAGAAGAGGGTGTTAGATAGTCCAGAACTGGAGTTATAGATGGTTGTAAGCCATTATACAGGTACTGGGAATTGAACCTGGGTCCTCTACTGATGGGGAACCTCAGCTGAGGTTCTCTCTTACCCACTGGACCTTGTGCCTAGTTGACAAAAACTAACCAATACACTTAACTTTTTTTTAAATTAAAACATCTTTTGAGAATTTTACATATGAGTGCTGTATTTACCTTTCTACCCCTCCCTATATTCAGCCTTCAATTCCTCCTGTGTCTCCCCAACTCCATGTAAAGTTCATGTCCGTATTCTACTATTATTATTATCATATCACCAACGTCTCTGACTCCAGTTCTTGGTGATTTAACACCTGATCCCTTTGGGCACCTGAACATTCTCTCTGTCTGTCTCTTGCATATGCACACATAATAAAAATAAACCTTAAAAAATAAATACACTTTCAAAAAGAGAACAGCTCAAAGAACTTTTTAAAATGCCAAGGCCTCAGCCCACTCCACACACCTGAATCAGAATCTCCAAAGAGGTCTCGAACTTGTGTTTTTAAACTAGGCGATTCTGAAGTGTGTCCCAAGTTGGGGACCGCTGTTGCTCGGAAGCCACCCTGAGTTTATGTGTGCCAGGCCAGCACTGACAGACACTGGTCTCCATGTGGAGGCTGTGATGTTCATGTCCACCTTCCTCCAAAGCACCTGAGGCTGTGAACCGTCCTTAAGGGCATCCGTGGAAGGAAGGGACCCAACAGCAGCTGCTTTTGCAAAACAAACATAGCTCATGAAATATGAATTTACTTCAGCTGATATTTCTTATTTCTATATTTTCTTTCCATATACCTGATTTTTAAAGCTTCACTTTTACCTTTAAGTTTCAGGCAAATAGTTGGAAAAACCTTATCCTGAAAATATGTCAGGGGCCCATCCCCCCACTGCCAGCTCTGTATTCCGATAAGCTTCACTTCCTTGTCAAGCAGATGTTGAAAAGGAGCCCTTCCCAGCGCCCCTCCGCTACCACCCTGCTTTGCAGAGGCAGTTTAGTGCCACTCGTCCCAAAGTGCTTACCCCGGGAGGTATGACAGGAGTGTCTCTCATTGGCTCTAGCGTGGTAGCATGTGTGGGCATGGGCGTACAGCGGTGTTCATGGAGATGTCGCAGGACATCTTGGCTCTCTCCTTTCATCTTTAACGGGTCCAGCGACAAACTCGGGTAATCAGGCTTGGCAGCAGGTGCTTTTAACCGTTGCGCCATCTCACTGGCCCTAAACTTGTATCTCTTAAGCTTAATTTACTCAAACATGCCTGTAAAGATTCACGTAATTCGGAGGTGTATTTAAAATGTAAACCTCTTTTCTCTCTTCCCCTTCCACAGCTCCCTCCAGTAGCTGCAACACTCTCCTGCACTGGGGTTGAGCCTGGGGCTTCACTTACGGTGGGCAGAGTCTAGTGATCATCACAGCTGTGTTTGTCTCACTGTTATATTATATTATATACTTTATATTATATATATCATATATATTATAATATAATTATATTATATCATAAAGTTATTTGACACCCCACCTTTCTTTCCTTGCTAAGGATCAGGTTTGGACTGTGGTTTTGGGGCGACACTGGCCTCACGTTGGCAGGCCTGCCTTAGCCCCCCAAGTGTCCAGGATGATACTCCTCTCCTTACATTTGCTTTTACGTGGCATCCTTGTTTTCCAACTTTAAGTGCTCTTGTGTTGAAGAGCACTATAAGTATATGACCTTATGGTGGTGTCCAAAGCAAAGTGTCTTTCTTTAGCTGGGCCTGGGTATACTGGCGAATAATCCCTGCTGTGTGGGCTAAGACAGGAGTCTTGGGGCATAGAAAAGTGTTTTTCACGTCTTTAAATGCTCATCTTTAAATCTCAGATCATCAGAGAATATGGAGAGCAGATACTGGATGAAACCAAACTATCTGAGCCCAAGAAACCAAAAAAAGAAGGTAAGAATTTTTCAAATGTGTTTTTAAAAGTATCATAAAAAAAAGAAAATACAATTCCCACCGGGCAATGGTGGCGCACACCTTTAATCCCAGCACTCAGGAGGCAGAGGCAGGCAGTTTGAGGCCAGCTTGGTTTACAGAGCGAGTTCCAGGACAGCCACAGTTGTTATGCAGAGAAACCCTGTCTCCAAAAAAAAAAACAAAAAAAAACCAAAACCAGTAATTTTCAATTTTTTTGCTTCTTTAGACAGAGTTTCCTTCAGATTCTATACTGTTGAAGAAATAGTATGTTTTCCCAGTGAGAAATCACCACACACTTAGATTAATTAGATTAATTAAGTTAATTAGTAATGGTCCATGGCTGGTTTTGGCGATGCACGAAAAGGACCCGGCCTCAAAGGGGAAATGGTACCAGCTTTGATTTATACTGTTCCACATACTCTCTTTGGGGTCCCAGCCTCAGGTCACACTCCAACAGTTTAAACAGAGATAGGAGACTTCGTGTCTGGCCACTCGGGCAGATGGGAGACTGACACAGCAAACATATTGCCAGAAGAATTTAAATGCGCCACTATTGTTCTTTCTGAATTGTCTGAATTGTTGTTACCCAGGGTCATCCTGCCCACCCGGCAGAATCCTGCTTTTCCTGCTAAGAGCACAGAGGACTTAATGGCAGACCAGGACTTGATTACGTTGTCACCCTGTGCTGCCCCCTTATAAGCCCAATGGAGGTTCTGAGTCAGGGTTGTCTCCTTTCGTTAGGGGAATGGAGCCTAATTTGAGTTCAGTCCTAGTGAACAGAGAGTAACAGACTTTCTGAGCTGGAAAGAGACGAGAAATACTTCTGCCTTGTTAGGGTACAGTTTAGATGCGGGTGAATGACAGAACGAAGCTGTTGACCCTCCTCTTCCCCATTTGAGCATCAGGTAGCCCATCAGCGCCACAGAAGAACGCTACTCCAGAAAGCCCTCACAGGCAGCAGTGGGAGAGCCATGTTCCCGGTCCAGCTCTAGCAGCTTTGGAAAAGGCACCCATCCTTACCTCCAGTTTCACAGCCGAGGATGACAGAGGTTAGCACCATCATCGTCCCTTGGGGTCTGGTTTCAGATACCAAAGTTCATGCGTGCTCAGGTGCCTCATGGAAAAGGCATCCAATGCCCACGTCCTCCTGTATACGTTAACCTCTAGACGATGTGTTCATAAATACTGTGTAAATAGTTGCCACACTGCACTGATTATGTGCATATGTGAATATGTTTAACACAGACTTAGCTTTTATTTTTTAATTTTAGTTGATATTGTGTGTGTATGCACATGCACATGTGTATGACTATATGTGCATATATGTATGAAGCCAGAAGAGGGTGTCAGATCCCTTGGAGCTGGAGTGACGGGCATTTGTGTGCTTTCCATTGTGGGTGCCAGGATCTGAACTCTGGTCCTCATAATTGAGCAATGTGTGCTCTTAACAACTGAGCCATCTCTCCAGCTCCAGACTTAACTTTTAAAAAATATCTTAAGATCCAAAAATTTGGAGCCCAGGATCTACAGGGAAAGTCAGACCGAACACTCTCCAGTAGGATTCACCATGCTAGGGTTTTAGTTTATATCTCTCTGCAGCTGACATTCGGGGTTTTTCATGTAGTGAGTGAACTGGATTTTCAGTGAGCGTCAAATATAGTCATAACTTTGCTTGAAATATGATAGACACTGGAAATTCTTTTTTTTTTTAACCTGGTCCTATGTCCCTCCTTACAACCAGGTGGCTCTGTAATAAAGTACAGTGAAAATCGTGCCCGTCAGCAGTGGCTCAAAGAGCCCCCCGAGACTTTGCTGTCAATGCTGAAGGGTGCTGATCTCAGCCTGGCGTTCGAAACGTACACAATATATAGACCAGGTAATGTTCACCTATTATATGACCATGAGGACACTTGGGCTTTTAAAATATGTGGTAAAACATGAATAAATTGACCATGTTAATAATTCTTTAAAGATTTATTTTTATTCGTGTTGTCCATTGTCTGTGTGAATGTACACTACACGTGTGTGATGGAGGAAGGTCATTGGTTAAGTAATAAACTGCTTGGGCTCATAGCTTAGAACATAGGTGGGTGGAGTAAACATAACAGAATGCTGGGAGGAAGAGGAAGTGAGCTCAGACGGACAGTCCTGCTCTCTGGAGCAGAGACACCATGCTCCCGGCTCCTGGGCAGACACACGCGATGCAGCTCCGACCCAGGATGGACGTAGGCTAGAATCTTCCCGGTAAGCGCACCTAGCTGTGCTATATAGAATATTAGAAATGGGCTAGTCCAGGTGCGAGAGTTAGCCTAGAAGAGGCTAGATAGAAATGGGCCAAGCAGTGATTAAAAGAATACAGTGTCCGTGTAATTATTTCGGGGCATAAGCTAGCCGTGGGGGCGGCCGGGTGCCGGGGACGCAGCCCGCCGCTCCTATCACTACACGTGTGCAGGTGCCCAGGGAGCCCAGAAGTTGGAGGGATCAGATCCCTGGATCTGGGAGTAATAGGCCGTTGTGAGTCACCATGGAGGGCTGAGAAGCAAACTCAGGTCCTCTGGAAGAGCAGCAAGTGTCTTTACCCCTCATCTTCACTCTCCCTGCGTGTCCAGTTCAGTAGTTTTACACTGATGCATTTTCTTATGTAGCCAGCTCCAGATTCTGTTTCTTTGCAAAGCTGGAGCTGCACACATTAAATCAGAGCCCCATTCTTTCCTCCTCAACTCCCTGTGATTTGTAAAACTGATGCAGGAAAGACGATGTTGCAAGAGAGTTCGTTTTATTTGTTTATTTGATGGATGTTTATTGAGTGGCAAATATATAGATGATTAAAATGAAAAAGAGGACTGGTGTCTAGCCCAGCAGTGGTGTGCTCTGTGTAGCATGCACAAGGCCCTGAGCTAACTCTTTAGACCTTTTTATTATTTGAGACAGGATCTCCTCAAATTTCTCAGACTGTACTATAGATTCCTTTTTTACAAGTTTTTAGAGTATTTTTTTCCGCTCTCTTCGAGAAAGTATTGCTTTAAAATTTAATCCACATTCTGCTACTTCCTGAATCTATTGTCTACCCAAATCCTGATGAGTAAATACTGTTGAAGTTGGCTGGCTTCCCCAGACACTATGGCTCTGCTCTGTAGTCCTAACATATGGGAGACTGACGAAGAGCAGCCTAGGAGATCAAGTCCAGCCTGGGCAACATGGTGAGACCCCATTTAAAAATATACAGAAAAACTGTCATACTTTCTGTTGCTATTCCCCTGAAGGTACAGAAGGATCCTTGAAAGGCCCCCTTTCTGAAGAAACAGCATCAGACAGTGTCGATGGTGACCATGAATCCGTCATTCTGGATCCGGAGAGATTTGAACCTCGGCTGGACGAGGAAGACACGTACGTTGTAACAGACCTAGAATGCTGTAGCTGGGGAATGGAGCCTGTATGTGCACACACGCCGCATCGTACCACAGTAATTTCAGATGGTAATAGCTATACTGCTTTCCATCCTGAGGGAGCACTTCTCTTTGCTCCTGTGTGGTGGGCAACACCGACATTTTACTATGACTTCCTGGCTGCACGTAGTATGTTTTCAGTCTGGACTTGTTTTTGTTTCTGAATTTTGAGGCACTTAGGCTCCTCCTGCACCTGCTTTCAGGTGTTGGGATTATATGAGTGTGAAAATATATATATTCATTTTATAATACATTTTTTAATGTTAAAAATACCCACAGTGATACATTTTGGGGAGAACTAACATTTTTTCCCTTTGCTCAATTACCTTATGGGATTGAGCTTTCAACGGTTTAGATAGCACATGGTAGAATTCTGCGTTGAACCCATCAAGAAGTAAACACCACGAGTCTAATACAGTGGCTTATCATCCAAACCGTCTCCACAGGGACTTTGAGGAAGATGATGAAAACCCTGACTGGGTGTCAGAACTAAAGAAGCACGTGGGATGGAAGGACACGCCTGATGGAAACCCCGCGGAGCATGTGCCTGAGCCATGTGGGGGGAGACACTGATGCCTGGAAACGGGGTGACGACTGAGAAAATGTACCATAAGCTTAAATAACAACCCAGAACCCTTGTGAGCTTTTTTAACACAAGGGAGGTCTAGAGATGCTGTGTCCTTGCATTCCGGTAGAGCAGAGGTGAAATGCTAGCCTGCTGGCTAACGCTGTGTGTGATAATAGGAAGTTACTTAGCTTCTGTGCTCCCTCGTTTTCTCAACTCTCCAGGGAGAATAACAATGCCTACCTCATAAGAACGCTGACCAAGACTATTATAGCAACCCATGTGTTTGTATCCACGGTTACTATGTGACACTCGGACGTTTCCTAAAGCGATCTAAATATATTAAATTGTGACATAAAAATGTGTGTTCTTTGTCAATAACACCCGACTTGGGGATGCTTCAAAATGATTTCCAGTGATGTTACCAGCTGCCAGCAGTCCTTAAATGTTCCTCGTAGGCTTTACAAAAAACCAGGGGGTCGGGGGGTCAGCCATAAGATGAGTGGAACGGGCTCCCAGAAGATTGCAGTCCTGGACCTGAGGCAGGAATACAGCCAAAGAGATATGATGGATGTCAGAAACTAGAAAGTGTTCTAGAAAGTGGCCCACAGTGCACACACATGGACCCTCATTGTGTATTATCTCATTCAACGCTATGACACTTTAGAGAAAGAATCTTTCCCCAATGAAGAAACCGACTTCCCCTGACCCCGTATGATGGAGAGTAGGCAGAAATTACGGTCTAGTCATTAACCAGGATCTGCAAAAATAGGAGCTACGAGTAGCTTTTAGCAACGTAACTCTCCTCCCTTATCTGCAGTGCTGGGCAAACCCAGGACCTTATGAATGCAAGGCAAGTGATCGTCCACAGCTACTACAGCACAGCATAGCTTTTGTTCGCCGCGCAAAGGCTGCTGCGCAAGTCCCCACCCTACCTGTGTGTCTCCTTGTTCTCAGTCCTGCGGTCTTCCATCTCTGGCAGCTTCTCTGTCTGCCCTTGCCGAGTTTGAGGAGTGCTAGTTAGTTATCCTGTTTCTATCCTCAATTCGGGTGTGTCCAAATTCACAAAGGTGAACCCTATCCCCATCATGTCCTCTCAGGAAGTACACGATGTCAGCACAGTGTGCCACAGTTGCTGCGTGCCTCCATCAGTAGTTAACTGAGACTCTGCCGGGCTTCCCATCGTAGGTACCGACTTCCCTGCCCCTGTTCTTACTGTTGCTAACCTGACGCTGAGAGGCTTCAAGTTCTCCTTCTGTCAGAGCAAAGAGTGTCATGTTACCCTAAATCACTGGTTTGGTTGTCTAATTCTTTCCAGTTGGTTTCTGTGCACTTTTGTGATGTTCTTGTCCTTTTTTTTTTTTTTGACTTTTCGAGACAGGGTTTCTCCGCGGCTTTTGGTTCCTGTCCTGGAACTCGCTCTTGTAGACCAGGCTGGCCTCGAACTCACAGAGATCCTCCTGCCTCTGCCTCCCAAGTGCTGGGATTAAAGGCATGCGCCACCACCATCCGGCAAGTTCTTGTCCTTTTAAATTACTAAATTAAATTTGCTAAAGTAGGATCAACCTGTACCTTCTCTGTTCCAGCTCCAGAATCAACAATTTTTTCCCCAAGAGCCACAGTTCCTCTCATTGTTTTTTTGTTTGTTTGTTTTTCAAGATAGGGTTTCCTTTGTGTAACAGCCCTGGCTGTCCTGGAACTCTCTAGACCAGGTTGGCCTCAATGCGTTCTGACTACTGGGATTAAAGGAGTGTGCCCCCACTGCCAGGCTCCTCTCATTGTTTTAAAGCCACTATTTGGGTACTGAGGGTGCTGATTACCCCTGGCATATCTAGGCCCTGTCTACATACCTGTGTTTTGTGCATCTCCATCTAGATATATATTAAGTCAAACATGGCCTCACACTGACGTCCCTGGCTCATCCAATCCCGTAAAGTTAATTCAGGCTTCTCGAGAACTCTTGCTTTTTCTATATCTGTTTTCCCTGATGGTGAAAAACACAGTTTGCAGCCGTCCACTTAGTTGTTGAGACCAGTGCACACACAAAGCAGTGTCGAAACCATTAACCCTCGCTGCCGTGAGCAGCTAGCGAGCAGAGCTTGTGTGTGGTTTCCGTTGTTGGCTTCACCCTTCTTAGGTCCATCCCTTGAATGTTAGCCTGGCACTTTTTTGATGATGTTTCGTGTTCAAGAAAGCATGAAAGTTACAAGGAGGTCTCCAAGACACTCAGGTTCCACATAACATCCTCCACACGTCTTTATCCGCTCCAGTCACTGGCTCTAAACGTTGCAATCCAGACAAAGCAAATTTGAGATTATGTGCATAATTATTTATCTCACTAAGTACTGGAGATTAGGATTATAAATCCTCTTGGAAATCAGACCATCTCCACTTTAAACCACACTCCGTGTGTTTGCTTATTTGGGTGAGACCTGCCAACCCTGACAGGCTTTAAAAAGAAAGGGAACTGGGTGTGGCACACAACTTTAGTTCAGCATGGAGGCTGAGGCAGGCATCTGGACCTCTGAGTTCCAGGTCAGTCAGGGGTACATAGTGAGACCTGTGTACAAAAAACAAACAAAAGTCCCACAACGCTTTAGGTCCTGTAGGCAGGAAATGCTAATTTCCATCCATATGTTTCTTTCAGAACATGGCGATCAGAAAGAACTTCAAGCATTAAAAAGACTACATTGCTATACCCAGGAAGTAGGATGTAGATAAAGGAGAAGCTAGCCTTTTTTTTGGGGGGGGGGGAGACGGGGGAGGAACACGGGACACCATGAACAATGGTGGGTTATGAAATGGTCATGGGACATAGATTCCACTGGCTCTGGCTGTCTTCCTTGTATTAGCATTTACCACCCTGAAAGAGATATATTTTCCACTGCTCTACATCGAGCTAGGTTAAGAGGGGGTGCCTTTGGCAGACTCCTGGGCAGCACCTGGTTTTGCTTGTGGACCCAGGTTCCATTCTTATACACCCCTCAGCAGTATTTGAGACCTTGCATGCGAAACCTGCTTCCTTCTGGGAGTATATATTACAGCTGAACGCTGCTTAGCCCGTATGGGACCCCAGGCATCATCGCCACTCCCTCCCCCGACAACCCAACCAGCACGTTTTTTCTCTCAGCATTGCTTACTCATCAGAAAGATGGCAGACAGCAGAGAACTTACGTACCAACTGCATCAAGGAAACACTTCCATCCCCACACGCAAAACTCCAGCTCTATGGCTTCCAATGATTCTGCCCATCAAAGACTAGAAAACGGTCATCCACATCGGGCCACGGAACCCGAAGGTTGCAACAAGGCAGAGTTCTGACTGATCTCTCAGCCGCAGTTCTGGAAAAGGTTGCCCCTGCTCTCCACTATAAAAACTGAATCTCGGACCTTGCACTCCGACACCGAGCGGCAGGGTGCCAACCTCTCAATAAAACTGTGCTAGCACAGCTTTGAAGTCGAACTCAGTCTTCTCGTTTTCCTCCCCTGAATTCTTACACCCTGGGAGTTTGGAGACGTTCACGTGGCTTGTTTTACTTTCGGCTTCCGACCTCGGGCAAGTGAAAGGAGCACCCATAGGTTTTCTCTGCCCCCGCCCAGCGCTCCGCCTACTTTCCCCGCGGTAACCCCCGCTCCAGTGTCCCGGAGGCTTAGCCGCCAGGGGTCAGATCCACCTGGACACTTAAAGACCCACTGCACAAAGTCCGCTGAGCAGGTAGGCCGAGCCCACAGTGTTTGTTCTTTAGGAGCTGTCCCAGGCTTCTCGAAGACAGGGGAGAGAGATTGGGCAAGCTGGAGGAGACTGCTGCCTGGGCTGCGTCGGTTTCCATGGCAACTCACAAGCTACAAAATCCTGGACTCAAGTCCTCCTCCTGCATGCTGGCCGGAGCCTCCACTGACAATTCTGTACCCATGACTTGAAATTATTTGAAAACAACCTGCCCAGTAGTATACCACCCAGGGTAGTAAAAGTCTGCATTGCGCCTGAGGCAGGAGGATGGCAAACTCAAAGCCTACCTGAACTACTTAGAGCAATTTCAATACCAAAAGGATTAGGTGTAAAGCTCCGGGGTTGAATGCTTACCCAGCATGTATGCGGTTCTGGGTTCGATTCCCAGAACAGCAAAATAAAAAGCTCCGTTATGCTCCAACTGTGGCATAAAAGGGAAAAAGAAGGAAGGCAGCCTACAAGGAAGTGGTATTTCCACCTGTAAACACCTGTAGCCAGGTGCCAGGACAGTCACCTGATCGCAACTGCTAGACTCTGGACCTCCCACCAACTGCAGCTCAGTAGACCAGTTTTTTTTCCATATTGGAGCACAACTAGTAGGAAAGTCCCCGGATCCAAACAAGCCCTAATTTATCTTCCTAGGAAATTAAGTACTAGTTAATTCATGGGGAGATACTTAGATAGACGTGTGATACTTTGCTTCTAGAGGCAGATAACTGTGACTTTGCAGCCGTCCCTCGCTGTGTGGGATCAAAGACCTTTGAACGTCAAAGCTAGTACCCCAGGCCCTAACTTCATCTTAACTACCATAATGCCTCCCATCTCTGCAGCCCCAAACACTGACAAAATAAATTCCTAGGCTTCCCTGGAGAGGGCAGTACCTCCGCTAAGAGGAGAAAGGTGCTTGCCCCACCCTTGGGCATTTTAGAGGCACAAAACACCTACAATGAGATTAGACCTAATCCTTTTGGTATTGAAATTGCTCTAAGTAGTTCAGGTAGGCTTTGAGTTTGCCATCCTTCTGCCTCAGTATTTTTCCATTTTAGAAGCTAGAGAAGAAAGGTTTTGTGAGGTGGCAACTCGTCTAAGATCCCAAAGATGACTTGCAATCCAGTGTGGAATCTACCAACCAAACCCTTTTCACAGCATTCCTGTGTCCAGAAGGAAATTTCTTGACTCTCAAAAGCTGGGTGGAACGTTTTAGCAAACAGTTCTTCTGCCTTTTATCCATCTTCTGCTCGTTAGTTGTCATGAGAAATGTACAGTGAAGGTTTATTTCTTCATTTTAGGAACCTCTGACCCCTGAAAGAATGGATAAATTTGACCTGATTAAGATCATTGGGGAAGGCACCTATGGAAAAGTGTACTTGGCGAAACATAAAACGGAAAGCAATCAGTGTGTCATAAAAGAGATTGATTTTACAAAGGTAAAGTTAAGAAGTTCAAATTTCTGATAATTTTAAGTGGTATATTTAGCTCTTAAAAAGATTTCTGTATTTACTACGTGCATGTATGCGTGCTTGCATGAGTTTATGGGCACCATGAGAGTGCAAATGTCTGTAGAGGTCAGAGGGCACTGGACACCCCTGAACTTGGTTTGCAGGCAGCTGTGAGTCACTGATCTGGGTGCTAAGACCTGAACCTGGGCCTTCTGCGGGAGCAGTAAGTGCTGAGCCATCCCTCCAGCCCCCATATCATCAATCTAGTATGGAAACAAATACCCTTTTCCCCATTAGGAATTTTAAGGTTCAGCTGACTCTGCTTTCAAAATCCTGTTCAACAATGTGTATTGCATTCATTTTCTTAGTGTCTCCCCCCTCCCTGCCCATTGAACAAAGGATTTGGTATTATGCAGGACACCTGCTGTGATTGATTGCTGAATCCCTAGCTGGCCCACCTCTGTGCCTTCCTGTTTTCTTACCCTCTCCCTTCCTCCTCTCCCTTCCCCTCCTCTTCCTCTCTTCCCTTTTGCCCTTCTTCCTTCCCTCTTTTCCTCCCTCCCTCTTTTTTTTTGAGGCAGGGTCTAGATTAGTTATGTAGACAATCTAGTCTCAGAATCTCCCTGCCTCTGCCTCCCTAGTGCTGTTAGTTACAGGTGTGCGCCATCATGCCCAGTTACTGTTCTTTTCCTTTAAAAAAATATATTTATTTAGGTGCACACCTTTAATCCTGGCACTCCAGAGGAGAGACAGGTGGATTACAAAGTGAGTTCAAAGCCAGCCTGATCTACATAGTGATTACCAGAACAACCAGGGTTAAGTAGAGAGATCCTGTCTCAAGTTTTTTTTTTTTAATTTATTTCGGGGTACATATTTGTGCTTGCACATATGTGTGCGCAAACACACACACACACACACACACACACACACACACACACTGCAGCGTACATGTGGAGGGAAGTCAAAGGACAACTTCCCGTGTTGGTTTCAGAAATCCACCTCCAGATAATTACCTGTTAAATACTTGGCTCTTGACTCTCCCTCTTCGAATTAGCTTCATTCCTTTTGTCAATGCATATATCAAGTAGAACCAATTTTGAACTTTCAGTACAATAATATTTCCCTAGCATTGTTAATTTTCTTGATTGTAATTGTCACTGAAGAGCTGGTGGTTAGATATGAGACACTCTGCTCATTCCTTAGTGGCCCTGCCTTCCAGAGATAACATTTTGGAGATGACATTATAGCCAATGGCATCTTGGGGCATCTCAGATAGTAGTGAGCAGGAAGCATGCCTCTGTAAGTCAGTTACCTCTGCAAGACACACTGTCTCGAAATACCACTTTGATGCCCTTCCAGGAAAAAGAAGCTTCAAAGAAAGAAGTGGTCCTTCTGGCTCAGATGAGGCATCCCAACATTGTAACCTTCTTTGGTTCATTTCAAGGTTAGATTTTCCTATCATTAAAGCATCCCAGTAAACTACAGATCTTTGGAAATATGTATCCCCATGAGTTGTGTATTTATTCAATTTTGTGTGTTCATTTCTCTGCCTAGTTAAATTGTTGTCTGAAATTGTATCTTTGTTTCCTGTCTGGTGAGTGTTGTCCTTTGAATAGGGTCTTCTGTAGCTTCCGTGCACTGTGTAGTTGAACATCACCGCCAACTCCAGATCCTGTAGGTACTAAAAGAGAAGGGTTAACCTAGACATCTCCGAGTATCACCGGGTAGGTGGAAAGCAACGTGTAAGTAGATTCAGCCACTATTTCTTGAACTTTTCATAGTGTGCAGGCCCAGTGCTCTTTGCTGCTTAGAAACCACCGCATTCAGAGCAGTTATGAGGTCAGGCATGGTCTCATAGTCCTGCAATCCCAGCACTGGAGCAGAGGCCAAAGGACTGTTGTCAGTTCAGGGCTAGCCTGGTCTACAAAGTGAGTTCATGGCTAACCAGTGGTATGATAGTGGCTTTCTATCTCAAAACCTGTACAATATTAGTTAAGTTAAAAGCAGCTCTGTATGACCCTTTTCAATGAGTGATAGGATTGGAACCCTCGGGGATCTGGGAAGGTTTCTCGAGGCAGGGCCCTGAGCTCGACTAGACTGAACAAGTGTGCTCTATCTCCGAGCTACACCCTGAACTCTGAATAACTTTTGAAGGCACTCAGGGAATAAAGTTCTCTGCATTTCTGTCCACTATTCCCATCTTTCTCTTCCTCATCTTGTGAGTTATAGTTGAAATCCTTTGTCTACCTGAATTCTGTTCACTCTCAGGCTTCCCCAAGCCACTGTCCCTTCACTTATCCCCCAGGGCACTTTTCTACCAATGCATTTGACTATCTGTACATATACATTATTAGAAATTTACTTATTGTTTTTTCTTCAGATAAGAAGCTTAGGGGTTGAGAATGTTGCACAGTGGTAGAATAATTGTATACCACGTAAGAGGTCCTGGATTTTATGCCTAGTAACACATACACAAATGTAAACATTAATTTAATGAGCTTAGGGATTTATATATACGCGTTGGTCCTCTACATGTGGCGTAGAGTAGATAGATGCTCAATTGCAGTTGCTGAATGAATGAATGGACTGGATGATTTAAACAGACAGGAGGATACATTTGTTCCATGTATGGTGGATTTCTGAAGACACTTTGTGACAGATACAGTCACACAGCTAAGGCCACTTCACAGTATAATTGACCTCCTTCCTCCCTGGACATTGCTTGACAGCTTGTTTGTTCTTAAAACACAGGCTTAGTCAAGAACCCCAGAGTCTTGAGGCGCCTGACCGTGAGAACCTGAAAACAGAGGCTTTGCTGGCTCTGTGGCAGCTCATCTCTCACTCCAGGAGCCATGGTCTAGTGTCTGCTCCCCCTTTTTACTGGCTGTTAATGAAGGGCCGCTCTCAACTAGAAGTGAAACTTTGTGCTCTGCCACATGGCAGGAAGTGGGGCTGGAAATCACTCACTGCCCCTGCCCCTGACTTCCAGGCCCATGTTTACATCAGTCACACCGCCTGGCTAATCCTTTGGATTCACTAAGAATTAGCTGGCTAGTACGAAAGATGAAGTTTTATGAGTTTGGAACAGTGAAAGAAAAATAATAATTTAGTAATCTTTTCCTAAGGCAAAACGACTTCCCTCAGGAAATATTAACTCTTAGGTGCTAAGCATGCTCTAGAACCAAGCGCTCAAAATGTCGAACAGGATAGATACAAATCTCTGCACTGCTGTGCTTGGTTTCCGTTGTCGTGAAACAAATGGTTGTGTAGCTGATGGCTTCAAGAAATTGTTTTGTTCCCACTCCTTCGTTTTGCTCAGTTAGGGGCTCTACGCCCAGGGGATGGTGCCATCTCCATTGAGGGTGGTTCTTTCCTTAGTTACTCCAATCCAGAAACCCTCACAGAAATGCCCAGGTATTTGTCTCCTAGGAGAGTCTGGACCCTGTCAGACTGACCCCTGGTGTTAACTCCCTGGGCTACAGAGAATTGACCCCTTCTCAATGAGGCCAAACACAAAAGAAATGCAAATGAGATGGGAACCCAGTCCATCTTCGGGCCACACCCTCTCTTACGCCGTTTTTTCCTGTGGTGTTCTTTATGTTTTGGGTTTTGAAAGACAAACGATAGCTAAAAGCTCCAGCACCAAATGTTTTTTTGCAGAGAATAACAGGCTCTTTATTGTAATGGAATACTGTGATGGAGGGGATCTCATGCAGAGGATCCAGAGGCAGAGGGGAGTGTTATTCAGTGAAGATCAGGTAAGCCTACTTCTAAAGTTCTGTTTAGACCTATGTTTTAATTAATTTACTTGTTTTATTGATATCCAGGATTTTTTTTGTTTTAGTTCTTTATATATTTTGGATAATACCCTTTTTTGATGTGCAGTTGGTGAAAATCATTTCCCATTCTGTAGACTGCCACTTTGTCCAAATAAAGGTGTCCTCTGCTATGTAGAAGCTTTTCCATTTCATGAACTGTTCCATTTATTAATTAGTGCCCATGCTGTCAGTGTTCTATTCAGAGTCCTTCCCTGTGCCAGTGAGTTCAAGCCTCTTCCCCACTTTTGCTTCTATCAGATTCAGGGTGTCTGGCCTTATGCTGAGTTTTTTTTTTGTTTGTTTGTTTGTTTGTTTTTTGGATTTTTTGAGACAGGGTTTCTCTGTAGCTTTTTGGTGCCTGTCCTGGAACTAGCTCTTGTAGACCAGGCTGGTCTCGAACTCACAGGGATCCACCTGCCTCTGCCTCCCGAGTGCTGGGATTGAAGGCGTGTGCCACCAACGCCCGGCTTATGCTGAGGTTTTGATGCATTTGGAGTTAAGCTTTGTGTGGGGTGGTAAGTGTGGATCCATGTGTGTTCTTCTACAGGCAGCCATCCAGCTTGAACAGCACCATTTATTGGTGATTCGGTCTGTTTTTTTCAGTATGTATTTCTGGCTTCTTTATTAAAAAAAAAACCCGCCGGGCGGTGGTGGCGCACGCCTTTAATCCCAGCACTTGGGAGGCAGAGGCAGGCGGATCTCTGTGAGTTTGAGACCAGCCTGGTCTACAAGAGCTAGTTCCAGGACAGGCTCCAAAACCACAGAGAAACCCTGTCTCGAAAAACAAAAAACAAAATAAATAAATAAATAAATAAACCCGTGTCCATAGGTATGTGGTCTACATCTGGATCTTCAATTCTATTTTGTTGATCAATATATCTGTTTCTTTGCCAATACCAGGCTATTTTTTATTACTATAACTCTGTAGTACAATTTGAGAGAGATGTGTGATATCTTCCTAGAAAGCTAAAAAAATTTGAATATATGTATGCTTAAAGAATCAATATCTTTAACTTCTGTAAATTCAGTCAAGCATTCTCCCTATTCCTGTATTATATGTTAAGTCTACATTTACAGAAACATATTTCTTATTTAGGGATTATTTTTCTGTGTTTTATAAAAATGATTTTTTGTGACAAAATTTTGATTACATTTTCTTTTGTTGGAAAAATTCCAAGGTGTCAACTGGACCCTAATACCTAGACTATGGGCCATCTTATATTATTTCCTTCATTGAACCCTAATACCTGACTATGGGCCATTTTATATTATTTTCTTCTTACTATATCGTTTGGCAGACAAAGAACCTGTGGGATTTTAGAGTTCTTTAAGTGAATTTCTGTAAGTGTAGAACATTTCATTAAAGTGGCTCCCTGTCTGCTGATATAAAATACAACATTGAGCTGGACATGGTGGCACAGACCTGTAATCTCAGTATCAGGAGGCTGAGCATGAAGACTGCCATAATTTTGAGGCTAGCCTGTGCTATATGGTGAATATAAAGCCAGCTTGGGCTATAGCAAAATACCCTGTATCAGAAAACTAAATAATGAATAAGCAAATAGATAAATAAAATACCTATGACTAAGAAATAAACTAGAACTTCACAACCACAAAAAGAAAAAAGTCTTTTTTCCCCTGTTCATTTCTTTCAGTGCTAGGGTGGAATAAAAAGTCTGGTATATGGAAGCCCGTCCTCACAGTGACACACTTCCAACAGAAGGTGTTGCCCAGATTAAAGGCATGCCCTCCAGCCTCAGGGTCTGGATTAAAAATTTGTGTCATCCAGCCTCCTCCAACAAGACCATACCTCCTAATAGTGCCACTCCCTGTGAGTTTATGGGGGTCAAATTCATTCAAACCACCACGAAGACCCTAGCTCAAAAAGAAATAGATAGATAGATAGATAGATAGATGATAGATAGATAGATAGATGAGATAGACAGACAGACAGATAGACAGATAGACGGTCAGCCAGTCAGCCCTGAGTGGCCATCATCTCTTCCTAGCTTTTATTCTTCTCTTTCTACATATAAATTTCACGTTAATACCAACGACATCTGAAGCATCTTTCTGGGCTATAAATCGGAATTCATATGTTATAGCCATCAGATCCATTTCTATTATTATTTCCCTGTTTTCATGTCATCATGAAGCTGTGTCAATGACCAGCAGACTGTTCATAGATTTGTTCTATTTCTTTCTGCAGATTCTGTGCTGGTTCGTACAGATTTCACTAGGACTGAAGCACATTCACGACAGGAAGATACTACATAGGGATATAAAATCCCAGGTAATAGCTCAGACTGATGAATAAGACACCGTAACTCTTATTCTTTTCCTGAACATTTTTTTTTTCACTGTTAGAACATTTTTCTTAGCAAGAATGGGATGGTGGCAAAGCTTGGGGACTTTGGAACGGCAAGGGCACTGAATAAGTAAGTACTTGTAAAATTCTGTTTTTCTTTGTATGCAAAATCAACAAAGTGCTCATTTTGAGGCATTTTTAATTAGGATAATAAAAGTTTCTTTATCCCCACAATTTTAGGTGAATATGTAGGAATGTTGAATCATTTGACTGTTTGTGGTAAATTCTGAAGCTATGGGTCTCCAGAGATGAATCAGAGCTTAAGAGTGCTTGCTCCTCTTATAGAGAACCTGAGTTTGGTCCCAGCACCCACTTCTGGTGTCTCTTGTGACTCTAGCTCCAGGGCATTCTTTGCTGGCCTCTGTGGTCACTCCCATACACATACACACACGTGTGCACACACACAAATAATGAAAGTAAAATTAGAAAAAAATTCACAAGATAAATGGTGTCTAATCGAATGGTGGTGGGGCTGTTCTAAAGCACAGAAAAATCATATTTCTAAATGTACTGTCCTTGATTTGTGGACTTCTGGGGATCACGAGGAAATATTTTGCTCTGTGCCGTGAGCAAAGCAGAATGGTGAACTACCAAAAGAGCATGCTGCCAGCTGTGTGTACAAACCATGGTGTGGAAGCATATGGGAAGGAAATTTATGAGTTTCTCAATAGGTTTTAGGGATACTCTGACTAGAGGTGACTTGATTTTTCATTCACTAATTTTTTTCTTTATGGTTTTGGGGTTTTAATCCAGGGTCTTTCACTTGGTAGACAAGTGTTCTACCATTGAGCTACACCCCAGTCTAATTCCTTTTTGTATTTTTCAGATTTAAGAACACACAATTGCATTACATGGGTAGCTGGTAAAACAGAAATCTTATTATACCCAAGAGATCTTTAAATAAAAATTCTGTACTTATTTATATATAATATATTTATTAGCTGGGTGGTGGTGGTGCACACCTTTAATCCTGGCACTCAGGAGGCAGAGGCAGGTGGATCTTTGTGAGTTTGAGGCCAGTCTGGTCTACAAGAGCTAGTTCTAGGACAGGCTCCAAAGCTATAGAGAAACCCTATCTTGAAAAAACCAATATGTATGTAATTACTACTACTGCTGCTGCTATTATTATTGGTATCCTTATTGCTATTTTGCACTGCTATGATTCAGGGCAATCTCTCATTCACATACCTAGCCATGGGATATGTTTCAATTTTTAAAAAATACATAGCAATATATGTGTATAAATTTTAACTTATTTTTAGATTCTTTTATCTGCATGAGTATTTTGCTTGCATGCATGCATGTGCACCATATGTATGTCTGGTGCCTGTGGAGGTCAGAAGAGGGCATTTGATCCGCTGGAACTGGAGTTGGGGATGATTGTGAGCCACAGTGTGAGTACTGAGAACTGAACCTGGGTCTTCTGGAAGAACAAGTGCTCTTAATCACCTTTCTAGCCCATATATACTTTTGTGTGTGTGACAAGGTCTCACGTCGCCCAGGCTAGCTTTTAATTTGTTGTGTAGCTGAGGCTGGCCTTGAACACCATATCTTTCTGCCTCCACTTCCCTGTAATAGAATTATAGTCTTATGGGCTACCACGCCTGGCTTTCTTGTTCTCTTTTTCTCCATATATGTATGTATGTGTATGTGTCTCTGCATAAATTTGGAGGTTGATTTTGTTTTGTTTTTTGAGACAAAGACTTCTCCTTGTATCTCTGGCTGTCCTAGAAGTCACTATATAGACAAGGCTAGCCTCCGACTTACAGAGGTCTGCCTGCTTCTGCCCCTCAGGTGTTGGGATTTAAGGCGTGCATCATCACACATGGTTGGGGGTTGAGTTCTAAGGTTCAAAACCTGCTGTCTTCATTAGTCTGTTTTTCACATAAGATGTCTTGCTTTCTTCCAGTGTGTGCATGAATGCAGTTTTATTGTTCATGTTTACAATTTTCCTTGCATAGTCATGTCTTCAGCCTTTCTCACTCTGCTAATAAGACATATTTTTTTTATTTACTCTAATTTTCTAGTTCCATGGAACTTGCTCAAACATGTGCTGGGACACCTTACTACCTGTCCCCAGAGATTTGTCAGAACAGACCATACAACAACAAAACGTGAGTTGCTCTTGGTGGAAGGGTGCCAGCCCATCTAGTGGGTGGCACTGAATTTCAGCCTAAAGTTCTAATCTCTTTCCTGCTGGCATGTGTGCATTTTCCTCTTCTGTGTAAAATCAGAGTTCCAGTGAGTAATATTCCTGAAAGATTTTAGACCTATTTAAGACAAAGCAATTTCTCTTCATTTAAAAATATAAAAAAAAGCCAGATGCTGGTGGTGCATGCCTTTAATCCAGCACTCGGGAGGCAGAGATAGGCGAAGCTCTGAGTTCAAGGCCAGCCTGGTCTACAGAGTGACTTCCAGGACAGTTGGGCTACACAGAGAAACCCTGTGCTTCCCATATACTCCTGGATGTGTGACCTCACTAGAGGGTGGCCTACACACGGGGGTGTGCGGGGGCCACACCTGAAAGAAACTGACTCTTCTTCCATCAGTAGATCTGGGAGGAATGGGTATGTGTGAACATGATTAATTTGATTACAATTTATTGAAATTAATAATGACTAATGAAAGATGGGGGAAAAGTAAACAAGAAAATTCTACCCAAGGAAAGTCTTTTATTGTGGTGTTGCAGTACCCTGGAGCAGCTCAGGAGATGTCTGATCAGCCTGCTTACATAGCCAGAGGAGTGCTTGCACTAAGCACAAGTTGTCTGCCCAGCACCACTCTGGGAAGATCACTCAGAGTTCATTAGGCTTCTGACATCAAAACAACTTAATATAAACTTTTCAATAGCCCAGACCGTGTCTTCAAGAGCCAAGGCAAGACTCCAGCCATGTGTGGGGTATTTGAGATGGCTGGTGTTGAATGTGGGTGGGCTAGCTGGCGGTTTGACTGAAAATCTTTTTGCTCAAGGAATCCAGGACAGTGAGGGAGAGTCTAGTTGCCCCATCCCTCAGTGTTTCTGCCTAAGGAAAATGACCTTAGGCAGGGCACTTCTGAACTTACCATTGACACCAATAGTGAGTCCAGCCGAACTTACCACCTGCACCATGCTTCAGACAAGCTGCTCCCTCTTACCTGTATCACCAGGTGACCTGCCGCTGAGCCACGCCTCTGTCCCGCTCTACTTTTCTTTACTGAATCCTTGTTTGGGCACTTTGGCAACCTCCTTGACATCTCATCCTCTTGCCTTTTGGATTTAATTGTACTTTTTATTCTTTAAAATGATTCCTTAAACCAATCATATATTTATAGTTACTAACAGGGATTGGGGAGGTGGATGGGTGGGAGATTGCTTGCTTTATGCTCAAGGCCCTAGGTTTAATTCCTAGTATGATGTTAAATAAGTTTTTAAATAAGCGTGGAAAAAGCAAAATTCAAGTCCTATGTTCGTTGAGACGATACTATCATGTAATTTTATTTGTCGAGGCTTGCCTTTTTCCTCTAATGTCCACTGAACACACATTTTCTTTGGGCACGTGAAGTCAATACTCATCTATCATATTGTGGCAATGTTTGTTTACCTGTTGTCTGCCAGGATTCCGAAGAATTTCAAACGATTCATATCTTAATTTTTATCTTAGAATTGATAAGGTATCTGAAAGCACTTGTGAAAACATACCAACCTAATTAAATGAAGCTATACCCACATAAGGCGATACGAGAGGCAAATGCTTCTGCCTGTAATTGTTGCCATTCTCTGGTCATATAAACCCTTCTCTTCTCCAGGGATATTTGGTCTCTTGGATGCGTCTTATACGAGCTCTGCACACTCAAGCATCCTGTAAGTATGTTGATCATGATGTGAATCTTGAATTACTGAACACATGTATTGGAAATTATCTTCTGAGAGAAAAAGATTGTTTGGGTTTATTGTATTGTTTAAAAATTACATGGATAGCCAGGTATGGTAGCATGTGCCTATGGTCCTATCCACTCAGGGATTCAAGAGGAGCATGAGTAACAGAGAGAGAACTCATCTTTAAAAAGTCAAAACCAGTGGGCAGTGGTGGTGCATGCCTTTAATCCCAGCACTCGGGAAGCAGAGGCAGGCGGATCTCTGTGAGTTCAAGGCCAGCCTGGTCTACAAGAGCTAGTTCCAGGACAGGCTCCAAAGCTATAGAGAAACCCTGTCTCAAAAAAAAAAAAAAAGTCAAAACCAACAACAAAATAAACCCAGGAGCTGGAGGCAGAAGGACTGAGAGAGAGTTAGAGACCAGCCTGGTCTACATAGCGAGATGTCAACTCTCTGTCTCTGTTTCTCTGTGTTTCCATCTCTCTCTCTCTCTCTCTCTCTCTCTCTCTCTCTCTCTCTCTTTCTCACACACACACACACACACACACACACACACACACACAAGTGTATTAAAACTACATGTTTGACATGGAGAGATATCTAGGTAGTACTATAAAGTAAAAAGTGCGTGTCAGAGAATAGCGTGCGGAACGTGTTCATTATACGCATGTTCTCTGAAGGTAAAGAGTGTGTGGCAGAATCTGTGGGAAATCAAGCCAAGACTCCTGAGAGTCTTCCAGTTGTCACATGGAAGGTCCTGATTTTTCCAGCAACGAGTCTTGATGAGTGAAGTATTGTGAATTTGTTGGGTACCTTATACCCATGCGTTATTGGACGGTGGCCACATAGGCACCATTTTCCTGGCATGCGCAAAATTTCCAAGGCTCCCAGAAGCAAACAATATGTTTAAAATTTTGTATTATTTGCATAAATATTATTTGCATAAATGTCTTGGACAATGAGAGCCAATCTTAACATTTAGGCAGGAGTGGAATTTCTCTACAAATCTCAAGTTCCAGAAACTTCAGACCAAGTCCAGTGCTGTAGGCAGAACTTTCCAAGGACAGCTTGCTTGCCAACTCTTGTCTATGCAGCTGTTTTTATTATTATTGGTGTTGTTAATGTTAAAGGCCACACAGCTGGTATCCGAGCAAAACCTGCGCTTGATTGCCACACCGTCATGTTCAACATTATTATGTACAAATAGATGCTTCCTTCATACAATGGAAGACTTGATTGTGGATGAGTTTATTAGTAAATATTTATGTTATAGTATTTGAAAAAACAAAAAGAAAAATGTCATGTCAGCATGATTATCTCTGTAAAATAAGTATTCTTGAAAAGATTATACAGAATTATACTTCTGAGTTGTGAAATTATACATATTTTCCTGTTTATAACTTCCTATGTCTTTCAGTTTTTAAGTGTAAATAAGGGGTATTTTGGTAATAAAAATTAAAAATAAAGGAAACTTTTTTGCTAAAAAAATTAAAATTAGGGACTAGAGGTGTGGTTCATAGGTAGATCACATATGGCATAAATGGAGGGCCCTGCATTCAGTTGGCAGCACCAAAAGCAAAATGAAAACATTAAAGCTATACATCTGGTTTGAAGCAGCACAGCCTCTCAGAGTAGTGGCCTGAAATATGCACTCAGGACAGACAGTTGATGACAAGATCCGGCAGAGCATAGTGTGTCAGACTGTGGCTTAGGAAAATTCATAAGCTGGGGTGCAGCTCAAGGATAGGGCACCTGCCTGGCATGCTCAGGACACTGTGCCCATGCTAAACACAATGAGAGACGGACAGAAGGAAGGTAGAGAGAAGATATGGAGGTAGGTGGATGATAGATAGATAGATGTGATAGACAGGCAGAAAGACAGACAGACAGATACATAATACATACACTGATAGACAGGTAGACAGACAGATACATACATACATACATACATACATACATACATTGATAGACAGACAGACAGACACATTGATAGATCACAGTCAGACAGCTTTTGTTTCTTGGTATATTCATTACTTTAACTACTAGTACTCAGCTTGTCTCTAATGTGGTATAATTATCCTTGCCCTTTCAGTTTGAGAGTAACAACTTACACCATCTTGTTCTGAAGATTTGTCAAGGTCGTGTCACTCCCATATCGCCCCACTTTTCCCCTGACCTACAGTCCTTGATACCTCAGCTCTTTAAAGTGTGTCCTCAGGATCGACCATCCGTTAACTCTCTTTTGAAAAGGCCTTTTTTAGAAACTCTTATTGCCCGACACTTCTCTCCTGAGGTATGTTTGGGGGTGACTCCAGGTTTTGGTAGAGATTTTAGATGATCAGTCATTGACACATATATTTGATTTTAGGTCCATTCAAGAAGAATTCAGTCCCATGCTTGCATGCAGAACGCAGCTATCGGCCTCACATCTCGCTGGGGAGGTAGTCCATGGTAAGGATCATGTAGCCATGTACTTAAAGAGCATCTGTTCTGTCTGGGAGTGGAGCTTCGTGGAATACTACTTAACTAGCTTGCACAAGACCCGGAATTCAGCCCCAGCATCAGATAAATGAAATAATAAAACCCCCTAGTCAGTTCTTAGCAGGGCGTCACCACACCTGTGATCCCAGCACTTGGAAAACTGCGGCAAAAGGATCACAACTGGTAGGCCTACCTAAGCTATGTCTGACCCTGATGAAGAAAAGCCCAAAGTTATCTTGTGATACCCTGTCAAAAACAAGCCCAAAGACTAACTCTTTGGGGTTAGTGGTGTTTCTCAGTGGTTAGCCCTTGACTGGCATGCAAGATGCCCTGGTTCAATGTTTAGCATTGAAGAAACAGAAAGAGGAGTATCTATATCCTTGTTTGATTCATAAGTGTCACTGGGTTTTCACACCACTGTGTAGGCTGTGATTGTCTCAAGCTTTATTGAGATTCCAGCACCCTAATTGTGTCATGTAAAAAAAAAGCATTTATTATGTGTGTATCACACCATGAGTTTTGACAAATTGCTCATACTCATGGAAGAAATTCCGGTAACTGTGATGAATGTGGGCAGTTAGAAAATATAAGTGTATCAACAACCCTGAAATCATCTGCTTACGTGGGTAGAAATGATGTTCCTAAGAAGTTGTCTATCTAGCTCGGAGGTGACCTGGGGAACTCAGCTCCTTTCTTCTCCTTAGTCAGGAAACTGTCACAGAACATGACTTGCTAGTACACATGCTTGATGTGGCTAAATCAGAGCTTATTTTTTGTTGACGCGAAGTGATGGGGGGTCCGGAGGAGACCAGAGTAGACTATGTGTAGATCATGAGTTATTGTGCTCTCATGGGGTGATGTTTATTCTGTAACAGAAAGGTGCACTGCCCATTGAGACTTACTTTGCAAAGCCCATTGGAGCTGAAGTTTGGATCTTGGACCTAATAAAAAGTAGTGTGAGAACTCAGATGTAATTCAAAGAATGCAGGTAGTGTTTGGTGGGGATAATAAGTAAGGAGAACAAATCAGTCAGGTATCAAGAATCAGCTGAAGCTCTGGGGTGCTCAGTGGAGAGTTTGAAGCTAATCTGGAATACATAAGACTCTTTCTAAAAAAATAAATAAAAATTAAAATGCAGTTATTGCTATAAATATATAAAATAATACTAGAAGCATATTTTTTTCTATTCAAGACATATGCTATGGTACTTTGTCATTGTTTTTCTTCCTGGTGTAGACCATCAAAGCCAACTGACTTTCCATGGGACACAGCTCACTTGTTCTTATGTCAATATTAGTGGTCTGGAATTTTTTTTTAAATATTTATTTATTATGTGTACAATATTCTGTCTGTGTATATATCTGCAGGCCAGAAGAGGGCACCAGACCTCATTACAGATGGTTGTGAGCCACCATGTGGTTGCTGGGAATTGAACTCAGGACCTCTGGAAGAGCAGGCAATGCTCTTAACCACTGAGCCATCTCTCCAGCCCTGGAAAATTTTTAAACACTCAAATTGTTTCATTTTGGTTTTAAATTATTCTAATCCAGGGCTTTGAGCATTCTTTAAAAAGATAAGGATAGTTGTCACGGTGGTGCGGGCCTGTAATCCCTTCCTCTGGGAGATAGAGGCAAGAAGATTGTGAATTTGAGGTCCATCTGGGCCACCTAGAGACTGGTCTTACACAATGGCATGAGAGAAGGGGGAGGCAGAAGGAAGGACATAGGTGTAAGTCTGACAGTGATTTGACCAGACCTAACCGGGATGTGCTGACAGTCTCCTTAAATGTCCCCACAGGGCGTAGCATCACCTCCTCATTCATTTAGAAGGAAAAGGGCTGGACCACATCCTGCTCTCTGGAGCTTCTGTGTGTGCAGGGAGCAGACAAGCAGCATGTAATGGGGGAGCAGTGAACCGTGGGTTAGTCATCCCACAAAACTGGAGAGAAGCCAGGCCTGGCTCTGTTTCCTTCCCCTCACCAAATCTGAGGACAGGAAGACCAGATCCTGCCTGGAGAAAGTCATTAGGTTAGAGAATCTTTTCAGCACCCCTAACTGAGGCTCCCCCACTTCCTTTTAAAGTTAATCCTGTGCATGGGTGTACATGGAGATCAGAGACAGTTTGCAGGGGTGGCTATTCTTTCCTCCATGTGGGCACCAAGCATTGAAGTCGATTGTCAGGCTTGGCGGCAGGCACCCTTACCCACTGAGTCTGTTCATGAAGAGCCCTCTCTGCTTTTGGGGATTTCTAGGCAATCTGTGCCATTCTATGGTTTGCAGTAGCAAAACTCTTATCTTCATCTTTTCTTTCTTTCTTTCTTTCCTTCCTTCCTTCCTTCCTTCCTTCTTTTTATTTTTTTTTTCAAGGCAGGGTTTCTCTATGTAGGCCTGATTGATCTGGAACTTGCCCTGCAGACCAAGCTGGTCTCAAACTCACAGAATGCTGGGATTAAGGGTGTGCACCACCATCACCTGCTTTTAATCTTCACCTTTATCACAAGGTGTCTGCTCTGGGTCTCCTCATATACTCATTTTCATTCCTTTTAAAAAGCATTTTATTTATTTATTTTTCCTCTTGATTCCAAAGCTTTTCTCTCCTGATGTTGCATTCTGTAACTTTGAACTTCATACTACGGATGAATTAAGAGTTCTATCACTGAGGTGAAAACCCACCCACCAATTTGGTACCTGAGATGGTTAGTGAGAATACTTACGGGCTGGAGGATTGGAGTTGAGCATTAGAACATGCGCCAATCCCCACCACCACAAAAGACAAAAGAAAGGGAGAGAGGGAGGGAGGGAGGAAGGAAGGAGAGAGAGAGAGAGAGAGAGAGACAGAGAGAGAGAGAGAGAGAGAGAGAGAGAGAGAGAGGGGATTATGTCCAAATGGAACATTTTATTTTCTCAGGTCTGCTGCATACCTTCAGAGGAGACTTGAAGCTCAGCAGTATAAGTTAAAAGTGGAAAGACAATTGGTGAGTGAGACTCCAACTGTGCTCAAGGGTTTCCTCAGAGTTTCTCTGCCCTCAGACATCAATGTGTCCTAATTCATTCTGCTATAAAACCAAGGCCACTTTCACCTTTTATTTATAGACATAATCTCGCTATACAGCCCAGGATTGGCCCAGACTTCATTATGTACAGCAAGCCGACTTCCAGCTCTTGCTGAACCTCCTGCCTCAGCCTCCTGGTGGGGAGTACAGGCATGGGCTACCAGGCCTGGCTTCTATTGCTCCTCTTTTGAATTGTTCAGCTGTACAAGTTCTTATTGTCGCTATCACACCCCAGGGTTGCTAAACCTCAGAGGAGCTTGACCTGACAGCCACAACTGACCAGTTCAGCAAATGGACCCAAGTCATAGCATGAAAACAACTGTTGCTTAGAAACAACTTCAAAATGCTGTTGAAAGCATTTCATATTTCAGTTAAGACAGTTCTGCTCCTCGCTAAGCAATCTCCCGTGCAGACTGCTTGGTGATGTACTTCTTGTCTCGAGAAAACAGTCTGGATTAAGCCAGAATATGCAAGTAGGCCTTTATAAATTCTTTTTTTTCATAAACAGGGTCTTCGTCCATCTTCTGCTGAGCCACATCCCAACGAGAGAGAAAACTTACAAAGCCACAGAGAGGAGACTAAACTCCAGGAGCTTCGGTATAGGAAGAACAAAATGAAGGACCAGGTTTAAAATTTCCAGTTCTACCATTGTGTGTGTGTGTCATGGTCTTTCACACTGCAGACTTTTCTGCCATATGTCATCTTTGCTTCCAGCATCCCTGTGGACACAGGGAGCTGAGTATACAAAACATTTGATAAAGTGATTTTTTTATTACGTCTTTTACGACTATTGATGAACTACAGTAAAAGGGATAGCTTAAAACAGCAGTAACATCAGTTTGTGCTTTTGGAGGCTGAAGACCAGAACCAGTGTGGGTCGTCATGGGCTCGAGCCTAGAAGCCTGTACACAGTAGGGTTGCTGGCTTCTGGAGGAGGTGTATTGTCTTGGCTGTTCGTGTGTGTGTGTGTGTGTGTGTGTGTGTGTGTGTGTGTGTGTGTGCTGGGATCTAGGCATCAGGAGTTATGATGTTTAAGGTGCTTCTTGGTGTATATTTCGGGTGTAGTCTTTATCAGATAGATGCTCAGTTCTTTATTACTGTTGGTCAATCTGAGTCCTAGCCGCGGGTGATGGTTGTGGAGTCTCTGGAAGGAAATGCTGAGAGAGGCTGTGGGGAAGAACCAGAGAGACCCTGGGTTTGCACCAAGAGGCTGAATGCCAAGAGGATGGAGATGATCTGGGAGGAGGGGTTCCTGAGTGCAGGCTGCTGCAGGACTAGGAGTAAGTCTGGAGAGGCTGTAATGGAGGATAGGAAGGAGGATGAAGGTCCCCTACCTGAGTCCCAGCCTAGTCTGGCAGCGTTGGGTTCCTGGTGGAGAGAGGATCTGTGGATAGGTAGAGTCACAAAGGACTGGAGATGGTAGAAGGAAGGGCTGAAAGGTGTTTTCAAGAAGAATTAGAGGGACCCTGGGTCCACACCAAACAGCCAAGTCCCTAGTGGATGGGAGTGGGCTGTGCTCATCTTCTCAAAAGGCATCTATTAATATTCATTAAGGGGCACACTCTATCCCAGCACAACTTCACTTTAACTAATTACATCTGCAAAGACCCTGTTTCCAAACACATCCCATTCTGGGGCAATGGGTGATAAGACTTCTGTGGATGTGGTGATGGTGATGATGGTGATGACGGTGATGATGATGATGATATTGCATCTGATGTTGGTAATAATGATAGTGATGATGATGATGGATGTGGTGATGATGATGGTGACAATGATGGTGATGATAATGATGATGAATGGTCTGCATGATACCCAGGCTACTCATGAACTCTTAAGCTCAAGTAATCCTCCCATCTCACCCCTCCCTGTAGGTAGGACTAAAGGTGTGCACACCAGCTTCTACACATCTTTTGAGGGGCAACATGTTCAACTAATGCAAAAACTGAATATACAGAGTAGCTGCATGTGATTTGGAATTGTAATAAAACAAAGGTCTCTGTCCCATACTAGTGTATTCTTCCCAAGCTATGAAGTAGCACAGCCAAAGTGAGCATATCAGTGCATTTAGAAGCAACTAGTTTTCTAATAATTACTTATATTACATATTTCAAAATTTTAGGCTTTGTAGAGATTATTTTCAAGTTTTAGATTGGTTTTGCTTTTCAGGAATATTGGAAACAGCTGGAGGAAATCCGCCAACAGTACCACAGTGACATGAAGGAAATTAAAAAGAGGATGGGGCGAGAGCTGAAGGTAAAGTCAGTCTATTAGAGTGAACATTAGTCTATTGATTTAGAGGTGACAAAATGACTAGATAGTAAAAGCAATTTAATATTTAAAACTAGGCTGGCAGCTTTGGGTTCCTGGTGGAGAGAGGTTCTGTGAGTAGACAGAGTCACAAAGGACTGGGAACAGTAGAAGGAAGGGCTGAAAGGTGTTTCCAAAACACAAGCAGCCAAGACCCAAGAGTGGGCTGTGTATACATGCAAGCATACACATGCACACACACATACATGTACACATACACATGTTCATTTACACACATGAACATGCACCTACACACACGTCTACACACAAGCATGCAAGCATGCACACATGTACACACACACTCACATCCACACGCATGCATGTAAGCATGCACACACAAACATAGACTCACATACACACACATTCACACACATGCCCATGCATCCAAGCATGCACACAAGCCCACACATACACACATGGATACACACTCATGTATACACACACAGAGACACATATACACAGAAACATGGACACGTGAGGAGAACACAATCTCCTCACAGGAAATGAGAAAGAGGTGATCCTTGGGTTTCTTTCTCCATAGGAAAGCTGTCAGACCTCACAGAAGATTAGCATGATGGTTTACTGGAGGCCACACATGATGATGACAAGATGTGAGGTCTTAATTAGGAAGTACTGTTCTTTAAAATACATATTGTCTTCCTCGTGATCAGAAAGCCAGTGTTTACTGAGCAGCTGCCTTAGGACAGAACTGGATAGATGCAGAAAGTCCAAAACGAGTATAGTCTCATGGCCATAAGGGGAGTGAAAAGGGCCAGAGGCTATGAGCAGGGGCTCCAAGTCTATGTGGTCATGTGCAGTGTCACTTTTCCTTTTGGGGGGATACTATATTGGTAATAATATATAACGATATATTATATTAGCAATGACTTTTAAGTTATCACAGGGCATAATGGCTTCTGGAGGAGGCATATTGTCTTGGCTGTCCTTGGCTTGTGTAGGGATCTACACATATGGAGTTATGATATTTGAGGTTAATGATATACCATGTAAAAAATGGTGGTCTCACAAGACTCTATTGTCTGATGTCACTGCACCTTAGTCTGTATACGTACATGCTATGGTGCTCATATTTCCCAGAACATCTTTCATTTGCGAGACTATGTAAGGCAAAGTCTGGCTCACAGCTGACGTCATTCTTAAAAACCCCACAATGGTGCTGCACTTCCCAGGCTTCTGGAATGCTGCAGATGGCCATCTTTTCAGGAGATGACTTAGCCAGCCTGCATTTGACCTGCTGTGTGAAAACATGCAGGTATTGTGACACTATGAATCCTCGCCACACCTTGGATGGCTCCTTTTCTGAGGTCTGCTGGGCTCTGCAGACGCTGCCTGGCCCTTCCTTGAATAGACCTACCATGCTGCTGTGGCAGATCTGCCACCTCCAGCCTTCCTCACCTCCAAGTGCATGTGCAAACATTAGTACAAGTGAGCACAAGTGGAGATTTTACAGTGCACCTCATTTATGTCCTACCACAGAAAACTCTAACTCATCCAAAGTCACTTAGCAGTTCGAAGGCTAGCTAGGGGATGCCTCTGGCACATCTGCTTCCCAGCAGATAGAATTCTACTCACAAGGACACATGTATGACCTAATGAAATGAGACTGCCATAGCCAAGCCTCCTAGGTGCATAGGAGCAAAGATGAGATGACTGAGGAGAAGGAAGGCTTCTGTGGAAGAGTTGAAGGACAGAGGGCGGGGGCTGGACCAAGAAGAGGGGTGGACTTTAGATGGTCTGAGCTAAGCGGCCTGTTCTAAAGGAGCCACACAGAGGCCTGTGCTGGCGGTAAGGGGTGAGTCTCTCTAGGGCAGCACTTCATTCATGGTAGGGAGCCTGTGCCACCATCAGCCTTATGTTTGGTGGCTCTGCAATGGGAAGTCTGAATCCAGAAAAGCGGACTAGCAGGCGCTCCTCCCTCCTTCTCTGTTTCCTACCTTTATTTGGGGTACTGGGGATCAAACTCAGGTTGTGCGTGCAGCCAGGGCCAGCAAGCAGGCATTTCTAGAGTCCGTGAAAGAAGCATTTGATGAGAACTAAGTCAATTCCAAGGTACAGGAGGAACCAAGAGAGCTCTGAGGTGTCTGTGACTAGCTCTTCGCCCTCTCAGAGAGGGACAGACAGTAAGTAGCCTACAGAGCCAACCTCATTGACTGTGTGTGTAATCTGTATTCAAGGAGAATGCAGACCTCAGACATAAAACCTATTTGGTGAAGAGGAGTCACCTGCCTGCCCACCCTGACATTCCTGAGGAAGAGGCCTCGGTGCAGGTAGAGATGCTATTGCTAGGGGTGTGAGAGCATTCCAGTGAGGGCGTTCCCATCTCAGGGGTCATCTGACCCCTGGCTGAGCCTGCGTAGTGGGGTGGGGACCTTTTCCAAAGCTCAGGTGCTATCCTGTCATTTCCTTTCCTGTCCCTCCCACCCTTCACTCATCATCTCTAGGCGGCTGCTCGTGAGCTTTCTGCCACAATCGTCTAGTCTTCACTTTCTAGACGGGAGCACAGCACATAAAAGCCACCATCCCTTAGGGTCCCCTTTCATCTGGCTTCTTTCATGCAACAGGAAGCATCATTAGGCTAATCGTGTTGAGTTTCACCTATGGTGTTCATAGAGTTTATCATCCCTGGTCCCTGCTGAGCATATCCCATTGTATAATATATCAAAATTTGTTCTCAATTCAACTATGAATGGATATTTACATAGCTTTGGCTATTACAAACAGCTGGGACCATGATGAGCAAATGTTGCCCCCATATATGTAGGGGTACCATTTCCCTTATTTCTCAGGGACCGGGTTTACAACTAGTCCTGAAGCTCACTGTTGAGGCTGTGACAGCTGTCCAGCGAGCTCCAGGATCAGCCTGTTTGTTTCCCACGGTTGCAGTTCCAGGCAGACACAGCCATTCCCAGTCTTTTATGATGAGGAGAGGAGTTCCAGTGCAGGGCCTCGTGCTTCAGCAGGAAGGGAGCTTACCTGACAAGCCATCTCCCAGCCCTAATAGGCAAGTCTTAAAGTGATAGGCACATCTGTTCTTTCTTTAGAAATACATACAATGGAAAAAGACTTTTATATTGGATACTAATGATCTTTATATGTGTGCTGTCAGCATGAATTGATCTCAGGGGCTGTAATTTGAAGGTTTTACTGAATTGATAAACTAAGGTTTTTTTCTTGTTATTCTAGAAAGGAGTAAAGTTTGAAATTAGCCTAGATAAATGTATTTCTGGGGATGACAACATCCAAGAGAATGAGGTATGCCATTATGTACACATTGCCCTGATCAGCTATGATGAAGAGAGTTTTTCTTCAGGTTCATGAAATTGTTATACGGGCTATAATGAGAATTTCCTAAATACACTTAGAAGCATGGAGTCTGATGCTTAAATGAACCTTCCAAAGACTTCTTATCTTTTCATGTAAAAAGATGAGACTATTTCCCTGGATGAATCATTCTACTATAATTTATGTTTCTTTAATAAATAAGTTATTTTCCTGATAATGTTAACTTTTTATTATTGCCAATTAAAAAGCCTGGTATATAGTCAACAGTTAATATGCTGATTTAAAAATCTTTGAGCAAGTAATGTGAAAGTGTCATTTATTTTGGGTCTTGATTACTTTAGGTCTAATAACTTTGCAGCTACCTTTGGATAAATCTCAGTTGTGCATCTGGACTCCCCTTGATGTGGCAATAAGTGCTCATGTGCAGAAACACCCGGATTTCATTTTATTACTTACTGTTAATCCCTTTTATTATTTCAACTTTCTTCAGAACTTCTAACAAATGTCAATTCCAACATTAACCGATTTATTTTTTCCATTTTATTTCCTCTGTATTCATCTTTTAGATTATTAAAAGTTAAATATGAACATCATACCTGACGCTCATTTTGTCTGTGGGCCGCTAGAGATTAGAACTTATGTACTGTGCAAGGAAAATTCTCTGTCACTGGGCTATCCCCAGCCCTCTCACAGTCACTGAGATAGCCTCAGCCCTCTCATGGTCACTGGGCTATCCCCAGCCCTCTCATGGTCACTGGGCTATCCTCAGCCCTCTCATGGTCACTGGGCTATCCCCAGACCTCTCATGGTCACTATCCTCTTAAGTCTTGGGGGCTGGGAATGCAGGTCAATGGCAGAGTGTGCTAACCTGTGTAGCAGCCAGGGTTGAGCCCTCCCAGTTTTTATGTCACTGTAGCTTTACAAATATTTTGTACTTAGTGACTTCATTAGCATGGTGGGAGCGAGTGTTTACTCAACCATTTGGTCTCTAATGCCCCAGAGCTGTGGGATCTGAGCAGAAAAGCTCTGGGGAGGGACACATCACATGACTTCCATGATGTGAGATGCTGAGGTTGGCCTGAAAAAACGGCTTTAGCTGCTAGGGTGGTCTTCCTTTTTTAGTTTTCTGTTCCTGAAAACAAAATGACCATTTTAGTATTGGTGATAGAATATGAGGGGCAGTTTTAGGACCTAATCAACTTGGTTGTAAAGTTTGGTGCACTTGGTGTCCATGGTGTCAGCTACTGAGGAGGCTGAGGGAGAATGAGGGAGGATGAGGTAGGGAATTCCAGAACACCGCGGGTAGCATCGTGAGGCCCCAGCTTAGGAAGAAAAATAAGGGAGCTGGAGAGAGGGCTCAGTGCTTAAGAGCAGTAGTTTCTCTTCCAGAGGACCTGGGACATTTGATTCCCTGCGCATATGACATCCCACCGTAATTTCTAATGCCAGTTCCAGGGGATTTAGCACCCTCTTATGGTCATCTTGGGCACCAGACACACAAGTGATATATAGACATACATGTAGATAAAACACTCGTACACCTGAAACAAAAGTGAGTAAATACTTTTTAAAAAGAAGAAGACTTTTGTGTTGGATCCCGAGAATAGGAGGTGGATAAGGAAACCCTGAAGGGGAGTGTAATTCAGAAGGTAGAAATCAAGTTGTTCCGTGATCGGGCTGGCTGCCATTTGCAAGAAGAGATGAAAACATTGCTGTTTCTGTCTCAGTCAAAATGGTTTCACTTTTAAAATTATATGGATTTGTTTAACAGATATCTATATCTATATTATATATATGCATGTATACAGATACGTACATTACACACCATGTAGCTTGAAAATGAATATTTGGGGACACACACATATTAATGCATTTAACTCCCAATATGGCTTTTTACTCATGAAAAAATTGTGAAATTTCTTTAGGTAATGGATAAACTAAATGACACTTTGAGCTTTGAAGATGGCATGAAGTTTCAGGAGTACAGACCTATAAAGGAGCATGAAGATTACACAGACAGAGCCTTTGAAGAACTCTATGGCCCAGAAACAGGTACATGTTGCTTGAAAATAGTGGAGGAAAGGGGAATTTTTCATTGCAATCATCTCCAACTCTCTCCATTGCACTCTTGGTTCTTTCCCTGCACACACTCTTCATTTAGCATTACACACACACACATGCGCACACACACGCACACACGCGCACACAGAGCAAGTACCTCAACCTCAGCATCTTCCTCCTTCCCAGAGACCTTTGCTTCAGATCAAGGCATTGCTCCTTCTCCACACGCAGGGCTTCTCCTCCTCAGAGATACCTCTGAATTTTTCCTCTGCCTCCATGTCTTCTGCTGCTAGGTAGGACTCTGTCACTCTTGAGCACTGTGGCGACATAGGAAACCATGCATAATCCAGGGTTCTGGAGCCAGTGGTAGTCTGAATCCTGGCTGGCACTGGGGTTTCTGGTCATGGGGCATTTCTTCTTTTGCAAGTTACTTTCATGTTCTAAATCCCCTTTTTCCTCTTTGAGGTATAGGAAACATCAGTAATAATAACCACACAGGGTTGCTATAGTAATAAGAGTGATATAGGATATGTACAAGGTACCTGCCTAAATGATAGGTGCCTAATAAATAATTTTCCCTTAATAAAAAATGATTGATTGATTGATTGATTGACTTTTATACATGTGTGCCTGCAGGGGGTTTTGTGCACCTCTTGCATGAAGGTGCTGGTGGAGGCCAGAGACAGATCCCCTGGAATTTCAGGAGGTTGTGAGCCACCTGATGTGGGAACCCAGAGTCAAGGCAGCAGGAGTGTGAAGCCTCTCGTCACACCACATCTACACTCAGAAGCAGGTGTAGCTGCTGCTCAGATCACTTTCTCTACTCAAATATAATCAGGAGCCAAACCTAGAGAGCTGTGCTGCCCACAGTCTGCAGAGTTCTTCCACATCAATTGAGGAAATAAAGAAGGTTCCCAACAGACATGCCCAGACTCAGACAGTCCCTCGCTGAGGCTCTATTCCACTTGATTCTTCATCATATCAAATAGACAATTAAAACTAAGCATTGCATTGGGAAAAATCTGATCCTAAACAATGATACTACAAAACAAAATTTTAAAAAATCACATGTAAGATTACATATTTGAAAATGAAGTAAAAGAATGTGTATATACATATTTTCTTAAATAGGGAAGAACTGGTTCTTCTTTTTTTTAATTAATTTTTATTGAGCACTACATTTTTCTCTGCTCCCCTCCCTTCTTCTTCCCTCCCCTTCAACCATCTCCCAAGGTACCTATGCTCCCAATTTACTCAGATCTTGTCTTTTCTACTTCCCATGTGGATAAGATCTATGTAAGTCTCTCTTAGAGTCCTCATTGTTGTCTAGGTTCTCTGGGATTGTGATTTCTAGGCTAATTTTCTTTGCTTTACGTTTAAAAAACATATGAGTGGGTACATATGATAATTGTCTTTCTGTGTCTGGGTTACCTCACTCAAAATGATGTTTTCTAGCTCTACCCATTTGCCTGCAAAATTCAAGATGTCATTTTTTTCTGCTGTGTAGTACTCCATTGTGTAAATATACCACATTTTCCTTATCCATTCTTCCATAAAGGGGCATTTAGGTTGTTTCCAGGTTCTGGCTATGACAAACAAAGCTGCCGTGAACATAGTTGAGCACATGTCCTTGTGGCACAATTGAGCATCCTTTGGATATATACCCAAAAGTGGTATTACTGGGTCTTGAGGAAAGTTGTTTCCTAATTTTCTGAGAAATCGCCCTACTGATATCCAAAGGGGCTGTACCAGCTTGCATTCCCACCAGCAATGCAGGGGTGTTCCCCTTACCCCACAACCTCTCCAGCATAAGTTGTCATCAGTGTTTTTGATCTTGGCCATTCTGACAGATATAAGATGGAATCTCAGAGTTGTTTTGATTTGCATTTCTCTGATGACTAAGGATGTTGAGCATTTCCTTAGGTGTCTTTCAGCCATTTTAGATTCCTTTGTTGAGAATTCTCTGTTTAAGTCAGTACTCCATTTTTTTACTTGTTCTTTTGATGACCAATTTCTTGAGTTCTTTGTATAATCTGGAGATCAGACCTCTGTCTGATGTGGGGTTGGTGAAGATCTTTCCCCATTCTGTAGGCTGCCATTTTGTCTTGCTGATCATGTCCTTTGCTTTACAAAAGCTTTTCAGTTTCAGGAGGTCCCATTTATTGATTGTGAGCACCCCACCCATGATGCCATCCCTGGGCAGTGGTTTTGGGAGGCAGAAGGAAGGAGGCTGAATGTGAGCTGAGAAAGCACTCTTCCATGACCTCTGCTTCAGTGCCTGCCTGGAGCTCCTGCCGTGACTTCCTTCGTGAGGAAGTGTTTCATGCTGGAAGATGAGATAAACCCTTTTCTCCAACAGCTGCTTTTGGCCATGGTGTTTGTTACAGCAACAGAAAGCAAATAAGGACAGTACCTAAGAATTGCTCGGTGCTGTCATCATTCTCTGGCTGCCATGGAACTAATGAGTTATTGTCTTACACCCAGAGGGCTGCCACTTTTCTGAGATCATCTCTGTGGAGAACAGGAGGCGGTGGGATGCCCGAGCGCCTCAGACTCTGCTGCAAATAATGGCAACAGCGGATGTCACCTCCACCTGCCCCACCATGCCTGAGGGTGAGTCTTGGGTCGGTTAGCGTTGGCCGGGGCCTGGCACAGCTGTGCTCCCAGCACACACTTATTGGAATACTTGTCACTTCTCAGTCACTACACGTTTGACACAGACGTTGTTTGGGCCTCCGGAGAATCAAGTAGAGACTTGGCTTCTAGTTATCCTAGCAGTTGATGATGCTGGTCATGCAAAAGGAAAGGAAGAAAACCACACCTGCTGTCTTTCCTGAAGTGAGAGAGGGGAAACAGGAGGGTGTCTTCTGGACTTAATTCCCACACCAGCCTAATTAGAGCCTTGTCATTTCATCGACGGTTTCTTTTACCCCTCAGTAATAAAATTGGTCTTCGGGTTAGGGATGCAACTCTGCTGTCAAGAGCTCGTCTAGCATGCACAGGTCAAGCTCCAGCAAACAGGTGGTCGTGTTTATGCAACAAGCAGTTTTCACTACTGACTCAACCCCCAAGCCCTTGGAAGTCATCTTAATAAACAGGGAGGTTTTTTATTGCTCACTTCCTTTGTTCCTTCTTATCGCATAACCCTGAGAACAGGTTAAAGTTTAAAACCATGGTATAAGGTGAGTGAACAACCACCTATGTCCTTGGACTCAATTATCCCAAATGGAAATATTCAGAACAAAAGCTTTGTCTATGCTGAACACATACGGATGTCTTCTTGTCCTCGTTCCCTAAGTAGTGCAGTATAACAATGATTGTGCAGCATTTGCATTGTGTTATGCTGGGCAAGTCACCTAGGGTTGATTTAAAGCCTATGGAATAGGCTGGAGAGATGGCTCAGCAGCTCAGTTCCCAGCACCCAACTATGGTAGCATGTAACTTGGGCTGTAGGAGACCTAACCTCTTCTTCTGACCTCCTGAATACTGCAACCACATGCACAAACCAACACCCTCACACATATACACATAATTACTAAAAATAATAAAAATTAATTCTTATAGAATAAAGTGTGCTGGTCATTAGACATGGTGGCACATGCTGTAATCTCAACATTTGGGAGGGAGGGATGGAGACCAAGAGTATCAGGAGTTCAAGATCACCCTCAGGTACATAGTCAGCTCAAAGCTAGTGTAAACTGCATGAGACACTGTCTCATCCCCACTCCTATAAAAGTTTGTGGGGGGGGCTGGAGAGATGGCTCAGTGGTTAAGAGCACTGCCTGCTCTTCCAGAGGTCCTGAGTTCAGTTCCCAGCAACCACATGGTGGCTCACAACCATCTGTAATGAGATCTGGTGCCCTCTTCTGGCATTCAGGCATACATGGAGGCAGAATGTTGTATACATAATAAATAAATAAAATCTTAAAAAAAAAAAAAAAAGTTTGTGGGAAGGTGTGCATAGCTTTTATGCAAATAGTGCCTATTGCCTGTAAACTATTGAATCATACACATATTTGAAAATATTTTAATTTTATTACCTTTAATTATGGACCATTGTGTCTGTGTGTGGATATACACATGAGAAGTGTCTGTGGAGACCAGCCATTAGCATCTCCCTGAAGCTGGAGTTACAGGTGGTAGAAAGAGACCATGTGGGAAGCAAACTTGAATCTTCTCCAAGAGCTGCAAGTGCTTTCAATTGCTAAGCCATTTCTCGAGCCCGCATGCACAGATTTTTATATCATTGGATGCATTCTAATTAATCTGCTTTGGGTGCCAAGAGATAAGTGTATCATGAAAGTGAGTTAATGTAGTGTATGAGCTGACTTATAATTCTGGAAGACCAAGGGTGAACTCAGCTTAAAAAATAAGCACATGGAAACTCATCCCAGTGCACACAGTAAAATATGACTCTTCTCATCAACACGTGACAAAAAGGCAGTAAAGTTGCTTTTATGCCGGTCTCTTTATTAATAAAATGGGGAATGTGATTACATCCATGGTTCTAACATTTTATGGTCTTAGAGAAACTGAACAAAGAAGCACCTTTATGTTTGCTAATGCAGTATCCTTTGTAGATGGCCAAGTTGTTGTGATGGAAGGTAGTCCAGAAAGTGGGAAGCAGTGGTGGTATGTACCAGGGACCTCGAGTGCTTTGGCAGCAGCCCATGCCTGCAGTAATTCACTGTCAGCCAGGGAAGGAGAGCCTGGTATGTAGATTATTTCTTACTAAGCTACCGGTACCCCATGGAGTTATGGCGATGCTTTGTGAGTGCAGAAAGGTGCTAACAGTATATTTGCCGTGCGAGAGAACTGGGAACATGTCTTGCCCTGTCTGATTTGTTCCCAAACTGTTTCCAAGTGATGTAACAAATGGCATGAACTTCCAAGGACAGAGGCATAATTTTGTGTAGCATTGGAAGGTGACAACTGAATCTGATAGGTATTCAGGGGCTCACTTTATTTTCCTATGGGCAATGAGAATGCAAACCAACATAGTTCGTTTTGTTTTGTTTCCACTGTATTTTGTTTTTAAAGAGCACACGCCACTTTGTAGCTCTGGACAGCTGGATAGCCTGGAACTCTTTGTTATGTAGACCAGGCTGGCCTTGAACTCACAGGGATCCATCTTCCTCTACCTCCTGAGTGGTCTTCATTTTTAAAGCAACACCCATCCCTTCCTTCTCACCAGAATCTTAGTGTTGTCCAAGAAAACGTCAAGCTTATAGGCACAAGTGATCTTCCTGCTTCTTGAGTAGCTAGGATGACAAGTACACATCATTACATACAGATACAATATATACTATATGTTATATATTATTTTTCATTTTTTACTGTTTTTATTGAGCTATATATTTTTTCTACTCTCCTTCCTTCCTCCCCCTATATGATTATATAACTTCCTCTCTCTCTCTCTCTCTCTCTCTATATATATATATATATATATATATATATATATATATATAATCTCACATGATACACACACTATATATATATATATAATCTTACATGATTCTCTCTCTCTCTCTCTCTCTCTCTCTCTCTCTCTCTCTCTGTGCCTGTGCTTCCTGAGTACTGGAATTAAAGGCATGTACTACCGCACCTGACTAATCCATATTATAATCCATATTATATTTTTATTATCAGATTTTCTTAATTGACTCAAAATGGCTACCATATGATTCTTCATCTTTGTTTAGATTCATTACTAAGTGATTTATTTTCCGCTGAATCAAAACATAATTTCCTATGTTACAGTTTAACTTTCTCCTGGGATGTTTACATCTGTGTTATTGTTTAACTTTTTCCCTAGGAAGTTTACACTAAATTCATTCTGGGGGCATCAAGCATAGGTTAGGCATGGTGTTGTATAACTGTGGCCCTATCATTTTGGAAATAGAGGCTGGAATACCTTGTGTTTGAGATAGCCTGTTAGAAATGGGTTTGAGGATTCCAAGAAAATGACTGCATGACTTAAATTATTTCAGTAAAGCGAAGTTTTTAAGGATGGTTCAATTTTGGCAGATCTTAAGTTTTGATACTCATACTTTTAAAATTTTTATGCAACCTTCAAATGGGGTAATTTTGTCTCTTCCTGTCTGAACCTTATCATGATACTCATTTTTTTTCTTGTGTTGCCTACTTTTAGTACAGCACCAAACAACTGAATATTGCATTAATTGCTTTTCTCATCATTGATACTAAGTACTCAACAAGAAGCAACTTAAGGGACAAAGGACTTTTGGTTCATGATTTGAGGAGCTGCTGTCCATCCAGGAAGGCATGGCGGAAGTCTCTGTGGTGTCAGGAGCGTGTGGCAGCTGCTCGCATACATCTTAGTGCACCAGAGAGCAGAGATGGGACAGGAAGCAGGGCAGGACTATAAAACTCAAGGCTCTTTGCCTAGCAACCCACTTTCCCTATTCAGGATCCACCTCCCAAAGGTTGCACAATGTCACCACGTAGTGCCACCAGATACTGGAGCCTGTGGGGGACATTTCACATCCAAACCACAGCATGTTTCTTTTGGCATCCCTGTCAACATCTTGTTTTGCCATCATGAATGGCATTCACTGTAGGACTGTGGGTATATGTTGTTCATCCAGTGCACAGATGAGTCTACCTTAATCTTTACCATTTCTTTCAGTAGGAATGATAAAACCACAGCTTCCTCAAGCAGACCGGGAAGAGGCAGAAATAGCCTCTGATGTTGTAGTGGATGATGAACAGCTGGATCCAGGATCTGACGGTGATATGTAAGTCAGTCATGCAAGTGAGCTAGAAGATGGCTGTAGAGATCTACCTAAGGAGACAAGGTTTTATAATATAAATGGATTTGTTTGGGCTCTGTCCCCACTTCCCCATCTCTGTGGTGTACATGTGCATACAGAGATGCATGTGTGTCTGTGTCTAACAGAATATGTTTTTCTGCTTTAGGGTTGACTCATAAGCTTGCTTCACAGCAGGGCATATCTATAATACCCAAACTTGAGAGTTACAGGCAGAAAGGCAGGAGGATCAAGAATTCAATGTCAGCTTCAGCTATAAGCAAATTGAAGGCCAGCCCAGGCTATATGGCATCGTATCTCAACTCCCCCACAAAATGATGAATTGCATGATATTAAATATATATGCATGCCAGGTGTTGGTGGTGGCACATGCCTTTAATTCCAGAACTCAGGAGGCAGGCAGAGCACTGTTGAGTTCAAGGCCAGCCTAGTCTACAAAGTGAGTTCCAGGACAGCCAGGGCTGTTACACAGAGAGAAACCCTGTCTTAGAAAACAAAACCACACACACATACACACACACATGCCACATTTTCTTTGTGTATTGATTTTTTATTTGAAACAGAATTGATCTTTCTATGTTGCCAGGCTGATAGACAAATCATTTCAAGTGCCCTTCCTACTTCAGCCTCCCTTGTAGTGGGGAACAGGCATGTTTCACTGTGCCTGGTAGTTTAAAATGAATTTTCTAATAGTTCAAATTTCCTTCTATAGGTACAACTTAACTTTATGGTTGTTATTGATATAGTTTTTGTCTTTTGGCAGCACTAGGGACTGACTGAACCTAGGACTTTTTACATGTTATATATTCATTCTTCCATGTTTTCTTAAAAACCTATCTGGATATGATCTATTGGGTTTTCCACTTAAATGTATATTTTTTACCCAACCAAATTTTTCTTATATCCATATGTTCTTATTTTATTAATTTGAAATGATTTCTGATAATAATTTTGGCAGTACTGAGATTCCAATATAATATCTCATAAATGCAAGGCAATTCTTCTACTATTGTATATGCTGCACATTAATGTGTACTCCCTTTGAGGAAAACTTACCAGCATCTCCCATAGAAATAACCTCCTCTAGAGTTAGTTCATCATCTTCCTTGTTAGTGAAGAATGGAGTTGGGTATCTAGCTCATTGGCAGAGCGTGTACTGAACATGAACAAAGCCCTCATTTGATTCTCAGCACCGAACACTGAAACAATCCAGTTTGTCCATGTCTTTGCACTAGATTTAGTCACATGTTTTCTAATGATAGTTTGTGACCTTATTTTGAAGAGGTATTTTTTCTTCCTTTCCTTTTGTACATTTCTTTCAATGTTTTCTTCTTTAGGTCCTGCTCCATTTGTGACCTTTGGAAAATAAGAAGGGGTTAGAAAAAAATATTCCAGTAATGTGGCTTGTCTATTTTGACCCAATTTGGTGTCTTAGTTCCTGTTCTATTGCTGTGCTAAAACACCATGACAAAGGAAACTTATAAAAGGAAGCATTTAATTGGGGTTTGCTTACAGGTTCAGAGGGGGAGTCTGTGATCTCATGACAGGGAGCATAGCGGTAGGCAGGTAGTGGGAGAGAGGCTAGACCTGGTGTGGGCTTTTGAAACCTCAACAAGGCCACAACTCCTAATCTTTCCCAAGCAGTCCCACCAACTGAGAACCAAACATTCAAATATCCGAGTTTATGGGGTAGGCATTCTCACTCAAGCTACCACACTTGGGAAGAAATCCCACAAGAAATTCGTAAGCTCAGACTTGGTTTTGCTCAGATTTGGAGTTTGAATCACAGCATGGAGACCCCCACACTCAGAAACCAGCATAAAAAATGACATTAAAGGATGTTATTGCTTCTACTATCTCAGAAGAAGTAAGTATAAAACGTTCAGGTGTTATAATGTGCTGAATTTTCTCAGGAGAAATGAAGATGAGTTCATTAAATTAAACTTAAATGTAAAAACAGCATCTAGCCAGATGAGACCCCGTTTTGAAACAAAATAAAATACAGCCACTCAGAATCTACTACAAGAGACTGCAAGCACAAGAAATAGCTGAATTAGGCCTAGGCCATGAAAAACTTCATAATTATGTTGTGAAGATTATATTTTAAGTTATTTAATTAAAACATTTAGGGAGTAGGGGCAGGGAGAACACAGCTCAGTAAAAGAATGCCTACTTAGCATGCATGAGAATTCTTGAAGGAATAATGTAGAGTGACAGAGAAGGACTTCCTCTCATGTGTATAGGCACCTGCCCCTGCCCGCGTCTGCACACACATTCAGTCACAACACTTCCCTCCCCAAGCCAAACTGATACAATCATTTGCTGTCTGATGAAGATCCGACTTGCATAATGCTCAGGTGGAAGCACACAATGAAAAAGGAAACTAGCCGGGCGATGGTGGCGCACGCCTTTAATCCCAGCACTCGGGAGGCAGAGGCAGGCGGATCTCTGTGAGTTCGAGACCAGCCTGGTCTACAGAGCGAGTTCCAGGACAGGCTCCAAAGCCACAGAGAAACCCTGTCTCAAAAAAAAAAAAATTAAAAGAAAAGAAAAGAAAAAGGAAACTAGTTTTTTCTATTTCTGCTTTTACATCACAACACTGATTCTGACTGCTTACTATTTCAGAATATATGAGGAGTCTGAAGATGAGTTGAGAAGTGAAATGATAGAATCCCTAGAAAAACTTGCAACTTCCACAGAAGAAAGGGAAGAGGCTCCCAGCTGCTCCAAGAATGCTGAAAAGCCAGGAGAGAAAGAAAGGCTAAATTTGGCAGCCAGAAACTCCAGTGAAGGTCTGGAGTTTGGCCTGTCTAATCTGCATTGTTAAGACCACAGTTCATCAAATGCCAGTCAAGATGTGCACATATAAATAACCTACCTCTCATTGCTGGTGATTGATGTCCTTAAAGAAAAATCTCTCACTGAGCTTACATACTTTGCCCAGATTATGCTCTTGAGGGACAACTGGTGAATGCTGGTTTTTAGCTTTAACTCTATTAAATTGGAATTATCTGTTCATATCTCCATGTTTGTCTTTAAAATAAAATTTCTTAGGGAAAAAAATCAGCTTTGGCTATGTATGGCAGTTACTACACTGGTCCTTGCTCAAATGGTAGTAAAACTCTATTAACCCTTCCATTCCCTTTGAGGTTCTTGTAACATTTACTTGGAGTCCAAGGGAACAAATTTTAGCAATAGAATACTGGAACTATTGTGATCTTACACTTTGGGGGTGAGCAGAGTTAAGAGGAAGCACAATGGGGAAAGTGAGGTAAACTGCAGAGGCCAATTTTCTTCTAGAAATTCCGAAGTTCCTATCATAGCTATGTAACAGAAGTAACTTTTCTGTTGTATTCACAACACCAAAACCAACTATATGAGATACAACTATCTCTAACTCACTTAAGGCACCTATATAGAGCTGGAGAGATGGTTTGGTTTCTAAGAGGACTCAGAACAACGTTCTCTCCTCCCCCAAGAACCATAGACTAACTAACAAAACCCCCAGTACCAGGTATCAGAAACCTTTTTGTCATGGGACCATGATCAAGAGACCCCTGAGACAATATAGGCTATTGCTATTGCCTTTGTTACCTAACAGAATTGAAGGGAAGTCCCCATTGCTGAAGACATCACACACTTTGGACACAAGACTTGCAAAATTCAAGGTGATCTGACTGGAAAGCTTCCTCTTTTGACTGGAAACTAGATTTCATAATGCAGGAAGGTGCTTTGCCAGCTGCCAAGGGAGGATAGCAATCATTAGTCTTGCTCAGCTGTGATACTTATAAGCCTCAACAATGACCAGCATGAGCTGTCTCTAAACGTGCAACAGTGGTACTTATATACTGGTGGTAACCAATAGCTGCCAAATTGGATGGAAGGATCATTCAAGAGAAGGGAAGTCATGCCTGGTTAGTGAGGTCATGGATTTTGGAGAATGTATTGCTGCCACTTTCATAAACTGCTGTTTATGAAATTGCATTTTAAATGTCTATCTTTATACCATGGATAAGTATAGTTTTCGTTCTGCAGCAGATGAAGACCATCATAGGAAGCTACATCTGGTCCAGTGTAGAGAAGAGCTGCTGTGGGGTGCCCAGTCCCAACTGATACAAAATACAACACAACCCTTACACCTAAGGTACAGTGAACATTCCACAAGAGAGGGGTAGAAAGATTTTAAGAGCCAGAGGACCAGGTAGTCTGTTGTAATATTCTTATTTTCTAGATATGACAAAGGAATCTACACCCACAAAATCTCAACAATGTGCCTAAACAAGACCTGAAGAGTGACCACTCAAGTTGATAGTCAAAGCAGATGAGGAAATCTTACATGACTCAATCCCTAGATGAGGGTTCTCAACCTTCCTAATGCTGTGACCTTTTAATACAGTTCCTCAAGTTGTGGTGACCCCAACCATAAAATTATTTCATTGCTATGTCATAACTGTAATTTTGCTAATGTTATAAACTGTAATGTAAATATCTGCTATGCAGGATATCTGCTATGCGACCCCCAAAGGGGTCTTTTTTTAATATTTATTTATTATGTATACAATATTCTGTCTGTGTGTATGTCTGCAGGCCAGAAGAGGGCATCAGACCTCATTACAGATGGTTGTGAGCCACCATGTGGTTGCTGGGAATTGAACTCAGGACCTTTGGAAGAGCAGGCAATGCTCTTAACCACTGAGCCATCTCTCCAGCCCCCCAAAGGGGTCTTGACCCACAGGATGAGCGCCTCTTTCATAGATTAAGAGCCACAGGGAATTAATGACTGGTGAGAAAGAATTATTTTCCCTAGGGATGAGCCCCCTAACTGGTCATCTAATACCAGTGGTCATCCCTAAAACAATACAGACAAGCAACACCAAAGGGACCCAGAAGCTGCATTTACATATTTATTTGCATACACATGTAGCAATAATTAAGGAAAAAGAGACCATGAACTTCAGAGGTAGGAGAGTCTGAGGGGTAAGGGGAAGTGGAAAAATATAAATATTTTAATTGAAGTAGAGAAATCAACCGTCAGATTTAGCTACAAGTGGATTTTGTATCACTAGCTCTACATCACATTAGTTATAAATATATTGTACAGACGATGGAACATATACTCACAGTTGTGACTTCACACACTGTAATAGGAATGTGAATCCCCACTGCTGTGGACCACTGAAAAGTCACAACTGTGGAGGACTTAACAGCTGCTCACAGGTTTTCTAGAGACAGTTAAAGACGAGCCCTGACCTTTGCACAGTACCTGACATCTAGTAAAAAAAAAAGATAAATCTGTAGAACCTTCTTAGGAACACCGGAAAAGAATATACATGTAAACCGTATTTTATGCTTTTGATACATGAAAATAATTTTGAAGTTAAAAGTGTTAAGAAGTTGAGAATCCTTTCTTCTTTCATCCCATCCTGCTTTTTAAATTCCAATTTCTATAATCTTTATATTTTGTGTGGATAGGTAGGCTGTGTGAGCTATAGCCAAGTTTTACCTCAAAGACTAGCCATAAAATTACACAGAATTACATGTATTACAGGTTTTTTTATTTTTATTTTTTTGGTGGTATTGCTTAATAATATGACTCTTGGTGGCTTTTTCTGACATCCTTATTTTTATTTTACTGGCCTCCTTCCATTATTTACCTCGTCCCCCTTTCCCTAAAAACCACCCCAGATACATACCCCACACACCATTTCCCCTACCAGGTCACTGTATCTTTGGTTCTTACTTTTACCAAGGCAATGCTTAATCTGCAGAGTAGCTGCACACTTCACATCTTTTATCACAATTCTGAAGGTATTATCAAATTGATTTCAGATGAAACACCCAAGAATCAAAAAATTTAAGGCATAGCTTCAGTGTTAGCAGGTTGGATATTTGTGAAGGGTGAAGCCAGGTCCAGTCCAGCATACTAACTACCACCTGGCACCCCCCACTGTGTGGGCACCAGGATACGATATGCTTCAGAAAAGCAACTTAGCTTCTTATTCTGTTGAATGAATTGAGGCTGACTTTTAGCCTTAAGTGGGTGGGGCTGATAATGGATGTGAAACTCATAGAAATGGTCTGTGGTGAGCACTAAACAAAACCCGACTCCCACACAAACCTAGTTATGAGGAAGATTGTTGCCTGTGTTTTGACTTCAACGTATCTGTACACATCCATGAAGAGATCAGTCTATCCCATCTCTTGATTGATGTTTTAGACTAGGATTAAGATGTCTGTTTGAAGCTTCTTTTTCCTTTTAAGAAAATTATTAGGTATACTTAAAGGGTTACCCATGCTGTTGTTTGCCAGGACTTCTGGGGTTGGGGCAAAGCACTCACTGGTTAAAGCACTTGTGCACCATGAGCGTGGCTCTCTCCAGGTTTAATCTCTGCCTCCCGAGTGTTGGGATTAAAGGAGTGTGCCACCACTGCCTGGTTCGATTGGTAATTTTTTTTTTTTTAAGAATTGTACTGTTCAGATATTGAGACCAAATATTAATGTAAAATCTGTAAATTAAGCTATATGAGATTACTTTTTCCATAAAGATAATTTTGCCATTTTGTTTAATACTACCATGTGTATAAACACATTGCTGAGAATATTGCTCAGGTCGCCTTTATTATAATAGAGAGTAAACGTAGAAAATATTTACACGTGAAAGCATTTCCAAATGAAGCATTTCCTTTTACTTTTTGATGCTGGAGATGGAACACAGGACCTTGCACACACCAAGCACAGGCTCTACCACTGATCTCACACCCCAGCTCCACTTTGTATAAAATATCTAGAATATACACAGATTTGGCATTAAGTGAGTAACTTCTCCACAGAAGACAGGAATGCGACTTCAAACTCCTGGTCAGAAAACCTGCTCACAGACGCTCTAGCAGTCCTTCCGATCTGAAGTCTCTTTTCTGCAGACAGAGAGAGAATATGAGCCATGGTTTCAGCATAGCCTTCTTCACTCTCAGCCAGAAATCCAGTTATTTGTCCTTCATGAGGAACGACAATGTCAAGCTTTGGGCCTCCTGAATTGTGTGCAAGGATAATTGTGCCAGCTGCCATACACTCCACAACTCCTGAGAAAGAAACAACAATAAAACACATAAATTTTAAGTTTTTGATGAACACAAATCTTAAAAAATTCTGAAATCTAGAAACATTTGATTAAATATTTGTGAGTCTAGAATCTGCTTATTTAGTATGATACAAAATAAAACAATTTTAAGGATTTTTTTGTGTGTGCTTGCCTGTGAAGGTACCATGCAAGACGGAGGTTAACTTCAGCTTGCTCTATTGCTCTCTACTGACTGCCAGACACTCGCTGATTTTGGAGCTCATTGATTTGTTTAGATTGTCTGGCCAGTGAGTTAAACATCAACTAGAGCCGTGGTTCTCAACCAAAAGGGTTGAACCCCTTTTGGGGGTGGGGGTCGAACAATCCTTTCAAAGGGGTCTCCTAAGACCACTGGAAAACACAGACATTTACCACTTATAACAGTAGCAAAATTACAGTTATGAAGTAGCAATGAAAATCATTTTATGGTTAGGGGACACCATAACACTCCACCACCAGTGGTGGATTCATAGGTATGCTTCCACACCTACCTTTTACATGGGTGCTGGGGACTTAACCTAGGTACTAATGCTTGCACTGTGAGCAGGATACTCAGTGAGTTACCTCCCCAGCACCCATTCCTTTAAGCCTTTTAGTCTTCAAAGTGTCATAATAATGTTGCTTCACTATTGATTAAAACAGACAAGTAGATGGAGGTTTACAGAAATATTCTATGAAGTCAATACACTGGGACCGAGGATATAGTTCAGTAGGTTGAGTGCTTGCCTCATATGCATGAAACCCTGGGTTTGAACCCTAGTATCACATTAAACACTACATATGATGGTGCACACCTATATTTCTAGCCAATGGGAGGTAGATGAAGGAAGATCAATAGTTCAAGGCCATCCCTAGTTACACAGCAAGTTCCAGGCCTGGCGAGGCTCTGTGGGACCCTCCCTGTCTCATCTCAAAGTAGAGAGTGGGGTGGGGGGATAATATACTACACAAAGTAGAAGACTAGACAATATTGCCAGATGATAAAAGATGAACAAGCTCCAGAAGATAGAAAACATCAAAAGTATAAAGTTTTAAGAGGTTTAATAACATCAGCAGATGAAAGTGTGCTGCTGCTCACAAAACACACAGCTGCCTGTGTTCAACAGCAAGGTGGAGTTGGGTAAGTTTTGGTTATTGCTTGCCACAAGACGTATGTGAAGGTGGAAGTTACTCTCTCCGGCCTTCCCTAGTTGTACTCCTGTTTCATTCCCTCTCCTAAACAGACCTAGCTATGATGCTTTCTGTACTCACAGACTCCAGGTGCTCTCACTGGTTACCTCTGCTTCTTGTTCTCTTACCAGGGATCTTTTCCTGCGTCACTGATGGCCTCTTCCCTTCCCCACTGTGCAGTCTGGAGCCCTGCTCCTTTTCTTTTTGTCACTAAACCCCAGTTCCATGTTTGCAAAGCACAGTCCATGACCATTTCTGTAGCCTCCCCCTCTTCTGCCTGCTCACCTGCTCCTGCTCAGCTCTTTACTGAGGCTCCTCTTGCTCTCACACTTTCCCCCAGCGATCTTCACCACATCTGCAGCTGCCTGTGCCACACTGTGTTAGTCAGGGCTCTCTAAGGGAACAGAACTGGCAGACTAAGTACATATATTATAGGACTCATTAGAGTGACTTACAGTCTTAGTAGAGGCTTCTAGAACAATCAAAACAACTGTGATGTTTTGAAGGAGAATGTTCTCCATAAGCTTATGTATTTGAATTTGTGGTTTCCAGGTTTCCAGTGGGTGGACTTGTTTGGGAAGATTAGGAGCTGTGACCTTATTGAAGGTGTGTCACTGGGGGCAGGCCTTGACATTTCAAAAGACTTGCACATTCTCTGACTCCAAGTTGTAGAACAAGATATAAGCTTTGAGTTGTTTGCTGTCAGCATAGCTTTGTGCTGCTAATATGGATTCTAATCCTGAAACCATGAGCTCCCTAATTTTTCTTTTATAAATTTTGTTGGTGTTTGTCATAGCAGTATGAAAATAATTAAGATAAAGACCTAAATGCATATCTTGCAGTATCAAACAACTTGCTGGAAAGAAAAACTCACCAATCCCAAAATGCTCATTCCACATGGTATGCAGCCCGATTGTTGCTTCAGAGAGGTAATTCTTCAATTCATTGAATGAAATGTTTATTTTAAATTCCACATCTTCTTGAACGCCCAAATTCTCAGACAGTTTTCTCAGTTGGTTTACGCGAAGCTCATCATCTTTGTTTCGACACCCCCCAATAAGGACAAGTTTAAGTGAAGGGTGTGACTCAGGTGCCTTCTCATTTAGCAATTTAGCAAAGGCTTTGATCTGCAAAGCGTGATTCTTTTCAGGCCTGAACTGGCCAATGGAAACCAACAAATGTCTTGGGGTCACTTTTTTCTCATGTAAGGGGATGTCCAGAAATGTCTGCACATCACAAGGTGGATAAACAATGTTAGTGCAATGGCCAACTTTCCACAGTGAGAGAATATGATTCAGTGTCCAAGTGGAATTCACCATGACTACATCACTGCAAGAACCAACAAGGCCATAAATAAAAGCAAATAAATAGTAGTAGATGAGCTTTGCTTTGCTGAGAAGAGCATTCCTGCTAATGAAAGCTGCATTATTAAATCCAGTGTTTTGATTCTTCACTACAGAGAGCATGTCAGTGCTGATAGTGGGATAATGGACATAGCTCCCAACTCGGCAGCCCCCCACATATTTAAACAGAGGGAGTGTGAAAGCATATCCCATAGAGTCGATGTAAACATCAGGAACACGCTGCATCAGAGCTTCCCAGCCAAGAAGAATGGATCCAAGACTCTGCCCTAGCAATGTGAAGTGGGGATACCGACGATCTTCCACAAGGTAGCGCTTCCTTAAGAAAACAAACTGTACTGGGTGAACTAGCTTGATGTTAAATCTTCTGAAAGCACCTTCTAGTATCTGTTGACCACTGACGTTACTGTCACCAGTATACACTACATAAACCGCTTCAGGATACCTGAAACAAAATATTATTAATTTCAGTTAAAATTCAGGCAAATGTTACAATTTCCTCATATTCACAAGCAAACTTATTTTTATACTATAATGTTTTCTACCCCTTTTCATTTATTGCACTTAAACTACTGACTCCACCCTTCCTTAAGGTTTTAATTTAATATTTCAAACGAGACCATGTGCTGTAGTTTGGTTGTTACCTGCACATTCTACAGCTGAAGCTTAGGAGTGGCAAGAAAGGAAAGGAACTCATAATGGGAATAACAGGAGTTGTGCCTTTTTAAACTTTCTTCTGCTGAAGACTGAACTCAGGCTCCTGTGCATATATAATACACATTTCACCCCTGCACTACACTCATTCTTTGTGGGACCTTATAAGAGGACTAAAGGAGAACATTCACTCCATCACAGCACGAAGATGCAGCAAGCAGCGGTTACCTATGAGTGAATCACATTCTTTGGCTCTGGACTGTAGACTTCCCAACCTCTGGAATTATGAGCAGTACATTTCTCTTGTTTATAAACTATGCAGTTTAGCCGAGCAGTGGTGGCGCATGCCTTTAATCGGGAGTCAGAGGCAGGCGGATCTCTGTGAGTTCGAGGCCAGCCTGGTCTACAAGAGCTAGTTCCAGGACAGGAACCAAAAGCTACAGAGAAACCCTGTTTCGAAAAGTCTCCCCCCCCAAAAGTAAGCTATGCAGTTTAAGATATTATGTTATAGTCATCTGATGAGACTAAGATATCATGTCTTCTAATTATTTGACATTTCTTCTACTATGGGTTTTAAATGGAGCAAATTCCAACAGAAATTCCTGATATATCAAGAAGAGGTTTTCACTCTTACGGAAATATTAAACATTTTATTTTAAGTAGTTTGGCTGCAGAGCACTTGCCCATCATGCATAAGGACCTGAGTTCAACCTTTAGTATCAGAAAATAAAGAAAAAAGACAAAGTGTGTGTGTGTGAGCATACATCCTTATTTTACATGGTTCTTTGTATAAAGCAGTAATGAGATACTAAGAAAACAAACCTAAGATTCACCAAAGCTGTCTTAAGAAATGATCATAATTCTTTAAGATTTATTTTTGTTTATGTGTATTGTATGCTACCGAAAGTGTACGCTACATGTATGTAGGTACCCCAGGAGGCCAGAAGAAGGTGTTAGACTCCTCAGGGCTAGAGTTATAGGAAGTTATGAAGCACCCGATTTGGATGCTGGGAACTGACCTAAGGTCTTCTGGAAGAGCAGCAGGCACTCTCAATTGCTATGCCATCCTTTCAGCCCTGATAGATGAAATCATAATTCTAAGCATTACTTAGTATTTTCCCCCTCATTTGTAATACTGCTCCCACATACGTAAATCTACATAATGAAGCGTAACTGACTGGGGACAGTTAACCACATTCCTTTAAGAAATTAATTCCTGGCTCTGGAGACATGTCTCAGTGGTTAATACTTGTTGCTCTTACAGAGATGACCTGGGTTTGGTTCCCAGTGCTCACATGGTGGCTCATAAGGATCCAATGCCCTCTTCTGGTCTCAGTGGGCACTGCATGCATATCTTGCACTTTCATACATGCAGGTAATAATACACATAAAATAAAAATAACTAAATAAAATATTTAAAAAATTAATTCCCTTGTTTTAAAGTAGTTATAAACATATTGTTTCCTTTTTTGGTACCCCAATTTTCAGACAGATTTCCTCAGCTATTTAACTAATTCTAACATAACAAATTCTCTTAACCACATTCTAAGTGATATACATATATACATACATAATTATATCCTGATTACAATATAATATCAAAACTATAGACTTGGGCCAAGGAGATGGCTCAGTGGATAAAGCACATGCCACACAAGTGTAAGGGCCAGTGTTTGCAGCTCCTGAACCCACATAAAAGTGGCAGCCATGGGCCAGGTGGTGGTGGCGCATGCTTTTAATCCCAGCACTCAGTAGGCAGGGGCAGGTGGTTCTCTGTGAGTTTGAGGTCAGCCTGGTCTAATAAGCGAGTTTCTGAACAGCCAGAGTTGTTACACAGAGAAGCCTTGTCTTGAAAAACTAAAAAAAAAAAAAAAAAAAAAATCTTTGAGGCGGGAGAGATGGCTTGGTAGTCATACCACCTGATCTTCAGAGGTCCTGAGTTCAATTCCCAGCAACCACATGGTGGCTCACAACCATCTGTAATGAGATCTGGTGCCTTCTTCTGGCCTGCAGGTATATACGCAGACAGAACACTATGCATATATAATAAATAAATCTTTCTTTTAAAAAAGCAGAGAGTAACTGAATATGACACCCAACATTAGCTCTGGGACTCTACATGCATGAGCACACATGCATACACAAATGCTCGCCCAAGGTATATGTTTAATAATTTTGTTTTTTTTAAAGACTGTAAACCTTTCTCAGTTAAAAAGCATGCCAACAAAGGAAAAAGTTAAGACATTTAAGATAATTTGGGGTTGTTTTCCTAAGGGAATCTGGGAATATGTTCTTACCTGGATAAGTTTCATACAAACCCCATACAAAGTCTCATACAAAAATATTTATACATTTTTAGACACTTTATAAAAATTATTTTCAGCCAGACATATTGGTGCATGTCCTTAAATCCCTGCACTTGGGAGGCAAAGGTAGGCTGGTCTCTGTGGGTCTGAAGTCAGCCTGGTCTACACAGTGCATTCCAGGACAGCCTAAGATACACAGTGAGACCCCGCCTTGATAAAACCAAATATAAACAAATATAATTATTTTCTACAAAGTTATTATATATACACACTAAGATCATATCCCTTGCCCCCATATCATCTTCCCCATCCCAACCAATTTCTTTCTTCCTACCTTCATGTCTTTTCCTGGTATGTGGGCATTATTTAATTAGGGACAGTTATTTAAACATGGGCAACCTACTTACTAGCGGCTGCAGCACAAAGGACTATAACTCCCCCACCTCCAGTAAGCGCTAACCACCTTTAGCTTCTCATGAATGGGCGGGGCCTTAGAAGCCCCTCTCCATCTATGACAGGATGTTGATGGGTCTAGTCTCACGTAGGTTTTGTTCACATAGCTTAGTGTTTTTATCTGAGAAATAAGAGCATATTTTACAAGCTAGCTTTTTCTTTTCCTTTTTGAGAGGTGGTTCTCCTTATGTTGCCCAGGCTGGCTTACAACTCCAGAACTCAACTGATCCTCCAGGTTAGCCACTGGAGGAGGAATGACAGCTGTGGAACACTGGGCTGAACCTAAAATCCAGTATGATCTTAGGAGGCAAGCAGCCACGTAGTGTATTAGCTAAGAAAGATGCATACCTACTTTTTCTGCAGGGCTTTCAAAGCGCACCATAGAACTCTCTCTCCACCGCCGCCCGCATTGCAGTAAGGATGGAAAAAGGCAACTACCGTTTGATCTTTTCCATTTTTGCTGGTTGAGACTGACTTTTTTCTCCTCTGTAGATGTCGCCTCATTATCCAAAGGACAATGACCAAACATACACAGAGAACTCCACATATTATTAGTCCAGGAAAGAACAGTGAATAAAAAAATCTGAAATAATAAGAGGCGAAAATCAATTTGTTGTCAATTTAAAAATAAGGCTACAAATTAAAGTTTACTTTTATATATTTGTTTAATATCTTAGTATCAGAGAGAATTTCTGTAGCTTGTAAGTCTGATAATAAAATATTCAATTATTTTTAATACTCCCCCCTCCACCTCACTGGTGGTGATTAAATTCAGGGCCTTATACATGCCAAGCAAACATTTAATTCCTAGCCAATATTTACCCATATTTAAGCAAATGGCTTTAAAGAAAGGTAACTATAATGCAAAGTTATGGACTACTCATCAAATCACCACTATAATGCAGAAAGTTAGCCACTACACGTACACAGTACAGAGCTGGAGGCATTCCATACAGCAGGAAGAAACAAGAATGTGCTAGAACTAGCCTAGTCATATTTTTAACAATCACTTTAGAACTAGAAGCAGAAAATACAAAAACGAAGACGTAACACAAACTTTGGCAAGAACGCACGTACCCACTGCTCTTCGAACCGCCGTTATACTAACTCTAAATTCTCTCTCTCTCTCTCTCTCTTTTTTTTTTTTTTTTTTACTTTTTTTGGTTTTTCGAGTCAGGGTTTCTCTGTGTAACAGTCCTGGCTGTCCTGGAACTCACGCTGTAGACCAGGCTGGCCGCGAACTCAGAGATCCGCCTGCCTCTGCCTCCTGAGTGCAGGGATTATGGGTGTGCCCCACCCCCCAACCCCAGGCTGCTAGCTGTAAAATTTCAACCTGCACAAAAGTACAGATGTTGAAAGAACTCAGGTAGGCCTTCATAGGTTAGGAAGATCTTGAAATATACAACTATCAAGACGGTGGTAATTACTATTTATTATTATTATTTCTATTTCCTAATATTTACAAAGGAAACGATATTTAGCCTAAAAACAAAACCAACATATTTATAATTTAAACATCAGGCAGGAAAAAAAGTAAACCAACAGAGGGTCAAGAAGCAGAGAAGGAATCAATAGGTTTATGGAGCTGAGAGAGAAGCGGCAATGACAGGTAAGGAAACAGCTGCTTGGCCAGTAGCGTGGCACGCTTAACGGCTGCGGTAAACTGAGGCAGGACGAAGAAAGCCCTTCGGCGGAGCTCGGCTGGGTGGCCTCAGGGATCTCCACCAAGGAGGGGACACTCGCGAGCTCAGGGTACTACGCTCCTCACCTCAGCAGCGCGTAAAGCCGCCAGCTCCCCACGTCCGCCGCCATTTTGCCCACCCCCAGCCTCGCCGCCCGGAAGTGCTTGGCTGTGCTTCTCCTCTATTGGCTCCTGAGGAAGCGTGCGCTCTAGCCACGCCCCTCCGGCCTACACGCCTTCCTACTGGCTGCCGCAGCGCCGCTTCCCACGGGCGGGGCGCACATGGCCCCGCCCACTTGGGCCGCACCACGGCGGTCCTGGGCGTGGGGGGCCGGGGGGTGTGGCCTGTGATGGACAGCGGCTTCTCTGACCTCGCCCCCCCCTCCAGTCCTAAAGCCCCCCTCGCGGGCGCCCCGCCCCGCCCCCACCGCGGTACGGGCTCCAGGTCGGGACCCAATGGGAGGTGCGGGCGGGCGGCGCGGTGCTCTTCCCGTCCAGAGTCCACTCTCTCAGAGGTGGTGGCGGGTCCCCGGCGGTCGCGGGAACGGGACGCGGGCTGGAGAGGTGGCTGCGCGGGAGCGGGCGTCCTGCGGCTGTGGTCCCGGGCTGCAGCTCCTCCTCGGCGCATCGCCGACCTCAATGCCCCGAGTCCGCAGCGCCGGGTGTTCCCCAGGCACCGCGGATGCGCGTCTTCGCGCCTCCTCTCCCTGGCTTGTAAAGTCGCTCTTCCGTCCCCTGACCAGGTGACCTTTGGGCTCCGGGATGGATCCCAGGAAGAAGTTGGCGTTTGTGGGGACGGTGCCTGAGCAAGAGAGACAGGTCACAGCCAAAGAGACCAGTCGGAAAGTAAGTTAACTTCCTCGGACCGCGCGCTCTGCGCACCTGCCCGAAGCGCTTTCCTCGGTTCCTCCAGGACTCGTGACTGAGGACACGTTCTCCTCTGGACCCCAACTCAAGGGGTGGTCTGGGGGAAAAGCACTAGAGATCGAGTGTGCCCTGAACTTTTTTTGGTGTTCAACCATTTAGAGCCCGGCACTTTGCTGGGCTCTGAGCGTGGGGTTACTGTGCAAAAGCTCTAGTTGCTCAAAACTTCTTACCTGGGGGTGGATTAGTCGCGATCTGGAGCCTGGCTTCTCATATAGTCTACATCCAAGTCTTGTAGCTTCAAGGCACTCATTTTAATAATACAAGTAGTCAATTAATGCAATCTCTTAAAAATACAAACAGTACAGAAAAAATACAAACAGTACAGAAATATTTAACAAGAAAAGCAGATCTGTTTTCCAGTTATTTTCTTCACGTATGTTTCCTGTCAGCAAATATTACTGAAACTTGTAGGTTTCAGGCATATGAATAATTCTTGAAGATTTGTGTGTTGGTGTGTTGTTTTAAAATATTTCGTCTTGCCGGGCGATGGTGGCGCACGCCTTTAATCCCAGCACTCGGGAGGCAGAGGCAGGCGGATCTCTGTGAGTTCGAGACCAGCCTGGTCTACAGAGCGAGTTCCAGGACAGGCTCCAAAGCCACAGAGAAACCCTGTCTCGAAAAACCAAAAAAAAAAAAAAAAAAAAAAAAAAATTCGTCTTGCCTAATAGAAATCACTTTTTATATTCTCCGACTTTTTTCAGGTAACTATGTTTTGCAGATTCTTTCACAAGTGACATAGGGTGTCCCCTATAGTCTGTTGATGATTCCCTTGTGGGTGGGTGGTCCTGTTGGTTGCTTTCTTTCCTTTCCTATTTCAAAGTTGACATGATTTTTGCACTTGAATCATTTGAATGTGTGTGTGTGTGTGTGTGTACCCATTTGTTTTGGAGGTCGGGGCAGCTTGCTGGAGTTATTTCTCTTTTTCCACTGTGTGTGTCCTGCAGACTGAACTCAGGTCATCAGGCTTAAAGGCAGGTGTCTCATCTTGCCTTATTTGTACTTGAATTAAAAAAATACATTTATTTACTTATTTATTGTATGGGAGAGGGAAGAGAGGAGATCAGGCTTGGTGCCTTCACCCACAGAGCCATTCAGCTGGTCCTATACTTGATTTTTATATTCTTTTTTTTTGTTATTGTTTTGTTTTTGTTATTTTGTTTTTCTAGATAGGGTTTCTCTGTAGCTTTGGAGCCTCTCCTGCAAACTAGGTCTTATAGACCAGGCTGGCCTTGAACTCGTGGAGATCCGCCTGCCCCTGCCTTCTGAGTGCTGGAATTAAAGGCGTGTGCCACCACTACCCAGTTTTAGTATATATTCTTGAGTATTTCTTTAGGTCTGGAAGTCTGGATTGGGGAATAGCTTCCTCCTTTTGTACAGGTCTCTGAAATGAATTAATCCAGCAGTTTTATTGAGTGTGCCTTTAGTGAAATTCATTTAGGCTCAGGTGTGGAGAAATGAGAGAAGAGTGGGCTGATGGATGGGTGGGCGGAGAGAGGGTGGTGAATGGGTAATTCTTACAGTGTAAAAACTGCATTTGATCCGTGGTGTGAAGACAGCACACACTGGGTAGTGGTGGCCAGAGCAGAGGAGGAGACGTGGCCTATCTTTTGCACTGTCCCTGTGAGAGAGCAAAGTCTCTGTCTGACCAGATGAAATTCAAGACCTGCACCTCTCTTTGGAGCGATTGGTTAACTGCTCTGGCCGGTGTCGACCTCGCCCTCCTGTGAATTACACTGATAATGGCTTTAGCCAAAGTCACAGGGCTTCCTATGTGCTAGATGTATTATTTTTATACTTCTCTGTATTCACTCTCATTTAATTCTCATAACCCATGTCCCTGGCTGTCTTTATTCTGTTTTTACCGTGCTGAAAATCAAATCCACGGTTTTGTGCTCATGAGTCCTTTGATAGAGGTTTTTGTTTTAATTTTGTGCTGAAGATCGATGCCCTAGCATCCCACCAGTGACTGCGTCCCGTGCGCCAGCCCTGACATTAGCTGTGATTGTTCTATTACCTTTTTGGTGCTGTTGTTCAACAAATGCTTTCTTTTTTTTTTTTTTTTTTTTGGTTTTTCGAGACAGGGTTTCTCTGTAGCTTTGGAGCCTGTCCTGGAACTAGCTCTTGTAGACCAGGCTGGTCTCAAATGCTTTCTTGAGGATTGTGTCAGAAATACTGAGTCTGAGGTTCCAGCTGTGACTTAGGGAAGTTAAATTCTTGAAGAATAGGAGTAGGAGGGCCATGGTAACTAGAGGGTAGGTGCTGGGGACCCAGAGGTCCTTGTACTGACTGAGAAGCACAAAGGTAACCAGGAATGTTAATGAAGCAGGGGTGTCTCTCCAGGGGAGATGAAATGGACAAGAACACAGCGACATTCCATCCAGAAGCTGAGAGTGGATACTGCTTAGGACCTGGTGACCGTTTGCTATCTGTGGAGGCAGACCTCTCCCAAATTCCTCAGCATGATTATCCTCGGCTCTCAGTAGAACCAACCCACTCTTGGGGGAAGCGAGGGACTGAAGATAAGTTAGTTGCAAATAACTCCGAAATGACGAGTTTGGGGAACTTCCAGGAAGTAAAGCTTGTGAAGATGCTGGGTGTGTGGGTGGCCTATGGGCAGAAGGCATGGGACCTCTGGGAACCCATCCCCTCCCCCTTGACTGTCCTTTCACTGTGCCCTCTGTTACGGACTTCCTGAACTGCTGTAGTGAACTGGCCATCCTAAAGTTGGGCAGGACCCCCATTAATAGCCGCTCACTCAGATGTTTAGGTGCCCCACATACAGTAACACTTCCTAGAATTAGAGACTCATACGTAAGCAGCCCTTTTCCCATGGGATCTGTGCCCTTGCCCCAGGAGATCTGTGCTAACTTCAGGCACTATTAGAACTTCAAAGAGCACCCAGGCCTCGTTGGTGGGGAAACTGAGGCAGCAGTTAAAGAACTTGCTCAAGGAAGCTTGCTAATAAGAGCAAATTTAGTATTCGGTCCTAGGTCAGCCTGACCAGCTTTCTCAAAAGCACACTGTTGTTGGGATTTCATGATACTTGGTCATGCCATCTGGTATTATTGAACTAATGATCTTAACTTTGCAACTCAGAGATGCTTGAACATGGGGGTTAGACTTAAACATTTCAGGCATATCCTCAGCTGGGCGGTGGTGGTGCACACCTTTAATCCTAGCACTAGAGAGGCAGAGCCAGGCGAATCTCCATGAGTTCAAGGCCAGCCTGGTTTACAAAGCAAATTCCAAGACAAAATCAGGGCTGTTACACAGAAAAACCCTGTCTCAATTTCCCCCATAAATAGATAGGTAGATAGATACCAAGCATATCCTCCACAGTATGCTTCCCAGTACAGAGTAGGCCATTCAGCCGCTACTCCAGAGCCCAGGGAAGTACTAACAGCAATATAGGTTGGAGTTAGCTCTTAAGGTGTATGGGTAGTATTGAAGGGAATGAGAATATTTCATAATATAGTTTTCTTCCTGAGGTGGGGATCTTGCTAGGTAGTGCAAGCTGGTCTAAGACTTACACCCTCCTACCCAGTCCTGGAATTACAGGCGTGATTTTCCCCATAGTTTGTAAAGGTTCCCTTCAGTTGTTCAAGAGTGAATGAATCATTACTTCGCCCATTGTGTTTTTCTTCAGGGGCCTCTCTGTGGGGCAGAAATTACCAGGCAGTTTAGGGCCTTCGATGCCTGATTTACAGGTATGCACTGTACCAAGCCTGACTTTTAATTTGTGTTTATTGTTTCCTTTATAATTTCAGTTTCTTTCTTTCTTTCTTTTTTTTTTTTACAGCTTTCTTTTCTCTTACTTATTTTTAGGTGTATGAGTGTTTTTAACCTGCATATATATATATATATATATATATATATATATATATATATATATATCTGTGCACCACATTAGTGCCTGGTGTCCAGAAGAGAGAGGTAGATCCCCTGGAATTGGAGTTACAGACAGTTGTGAGCTGCTGGGTATCAAATCTGGGTCCTCTGGAAGAGCAGCCAAAGCACCTAACCGCTGAGCCCACTCCACAGCCCCGTAGCTGGGTTTTAAATGCTTTACTGGCAGTCATTTCAGTTTGAATCAGAGGGTGGCCACGGTGGTGACATGGTTGCTGGTAACCACAGCCCAGGTATCAAGGAAGTGTCATTGGTCAAGTGGCTCTATATTGTTCCCAACTAAATGAGGGAAAAAAAAACCACAAAAAAACAAAACCATTACCAGGTGAAATTCTGAAAATGCCTGTTAATGTTTAGTTTGTTTCTTTCTTTCTC